TTAATCATAGATTCCCGCACCGTCGACACAAACGTTCTCTTTCAAACAGTGTTACAATGTGGCAATAAGCAATTGTTTGTGATTGATAGTAAATACTTATCAAACATAATTATATCGTAATTTTATTGTATTTTATTTTGTTTATCAGTCATCAAATACAGAATATGTTAATAATCATAAAAATATCACTATTTAATTCAGTCTATATACCGTACACCCGTGTTATTCTTCATCGAAGAATTCTTTCGTTCGTTTTAAGTATAAAAAAAATTACAAATGCCGTATTCTAAGAAAAATTATATTACAGCAAAATCTTCGAAGCGGCCGCGTGAATCAAACCATAGCCAGCAAAAAGGAATAATATCTCCAACAAAAACCTAACAGTGAAAAAGGGCCAAGTCCCAGAACCCCTGCCAAAATAGTCAGCCAATCAAAGTAGTGGTATCTACATTGTGGCCAAGCCTGTTTTATGCCTCATTCAGAAACTGGCCAAGTGTTAAGCAATACAAATAAAAAAGAAGTGTGTTGCTAATGAATGTAGGAATTAAGTGAGGTTATGAACTAAAGAAATAGCAGACTTGGTCACAATGTAGACATCACTACTTTGATAGGCTGACTTTTTTGGCAGGAGGTCTGGAACTTGGCCCTTTTCCACTGTTTGGTTTCGTTTAGACATAACAATACCGAAAAACATTGACAAACCAAACAAATATTATTTCCCTTAAAAGGGGTGGAACTTTTTCTTTGACATAATGGAAATTATTATAATTTATATTTGAGAATAGTTATTACGTACAACGATTAAGACATGCATTAAGTTATGTTGGTTATCGATCAGTTTAACTTAATGAATTTGTTAAACTGATACACGAAAAGTTGGTGCGATTCCGAGCAGAGGGGTCTTATGGAATTATCATTATCATATTATTACACTTTCGAGCTGTTGTGGCTGTTTGGCATGCGTTTTGGGCCAAACCCGTTATAGTAATAGTTTAATAAATGAAGAGGTTTATTATTTTTTTTCCCCGACTTATTTTCTCTCGACATAAGAGTGTAGGAACGATTTTAACGATGTCGACATCGAACTGGCGTTACGAAGCGCGCCGTGCATTTATCTTCGCACGACCGACACGCCGTTTCGCGGTGTGGGCCGAATTTCGACAAAATATAATACACCTAATATAATAATGACACTAATTGCCTGCCGGTGCAAATGGATTATATTATTAGACGGTGGTTCGTCGTACCACCACCGTGATCACACGGTCCCATAACGCGGAAATCTTGTACAGAGAAACCAGCTAGTCTCTCTCTCTCCTCTTGCAAGTATTGAAAGAAACCGCGTTACCCATACGGTCATTAATATTTTTTTATTTTTTTATTATTTTTTTTTTTTTTGTTCGGTAATGATACCAGTGGAACCGCTGACGATATATATTTATATAAATGGGCATACAATATATCATACAACATACTACGCATAGCTAGCTATATGTATATTATAATAACCGTAAGAGCTACTATATCTACGAAAAAAAAAATCAAAATATATTTTTTTTTTTTATTCACTAATGACGAAAAGACTGCATAACCAACAATGATATTAAGTGAGTCGTGGTAGTATACATTTTTACACCCGTTGTGCTTTATAGATAAAACAAATATATACATGTAAATATCCGACACTACCTTTTCTTGTTTCTATATCATGTCTGAAAACATAAGACGGATAAGAGTCTACCATAACATTACATCTATTTCACGCAGACGAGGTAAGTTAAAATGGAGTTTTTTTTCATTCCAAGTTTTTCTAATCTAAAACTTAAATAAAATTGACTAGACAGCATGAGACCCCCTGAAGTATCATTTTAGTATGCTGTACTGGTAATAAGGAGGCACGTACCCTCTTTTTATTAGTTCTCACTGTTAGAGTTATTACCTTAAATAAGTAGCTACCATTGTTGGCCGATTAAAAGTTCCGAAGACTGAAATATATACTATATAAATGTGTACTACAACAATGTGTTAATGTTATATCAGCTGTTTGAGTCCAAAATATTATTTTGATAATTTTACAAGGAAACCCTATTTTTTAAATTACAATGGGCCTGGTAACATGCAAACCCTTGTATTTAATTGGTGCTAATTCTTGACACAACGATCGGATTTCAAGAAGAGTGGAATAAACGGATTTCTAATAGAAAAAAATACTATCGTGGTATTATAAACTTTAAATAGGTAAAATTATTGATTACTGTATTTATAATATCGAACAGCTGGCATATAAGATGTATTTATATCTATAGGATCATCGCAATACAACTTCTACAACCTTGGTGCTTGTTTCAAAATTTGTATTTATATACCAATTAGTGGTAAAATAATATAATGAGTACCTACTCGGTGTACTAGATACAAAACAAAAAAGTTTCTTCCTCATTTTCTATAGAATTATATACATAGCAAATGAGATAGAAGCAACAGAAACTAGTTCTGTCATGTTTTTGTAAATACCATATTATAATAATGATTTTGAGTGCTTGCGCCTTACAATTTTCAATATAGACTACTAAAATATCAAGCCTGTATAATTACGGTGCATATAAACAAATATTGTAATATGTTTTATCGCGTGTTACAAAAACAGTTTGTTTAATTGTTACGTGACAGCTAACAATTAACTATATATTTTGAAATCAAATATAATATTACTGATAAATAACAGAAGAGCATTAATTTTATACTATTATTATTTTATTTCTTTAGAAAATCACAGACATTTCATAAAACATTTTTACAGCGCAATGATGTCGTGAAATTGGATATAGTGAAGTGTTTCATAAAATAAATTATATGATAATAAGACCTGATTATTCTGTTCAAAATATGTTTCCATTCACTAATTCCCCGGGTCATGATAATAAACTAATACTATTCTCAAAAAAACACAGGCGTTCTAGTTAACCTACTTGTTTGTAGTGACCTCTGCTCCTCGGCATACCACTAACAAAAATATAAAAAGTAACCTAGAAAGTACTTACACTTAATTATCTTTTTATTATAATGCTGCTTAAAGAAGTTTTAAACGAATTGAATTAACAATGCTCCTATACACTTTTGGCCTTTAATTATCATGAAAATGAAATTAATGGAAAAAAAGGTAAGTTGTGTACGTAATTTAACTTTTTACTTTATTGCATATGACGTTGCTAGTAAGACTATTAGTTTCAAGGAGATTCTAGCCTCCGATGTTCCTGACATTGTCCCAGACCTTAAAAAACCCCTCTCCCGTGTCGAAAAGAGAAAAAAATCTCCCCTTCCCCCACAGATCACCTATGTTCTTCAACACATCAGACTGGTTAAGTCCGGATTTATTTGACCCATTTTTGGACCTAATCTTAAGTTTAAACTTGCCTACGTTCTTCTCTAAAAAATGATTTACAAAATACAAAAAAACACATGTAAATCGATGCCATTAATGTATGAAAATGACGGCACTTGTTTGTGGCTTGACGCGCTAACGCCATGGTCGTATCATACAACTGGTATAACTACAAAGCTATTAATAGACTGTTAGCTTTATAAATAAATTAATAAGATAAATTAATTAATATTGAATAATCGATACAATTAACCATTTTGTTTCTCTAAATACGTATCAACAAAATAAAAAAAACCGCATGTAAATCAAGCCAGAAGTGTTCATGATTATAAAATTAGTTTTGTGAATAAACCTCCACTAATCCAGCAGGGCCCTGGACTGATATCTGCCGGATTACTGAGAGTCTACTGTACTTGCTTTTATTTGGCGGAATAATGTCGTTTAACGACGCTCAAACAATACCCTAATAAAAGTCACGAATATGTAACTCCGGTTATGTAATATTACACCAACACGGAAAAATGAACTTAGGTACTTGTAATCTGGGTTAATAAATGAAAAATACCTTAAAAACGGTAGCAAGTATGCACCACTTGTTATAAGACACTGAATCGCTAAAACTTCCAATTAAAACATGCAAACTTTCAAAGACACGTTATAATTTTAAAGTTCTTAAAACAGTACTGTACTCCATAGGCAACTATTTATATAATTATAAAAGTAGTAATAAAAGTAACAATCAAAATAAAATTAAAAAAAAATATATACTACTACTACTCATAAGCTCTACAGGCCATGGTAACCCTTGGCTTCCAAAACCATTCCTCTCCACTCATCCCGATCTTTAGCAACACTTCTCCAAATCCGTATACCCATCTGTTATAGATCCTTCTTTACTTCATCTATCCATCTACTTCTTGTTCGTCATTGTTTTCTAGTTCCTTCCATTCTTGCCAACATTAGGCGTTTTGGTATTCTTTCCTCATCCATTCTTTCCATATGACCCAACCATCTGATCCTTCCTGATTTTATGTACTTCACTGTGTTTTCGTTTTTTTAAAATATGCTCTATTTTGTTGTTGCTCCGTATCCTCTATCTTCCTTCTTTATTCACTGCTCCATATATTTTTCTTATTACTTTTCTTTCGAATGTCTTTAACCTGTTGGAATCTGCAGTTTTAGTTTGAGGAGTGGGATATTAGCAAATAATGCGCGGTTGCCGGCCATAATTCTTCTTTTAATCTCTTCCGACATGTTGTTACTGTTATTAAAGGAGGATCCAAGGTACACAAACTCTTTTACACCCTCAAAGCTGTATTCACACCACCAAAACTACTACTTAGGAAATGTAAACTTTCGAAGTTCTATTATAAATCGAGCTAAGGTTCTTCATTTAGTCATAAAATCCATAATTTATAAACATTTAAAATATAAATACGTGTATTAAATATATAAAATTAAAATTTAATGTATAAATACGTTAATTAACAGTCTCAGTATATATGTTTATGCAAAAAATGATAAATCTTAGGTCAACAAATCTCTGTAGGTATGAACATGCAAATAAATTTAATACGTTTAATAACATATTATGAAAATATTACATTCTAAGACGTTTGGTAATTATTAGAACAGCCAACTTGGCTATCTCAAACAAAGTATTATTGTTTCTTTGGTGGAATAATGGCGTTTCTTCTTTTTCTTCAATATCGATTTCATTTTCTTCAGGGAACCTATCAAATATACAAGATTATGAACTATTACGAGATCAACATATTTTCGAAACCAATACTACATAGGTACATTACAAACGTCACTTACCTGAATCGTTAAAAAGCTTGTAAAACCGTGAGCCTCTGTTGGCAATTTCTCTGTTTCTTCGGTAAGATTTCAATTTACAATTTAAACGTTTGTCATTCAAGCAAAACCTTCTCCATCTTCTTGACACTTTACAAGCAGTGTTAATATCTTCTCCAATTAGATAATCCCTAAAATCAGTAAATTAACGTTATATTTAAAACCGAATTAACAATTCTATAATATATATAATACTATTTTATTGTATACAATACCCACCGAAAAATCATAATCGATATCTCCACTGGCAATTCTGATATAATGTCGAACCGCATACTAGCTTCTGAAAACCACGTGCTCTTCAGACAACTTGTAAAAAACATGTTGAGATATTCGTTGTGTACGGCATCAAGGTCGGTAACGAACTGACTGGCCGGGATGATTACCTTCGGTTATATATGCCATGGGAACAAAATGGCCGACCTATAATTGTTAATCTTACCAGACACCCAAATACTAAGTTGCATAAAATATTCGTATTAGCTATACGAACAACAAATTCAACAAATATACTGGTATTAAAATTGACGAGACGTTTTTGTTATTAAATGGTTAGAGAGATATTGTTTTTTAAAACTCAATAATTTAATAGACGATCTGGAATTAAAGTAGGAGCCTGGGTCAGAAGTCAGGACACTGGACTGAAAATTGAAGGGTCCCTAGTTTCAAACCAGTTCATCTGATGTCTTTCTTTTTTGAAACTATCAAGTGTCTTGTGACCTGTCTTCAGTGGCGGATTTTCAACATTTTCTTGAGGGGGGGGGAGATCCTGAAAAATGATATATATTTTAAAGGCATTATTTCTATTAAAAAAGTGTTTCCTGTATTTTTATTAATATATTATATAATACATCGTCAGCCACACATAAAGTTTAATGTTAAATATTATATTATATTTATTTTACAAAACAAAATAGACTCTTCTTTTTTTTTTTTTACAAAGTTCGGTCAATACTACATCAACTGTTAATCAGCTTTCATTCCTGTAAATCGACATCATTGCCAAGCCGTTCAATCAAGCCTGAATTTTAATTATAAATAATAATTTTATTAATTAATTTTACAAATCATTTTTTAAAATTTTTATATTGATATAATTATTTATCTTTACTTCAGTCATAGTATTTCTTAGATATGTTTTAATTCGCTTCAAATTTGAAAAGGTGCGCTTATTTGATGCAGTGGAGACTGGTTAATTAGCAAGGACCTGAAATAATTTGGAGACACTTGGGTATATTTCTTTGTTACAGACAGTCATAGCTTGGAGTGCGTTTTCCGGTTTTTCTGTCATGTTTTTTAATCTTCTTTGCCATAACTTGTACTCCGTTTATAATAACGAATGATATGGATTCCAAATCAACTTTGTATTTATCGGATAATTTTATGAAGTTATCTTCATCATCTTCGGATTCAAATAATGACTGAAAATTTTAAAGCGTACTTTTATGATGGACAAATATTTGTTCAAGTTCATTAATGTAAGAATCCATGTACGGAATAAAAGTCTGATACGTGAGTTGGTGTTTGGAGAGTCGCATATAGTGATTGGTTTGGTTGTTGTGACTATACTGAATGCAACGCTCGTTTCTTTCTATTGTTCGTATGATGGTCGGTGGTTGCAACTTAGTTTTCTCAATCACGGACCGTCTGTTTGTCTCGGTTTCTCGACTGCGGAGCTTCTATTGTTTGGTGTGATTTTTTTGAAAATTATTCAATAAATATCATTCAAAATTCAATTTTACACAAAAACAAATGTTAGTCAAGTCCTCATTATTATAAAACTGGGGAAGAAAGTTGATCAAGTTAAAAAAAGTATTAAGGTAAATCTATTATACTTGCAGTTTAGGGTCAACTAGGTGACAACCGGCTTATGGTCGTAGCTGGGTAACTCATATGACCGGTGTTTTTTTTTACACAAATAAAATTGTTGAAAGTTAGTATAAGCATTTTAAATTATCTGAATATAATCTCAAACATTATGAGTGATAGAAAATAAATAAATTGATCAAAAAGGTATATTTATATTTTTTTTGATAGCAAAAATATACGATTAGATAGATACTGTAATATATTAGTATTGTATGTACTATAATAGAATATTAGGTATCTTCTAACTTTACATTACGTTTTTTTAACTTTAACGTTGGTAAATTGGTGACAACCGGCTTATGGTCGTAGCTGGGCGACTCAAAAAGCATTCACTAGATAACAACAACAAAATATTATAATACAGTAATAATTCATAATACATAATATACATTATATCAGGACCTTAAAAATGCAATTAATACAGGCTGCTGTAAAAATTAAAGTCATCAGTTTAAATAAATCTCCACCGTGTTGTTTTTTATTTGCTTATATCAACGCCGCCGGTCCTAGGTCTCCCAATTACACTAATATTGTCACAGTCTGATTTAGAAATGTCTAGGCTTAAGGCAGGATTATGAATGTAAGCCTTGTCTCGTATTAGTTACTCATGTAGTAATCTTATATTTCCATTACAATTTAAAAAATGTATGTTTTTTGAAATCTAATATTCTCCCCAGATAGAAACACTTACACCTTATACACTTCAGTTAGATCATTTAGTTATGTTAAATCGAATTACCATAAAAAAACCTAACAGCGAAAAAGGGCCAAGTTCCAGACCCCTTCTAAAAAAGTATAATGTACATTTTAAAACTACTATAGTTATTAGTTTAGGATATAATATAACTGGTGTTATTCTAACGTGCGCGTTTAATATATATTTTATTACAGTCTTCAACGTTAAAAACCCTATGAGGAGTACCTATGTAGAAAGGTAACTGTTGTTTTTTGCTTTCGTTGGTTCTGAGCAAACATCTAACATCTGGTTTTCACTCGTACATGTTTATTAGGTATTTTTATTTTTCTCTACGTTTTAAAAAACAATATCTGTAAAATCATAAATTATAACAGATACACAATACTGTATTACAACCTGTGTTTTATACCTACTATTTTTTTTTTAACATTGAAGCTAATCGGATGAACAGAAATGCATATAATATTTTATCTTGGAGTACTGCAAGTAGGTACACAGTTTTATTTTTATATGTTCACTAGATATTTAAGATGAAATGAAGAGTGAGAGTGTCAAACGTTCCAAGTGCCAAAGTATAAAAATTGTACTTTATAATTTGATATGTATTTTATTCATTACCGGAAATAATTTTGTAAATTTTTCAAGTAAAGATTAGTTATTTATAAAAAAAAAAACAATCATATTTAAAACTCAAAAATATGTTAAAGTGTTTCCGGTAATGAATAAAATACAAATCAAATTATAAAGTTCAATTATTATACTTTGGTACTTGGAACGTTTGACAAATTCACTCTTCAAATATACTTTTATGATCAATTGTGCAAGTATATATTTTTTTTCACTTTGAAACATAATATCACTTATATACGTAATATATTATTATTATTATACGTACTATAATATAATACAGAGTGATCATTTTATCGTAAATCATTTAATATCTCATAGGGTTTAAAAGGAAATTTAATTCTTTTTTTTTTCATAATGTTTGTTTACGATGTGATCTCAATTTTTCACATGTTGTTTTTACCCCCTTCCAACTTAGTTTCTTCGATGGCAACTATTGAAACTTAAATGGTAACGCATACATTTCATTAACTTTTTTAGTTGAGAATAATGTAAAGATTGGGGCAGGAGGAGGTGGAGTGTAGTATTATGTTTATCTGCGCGCACTTCTCCTCTCATTCTAATTTTTAAACTTTAACGTTTATGAACAATGTTTTAGTATATTGATTGGTGTACCTTATCGAAAGACTCACTTACTCGACGGTATATATAAACTAGTAATTTTGGAATATAAGGCTTGAACGGTCAATTTAGAACTTTTGCTCATTTCTAAACATTTTTTTTTTAATTTAAGAAAACTAAACAATACTAAATACTCATTAAGATGTGTATGCATTAAAAGCTCTTTTATTTTATATTAAATTTCAAATTGCACTGCAGTATAGCTTTTATATTCAATTTGTTGTATTACATTTCAGATAACACTGCAGTACGTTCATTCGGACGACTATTTTGTCGATGAGGCCTGTAAAGACCTATATAGATGTATGATTAGGAAGAAACTTGATGAACTATCCACAAAATATGGTGAATATTAAATTAAAACATCGTGTACTTATTGTTAGGTACCTACTGCTATTTTATGGCTTTCATTTTTTATTTACATTACAGTGTTGAGTTCACGCGTGAATTAATTTCTTGATTACATGCGGAAGACATTGCAATATTTTTTTTTAAATAATTCAACTTTTTAAACTTCAATAAATGGAATTTCATATTATTCTTCATGTTTTTGCGCGTAATAAACCAATTGAAGAGTAAAATAAAAAAAGGCTGTAAGTGCCAATCGGCTAGGAAATGTCTGCTTTATTGCGTTACATTGGCGTTGGAACATACATCCTTTTTGGCTGAAAAAATAATTTTTGGAAAAAATGGCACTTAAGCCTTTTTTGATTCCACTCTTCAATTATTAATAATCTAAAAAAAACCATTGAATAATGAGTTTATTAAAAGCACTGGGTATAATAAAGAATATTTGCAATTGGATAATAGGTTCGTTTATGAAATCAATTAACTATATAAGTGGTCATGTACATTTTTTTTTTATGTGCTTAAAGATATGGTCTATATAATATATCCTACTGTCTATAAGTTACTGGGTTCAGAAAAACCAGGGTACAGCATGGCAAAGGCGGCAAGTAAATTGGCAAACGCCTTGTGCGATGGATTGAGTAAAAGAGACATGCAATTGGTGGAGTCCTCGACGAGTTGCAAAAGAGAAGTGCAAGTTTGTCTAGACATGTTTGTGTCGGCCATAAAAAATCCCAGCTGTTTCAAATTATGCCCTCCTTGGCCTCAAATCAACGAAAATGGTGATGTAACTGACAAACAGGGCAACATTTGCTACAAACAAACGTACTTTAAAAGTGGTAATGGATTGGAATATTTTGGAATAACCCCCAATGAGAATCAATGCGATGGCAAACGTATTGAACACGATATTCAGCGACACCAAATTAAGTAAATTATAATGGCTGTAATACAAAGATTTATATTTATAAATATGTATATATATTTTTATATTTAAGTTTTAGTCATTATAAAAATAATAACTTTAATAAAAAAGCTTATATAAAATAAGACTTTCTTGCGGTGCAATATAAATTTAATCAGTTGTATAGGTTGCCAATTAACAAATCAATGGTTAATGATGAAAATACACTATTTAAAGGGCGCATTAATTGTTGTAAAATAAATGTTCAAAAAAAAAAAGATAACTCTGTGTCAAAAAGTCTATTAAAAATATTATATTTGTTGCTTAAATGAATTGGATCATAGTTAACCAATAGCTTCTATAATTTCTGCATCGAATCCAAATTTTATTTTCTCTCAGTCTTTGACTAATTGAGTACATAATTTATCTCATAATTTACGACCAGTCAATATTTTTGACATTTTAATTACTAGTTCAAAAATTATTAAATAAAACAAAGTTAAATATTTTTAAATGTTGTACTATTTATTATGGCCGTTTTCACCAGTGTGACTTAACATTCAAGTACATTTAAGTTCATACTTTAAGTATTTTTAAACTATAATTATTTTTTAGGCGGTGTTGAGAAAGGCCATAAGATAAACTGAGTAGCATATTTTGAAAACTTTTAATCTACATTCTTTAAAAATTTTGAAAATAAAAAAAAACAGCTTACTAGATATAACCTGCAATTTTTTACATCTTTTTAGATTTTAAGTTATTTTTCTAATTGTGTTTTACATCAAATAATTTAAATCAAATGAAAATATTTACACAATTATTTGCAAGCATACGTAATAGATTTTCGCATTAAGTTTTTAGTATTTTTGAAAAAAATATCTTACGACTTTATTCAAACCAAATTTTGTATAGAAGATGATGAGTTTTGAAAATTAGGCTGCATTTAAATTACAAGTTTAGCAGGAAAACAATTGGTTAAATAAATTTATTTCAAGAACAAAATTAAGGCAATATGTTACCAGAAAACTTAAAAATCATTATAGCAATTAACAAAAAACAATACCAATTGTAATTTGTTGGTACATAAACAGTTTTGAAAATAGGCTACTTAATTATGTAATGTGCAGTATTGATTTTTTTTTTTTTTTAGAGATCGAAGACGCCGGCGGAAACGAATGACGCAATTATATAAAGATAATGGAGAGAATTCTTTTCAACAAACCGATAAAAATTAAATTTTTAAACATTTTTTTTTAAATAACACGAAGTATAATAATTATGTGCATATTACACAATTATTGTGATTTTTAAATTATTAAATTAATTAAGTTAAATATATTTTAGGCATTAATATTCTTTCTTTCAATTACAAACATGACTTTTAGACTAACAATTGTTGACCGTTTGTGCATTGAGTTATGTATTGACAAGTCAAGCAGGTACCTCGTTTTTGCAGTTTAACCATAGACACAAGAAAAATTGTACATATAAGTATTAAGTTTAGAAAACCTGCTCTCATAATTTAAAAATACATATAATAATTATGTACAATTACCGTTTACAAATGGGTTGTGACTTGTGATGTGAATGCACTGTAAAAATGAGGCACTATTGCTTTACCACTTTAAAGGAACGACTCCTCTATATTATTCTATATTTTGTTGGAGGGTAGTTGAATAATAATGAAACTGAAGATTATACTCTTACTTTCATTGTAAGTATAGTTTAATAATACAAATTTATGGGAAAATGGATAAAGGTTAGGACGGATTGTAAATACAATGGTCGTTATGTGAGATTAATGTGTGTGTGTGTTATTAATTTAATTCTAACTTCTCCTAATTCTATTATTACTCTAAAGTTATCATTATATTATAATATTTCCACGTACCTTATTCTGGTCCAGCGATGATGTAAAAGTTGTATCTAACGTCGAAGATGATGATTTAATTTAAAACCTTTTCATTACTTCCCACACTTATCGTCTTTTATAAAGAATCAATGTCTTTTGCCAATAAGATTTAACTGTACTTATGCATATTAACCTTACTTAATTGTCATCTTATTAAATTAACGATTTTTATTAGGTGTATTATCTAGGACTTAATGGCCCTCAAAGTCCATAATGGTGAAGACTGTATAGCCGTCTTAAGTCCCTCTAATCTAGTAACTGTATCGATTCGCCCAGCTACAACCGATGATCACCACGTTCAAACGTACTGTACATTAGATCGTTGACCTTTGACACTAAATAGTTTAAGTTAACTCGCTTTTTGATTAGTCGACAAACAATAATCAGTTGGTAGTACGGCTGTACTTAACTTCCATGGCGTTTAAGCGCAGACTGTAAATGCTGTAAAGGCAATGACAACACTCAAAGCTGTTAGGACTTCCAAGAGGCCTACGGTTAAATTATTGTTGCTTATTACGAGACTGCGATCATAGAAATAATATAGAAAATAGATGATTTAGAGGACAGAAATAAAGTCCTTGAATAAGTAATAAAAACCATAATCTTTGTAAGTGTTAAAGATTTAATGTATATATTTAAGAAAACTATACTCAAATAATTACTTAATAGTCTCTATATTATATATATTTACATGCAAATAAATATTGTACTTGGTCTTCTCTTCGTTAATTTTTAAACCCTTTAGATTTGGCACGACTTGTTGATAATGCTTTCTGTTTAAAAAAAAAATATATTAAAAATGTGTATGTAATATTACCAACACGAACAAGTGAAATTGCTAGAGTTATTTAACATCTAGATTACCAATAATCACTTAATATAAATCACTTCACCACCAAAACTTCTACTTATTACATGTAAGCTTTCGAAGTTCTATTATAAATCGTGTTAAGGTTCTTCAATTAGTAATAAAATCCATAATTTATAAACATTTAAAATATAAATACGTATATTAAATATATAAAAGTAAAATTTAATGTATAAATACTTTAATTAACAGTCTCAGTATATATGTTTATGCAAAAAATTATAAATCTTAAGTCAACAAATCTCTGTATGTATGTACATGGAAATAAATTATATACCTTTAATAACTTATTATTAAATTATTAGGCCGTTTGAATAAATAATACAAATCATAATTTTTGTAAGTGTTATAGATTTAATGAATACATTTTAAAAAACGATATTTAAATTAATACTTAATAGTCTCTATATATATATATATATATATGTACATGCAAATAAATATTAAATTTACTTTTAATAACTTAATATGAAATTATTACATTCTAGGACGTTTGGTAATTATTAGAACAGCCAACTTGTCTATCTCAAACAAAGTATTATTGTTTCTTTGGTGGAATAATAGCGTTTCTTCTTTTTCTTCAATATCGATTTCATTTTCTTCAGGGAACCTATCAAATATACAAGATTATGAACTATTACGAGATCAACATATTTTCGAAACCAATACTACATAGGTACATTACAAACGTCACTTACCTGAATCGTTAAAAAGCTTGTAAAACCGTGAGCCTCTGTTGGCAATTTCTCTGTTTCTTCGGTAAGATTTCAATTTACAATTTAAACGTTTGTCATTCAAGCAAAACCTTCTCCATCTTCTTGACACTTTACAAGCAGTGTTAATATCTTCTCCAATTAGATAATCCCTAAAATCAGTAAATTAACGTTATATTTAAAACCGAATTAACAATTCTATAATATATATAATACTATTTTATTGTATACAATACCCACCGAAAAATCATCATCGATATCTCCACTGGCAATTCTGATATAATGTCGAACCGCATACTAGCTTCTGAAAACCACGTGCTCTTCAGACAACTTGTAAAAAACATGTTGAGATATTCGTTGTGTACGGCATCAAGGTCGGCAACGAACTGACTAACCGGGATGAGCCTCTTCGGTTATATATGCCACAGTGACAAAATGGCCGATTTACGTGGTACCCAAATATATTATCAAATCTATAGTTATCAAATTGCATCGAAGTAGGTATTTATACTATTGCGAGGTGTGTCTGATTCAAAGACATGTCGAATTTTATACCTCGTCCCCTGTCGCTTTGCTCGGAAACCTTTAAGGCCAAAGCTGATACCAACCTATTTTCTTTTCGACCAGTTTAGTTTATATACCAACTAAACTAATAATATAATATTTGGAGACAAACGATTTTTATTAAAATTATAAGACAATTGTCCTAATTAGACGGCCTAGTCATTTGTTTGATAAGATTCACGTTAGAAAAGTGACTTTTTTAGGGATTGACTTTTAACCAAACTAGTAGACTACCCAATTATAGGGTAGTAATGCTTAAATAAGCTTTTATTGCTCTTTAAGAAATATCACTATTAATATTGACCAGAGAATGACTAATTTCTACCGGGATTTATTGAATAATGAATATATCACATACTAGCTAAATATTTTATAATTAGACTTTTTAAAAAGTTGTTTGTATTACCTTAAGGCTTAGGTTGTTTTTTTAATCATTTTTTAATCGAATGAACAGATGATTAGAATGATTTTTCGGAGTCCTATATAGTGACGATCTGGTTGTTAGAACTAAACTGACTGCGTCGCTCGGTTCTTTTCTCTGTACGTATAACGTTAGGTGATTGCAACATTGTTTTCTCAATTACAAGTCATCTGTTGGCTACGGTCCTCAATTGTGGGGTTATTTTCAAAATTTTCTTTTAATCGTTTGTTTCGTTTCTACTTTTCTTCGTAAAAGTGAAAGTTTGAAGAGGTTTTTGCTCCACCAAATGTTTCTATAGCCTCTCAAGCATGCTGTTTGCGAAACATAGATAATATTTTACTAAGTAAATACACTAAAACAACTATTTTTTTTATAATATAAATTTTCTAATATTCTACATATTACAGTAAATAAAATACTATTATAGCAAAGTATCTATCTAATCGTTTTTACTATCAAATAAAAAATAAACATGCCTTTTTGATCAATTTATTTATTTTCTATCACTCATAATGTTTGAGACTATATTCATATAATTTAAAATGCTTATACTAACTTTCAACAATTTTATTTGTGTAAAAAAAAACACCGGCCATAAGCCGGTTGTCACCTAGTTGACCCTAAACTGCAAGTATAATAGATTTACCTTAATACTTTTTTTAACTTGATCAACTTTCTTCCCCAGTTTTATAATAATGAGGACTTGACTAACATGTTTTTGGGTAAAATTGAATTTTGAATGATATTTATTGAATAATGTTCAAAAAAATCACACCAAACAATAGAAGCTCCGCAGTCGAGAAACCGAGACAAACAGACGGTCCATGATTGAGAAAACTAAGTTGCAACCACCGACGATCATACGAACAATAGAAAGAAACGAGCGTCGTATTCAGTATAGTCACAACAACCAAACCAATCACTATATGCGACTCTCCAAACACCAACTCACGTATCAGACTTTAGTGAGAGCGCAAACTAAACACGAGAATACATCTGTAAGTATCAATAACAATAATAAGTAAATAATAATAAATATATTATATGATTACAGAAGAAGCCAGGTCACAAGAGACTTGATAGTTTTAAATAAGAAAGACATCATATGACCTGGATTGAAACTAAGGACCCTTCAAATGCCAGTTCTGTGTTCTGTTCAAATCTCCTTGTTTAATTCCAACGACTATTAAACTAATATACTAAATTAAAACAGATATATTTATTGATTAAGCAAAGTATTAGTAGCCACTGACCACCATATGAACAGCAGAATGAAACGAGAGACGCATTTAGTCACAACAACCAGACAAAAGAACTGCTTCAATTGTCAGTCCAGTGTCCTGACTTCTGACCAATGCTCCTGGTTTAATTCCAGGTCGTCTATTAAAAGTCTATTAAAAGTGAGTTTAAAAAAACAATTTTTTTCCAACCATTTTATAACAAAAACATCTCGTCAATTTTAATACCAGTATATTTGTTGAATTTCTTGTTCGTATAGCTAATACGAATATTTTATGCAACTTAGTACTTCGATGTCTGGTAAGATTAACAATTATAGGTCGGCCATTTTGTTCCCGTGGCATATATAACCGAAGGTAATCATCCCGGCCAGTCAGTTCGTTTCTGACCTTGATGTCGTACACATCGGCTAACGAATATCTCAACATGTTTTTTACAAGTTGTCTGAAGAGCACGTGGTTTTCAGAAGCTAGTATGCGGTTCGACATTATATCAGAATTGCCAGTGGAGATATCGATTATGATTTTTCGGTGGGTATTGTATACAATAAAATAGTATTATATATATTATAGAATTGTTAATTCGGTTTTAAATATAACGTTAATTTACTGATTTTAGGGATTATCTAATTGAAGAAGATATTAACACTGCTTGTAAAGTGTCAAGAAGATGGAGAAGGTTTTGCTTGAATGACAAACGTTTAAATTGTAAATTGAAATCTTACCGAAGAAACAGAGAAATTGCCAACAGAGGCTCACGGTTTTACAAGCTTTTTAACGATTCAGGTAAGTGACGTTTGTAATGTACCTATGTAGTATTGGTTTCGAAAATATGTTGATCTCGTAATAGTTCATAATCTTGTATATTTGATAGGTTCCCTGAAGAAAATGAAATCGATATTGAAGAAAAAGAAGAAGCGCCATTATTCCACCAAAGAAACAATAATACTTTGTTTGAGATAGACAAGTTGGCTGTTCTAATAATTACCAGACGTCCTAGAATGTAATAATTTTTTTATTAAGTTATTAAAAGTAAATTTAATATTTATTTGCTTGTAAATATATACAGAGACTGTTAATTATTAATTTAAATATAGTTTTCTTAAATATACACATTAAATATATAACACTTACAAAAATTATGGTTTTTATTACTTATTCAAGAACTTTACCTTATTTCATGTTAGAACTGAGTTATCGAATTTATGACCACCGGCACAAACTATCCTTACAACTGAAGTAAGAGTATAATCTACAGTTTCATTATTATTTAACTACTCTAAATATATAAGAATAGCTAGTGCAAACTATGAAATAACATAGTGGAGCCGCTCCATCAAAGTGGTACGACAAGTACCTCATTTTTATAGTACATTCATTTTACAGCCTATATAAATAGACTGTAAAATGTGGAGACACTAATTTTGTTATCATTTAATTTTACATGTTTTAATTATGGGAGCAGGTTGTCAGATCATAATTTGTACAACGCAATAGTTGTCTTGCCAATACATAGCTCAATGATACAAACGGGCAACGGTTATTTTTATAGTCTAAGTCATATCAATGCCTAAAATAATACTGAGACCGTTCAACTAATTATTATATCTTAAATTTACACAACTTTTTGATTTTATTACTGATTTCAGGAACTTTACTCGGTTTATAAAAGAACTTGCTTACTGCTGTTTTGTTCACAAGTCCTAGCTGGAAGTTTTGACGATGTATTGTTTTAGTAGTAAGCTCACTTGTCCGTGTTGGCGTATATTAGCGACCTTTTTATTATTTTTTGAGCTCTATAGCTTAAATACTGATGCTGGTGTTAGAATAATTTAAAAAGGAGTACTTGGTAAGTGGAACTATGAGCTTCTCAGGAAAAATAATACATACAGAATCAAGTCAAACTCGAAAACAAATTATATTTTAACTTTTATTAAAAAAATATATAAATATATATATATATATATTTATATATATATTATATTTGTTGGTTGAATATTGAGTAAACTAAAAAATATCTAGTAAAAAATTATTTAAATAAACATTATCATGAGGTATATGAATCTAATCGCTCTTATACTATTTTATTACCAATTTTAGGAGTTAATGAATGTATTGATAATTCCGCTGGTTAAGACTGGCTTAACAAGATGTTATTTCTTTTATCTACAACATTTCAAAAAAAAAAAAGCTAGTACAGTGGGGTCGGGGCGTAGTGAGAACGGAGAGGTCACCGGTCAACAGGAATTATTGTAACTGAAAGTGATAAAATCACTTTAAAAAAACGTTTCGATGCGAATCAATCGATAGTAATTGACCGAGAGTGATAAATGTGTAATTTTCCCCCTATTTATTGGTTTTTTGATAACAAAAACAAGTCGGAATACAGATTATTGAATAGATTGTATAAATTTTCATACTTAAATCCCTAAAACTTTGCTTGAAAAAGTGAAATAAAGAACAGAGTTCTATCCCTTCTAGGGAATAGGGTTTATACTAGTTTTTTGGTTTGTCAATGTTTATCGATAGTACTATGTTTAAAGAAAATTCCTACAAATTTGGAACTAATTCGACTATTTTAAAAAAAATATATAGAGCATCGTAATTTTAAGTTGAAAAATATGTACATTTTTTTTTTTTTTGGTGTTTTTCTTGATTTTTGAAGAGGAAGGGTTAAATTTTTTTAATGTTTGGCCCAATAATTACGCATCGAAGCTAAAAAGTCACAAGTGTTTAATTACAGTTTTTTAAACTGCAGTTTATTTTCTGTTGTGTACAATATTACCGTATCTAACAACGATTTGGCCCACGCCACCTGTATAGCGCTTTTGCACAATAATATCTATGAATACAATATAAATACAACTATATCTACAGAAGAAAACCAAGAATAATGTACATGATCTAACCATTCTACGGTGCCATTGCTAGTGATACGAGTTACGGAACACCGTGCAAATGACTTGAGCCGCGTACCTGATCATTGAATTTGAGCTTACATGGCCGTTCGGTAGAGGCCATTACCATTCTGTATGCTCAAGTATTGCTTACGTCCGGTGTGTCAACCGCGGTTGGCGAAAAGTCACAGGGGCTGGTCTCGCTCATATCGCCGGTCGTGCCAGTCGTACCGGCCGTATCAGTCGTCGCCTTGGTAGTGGAGTTCTGTTCCTGGAGAACCTTGATCACTTTGGCGATAATTGTTTCGATTTGATTGTCGTTGACAGATGATATCGAACCGTTGTTGAACGCCAACACGTACTGAACGCTCATTACAGCAGGAGTTGTAGACGACCGTCGACCGCTAAACGGCCATCTGAACTCACTGCCGTTCTTGGCGATCATTTCGCTTATCGAACAGGCGATTCGCTTGGCGCATTCGTCGTCGCTGATGTTATCGGTCCGGCACCGTCCGAGCGCTACCACGATCGTGGGCACCAATCGTTCCGCCGTCCATTTGCTCTTGGTGTGATTGCCGATTTTATCGCGGATCTTCGTCACCAACCCCCCGGTGATATTGCCTGCTGCGACCACGGCTTTCATAGATCTGTTGGCTACCGTCCACGGCCAGTCCATGTCGAGCAAGTTCGCCACCATACCGGTCAGTCCGCCGCCGCTACTATTCTCGTCGGAAGTCTGCCGCGACTTGCGTTTCTTCAGGCTGGCCGCGCTTTTCCTCTTCGTCTTCCGCCGCATATACGCCTTTTTTGTGCAGCTCGCGGACGGCCTGCCGTCGTCTACGGCCGCGGCGACAGTGGCCGCCGTACGGCCGCTGGACGACGTCGTCTTGCACGACGGCAAATACGACCACAATCTCGACTCCACCTCATTGACCGGCTTTTCCTCGTCATCGGCGCAGACAACGCAGACCACCGTCACCTGTAATACGACCACAACTACTTTAATTAGCATACTGCTGCACAACGTTATGCAATCTCGATGCGAATCTTATCGCCAAATCGAACCGTAAATTAGTTGTCATAACAACTTGTTGATAACGGCTGATAGATGCATATACAGCCGTTCATACAGGGTGATTCATTAAGGATAAGACACTTAGTTTCTCTTAACATAACGCAAATTTTTAAGTTTTTCTTGTTTAAAGACACCTAAGTTTAAGTTATTACATATTACTAGACAATACTCAAATTTGTATCTTTTTTTTCCAAAGCTCTATCGTTTGAATAAATCCCCCTGTATAATATAACTGTAAAAATATCCATAGTTATTCTATGGATATCCAAGAATAGAAATATCCGTAAAAAAATGTAGTAGAAAAATCTAAAATAAATAATTAATATAGAAAAAAAATACATAATTAATAATTATGGTACTTATTTTTATCTGTCGTGTTTGATGTCTATACAATTTTTATTTAAAGTAATACGTTAGACGCACTACAAAGTATTAAGTGGTTTTTATTTTGTGTCATCGTTACAGAAAAGTGGTGTTCTACTAGTCTTCTAAGCAATCTATAGATTTATTTTTACGATAGGGCTTGATTCATCTTTGATTCCTCATGTCTAGGCTCTAAAACAATTGTTTTTTAAGATACTTAGGAAAAATTCTATGTACATATAAATTTGTTGATTTTATTCATGCTAACATATAAATATATTATATCGCCAGCCTATTTAGTATTTAGCAAAGGACGTTTCTCTAAAAAAAACAATATTTGGAATATTACACTACTTGAAATTAAAAAAAAATGTGTGTGAGCTAGTATAATAATGGTTATATTTCAGTGTTATTCCATGATATGTATGATAAACAGTAAGTAATTGTTGTTGAAATAAATGAATAAATTTAACGTTTTTTAAGTGTGAAATTTGGTATTTTGGAGTTACGCCCATTGCTAACTAGGCTGACGATATAGTGCAAGGCATTATGTGAATAATATATATAATAAAAAAAAAATTATATAATGTTTAAATAAAAATAATAAAAAACTTTACAAAAGACGAATAACATGAGTACTATTATTATATTATGATCGAGGTATAAAATAGGTACATAAAAACAAATAATTAATACAAAAAATTGTTATCTGGCTAATTTCAACATTATTCTAAATAATGTAAACAGTTACTTATTTTTTAACATCTGACGATGCCAGATCAACTATGATTACCAATTAATTTAATAGTAAAAATATTCACATGTTCTCCAAAACGTTTGCTATCCTATTTTTATGGGATTTGTGTTCAATGAGTTGTCATGCAAATGTTTTCGCTACTGCTGGTACGATGAACCAATTTGCTGAAGTATCAAAAAAAGTCAATCCGGTTGAAATTAAGATGACAGCTAATCTAGAAAATAATGAAGATACCTACTCAGATCCTATAGCAGAAAGGTAAACACAAATCTCTCTATTCATAGGAATAAAGTTAATAAATGTTTTTTACTAACAGAAAAGAACTACTCCTAAAAAGATATCGTTATTTTGCTAGTAAAGACAAAATGTTGAATGGTTGTCAAACTCCTTCGTCAACAACGTCACAAGCAGATGCTACAAAAACCCCAAAATGTGTAAATGAGTAAGAATATAAATTATTATAATATAAACACCATTTAAAATGTGTGTACCCTAAATTTCCTTTTTTATAACTACTACTATAACTGCAATGTTCTGTAACTTTGTCGTTAATATTGGTTTAAATTTAGGACCAGAAGCACTTTACCGGTATGCACTAAACCAATATCTACGCCTCTGGTTTGCACTACATCTCAAACGAATGCTACTACAAAAAGATGTACGAAAAAGTGTACCAAAACTAATTTCATTGCTGAAGAACACACCGACGAAATTTTCCAAGAACAACGTCCACTCGATCTAACTATTAGCAACCCCTAATATGAATAAGAAGGAAATTTAAATTTGTTTTATTTATTATTTGAATACGATTATATAATTTGTTTATTTGTTTTGATTGTCAACAGTCTTGGATTAAAAAAAAATCAAATGCCATGATTATTTAATAGCTCAAGCGTCGTGTAATAAATTGTAATTGCATTTAATTTTTCAATGTAATCCTAGACCGTGTTTAAGCAACAATACATTTCTGTATACCTATACAATTTTTTTAATGTATAAATTAAATCAGTTAAAAGAAATATAATACATTTGTTGGCTTATTGTTTTTTTTGCTTGTTTCTCGTTTCTAGTATAATATACCTAAATGAAAAAGTAAATATTTGTGTTGAAAGCTTTCGGGACAATAGCATATATAGGTAAATAGGAAAAGTTTTTGTTAGGTTACTTCAGATCACTTGAGGTATTCTTACTTCAGATGTTTCTTGACTTGAGTGTGCTGAGCACACTTACAATTGTTTGTGCCTGTATAGAGTGGTGGTCTTAATATTTTCAGTACTTCGTAGCTGCCCACTTTTTTTAGTAAAATTGTATTTCTATCTCTTAGGAGTTGTTATAGAAATTGCTACTGTACATAATATTTTATAAAGTAGGTGGTAATTTGATTATTTTTATCTGATAGCTTCTGATTTACATGTAACTACAGCAAATCGTAGCTCTGTTCGGTAATAAATAAAACAAATAAGTACAATAAAACACATATTGTTCATTGTTTTCGTTAACATTTTAATAGAAAATGCAGAAACAGACCCAATATCGGTAAACTCAGTTCTGAGACGGAGAGATTTTGTAATAATAATAATTAAAAGAAGAGAAAATAATGGGTGATAACGTAAGATAAAAAGATGGGAAATGTTTGTTAGTTTAAGGTGTATGTGGGTGTACTTTAAAATATTCTATCCTCTTCTAATTATATTATTACTCTGATATTGTTGACTGTTGTGATATATGAATTGTTACGAATGAGTTGGAACCCGTAATCGCACGTAAGTAGACTGATTAATTAACAAGAAAGAAAGCACTGTAATTTAAGGTAACGTTTAGAGTAACTTAACTTCCAATAATAGCCAATTAATAGCTATATCATGTTGGCATCGCCAAAAATATCGAATAAAAACACAGTCAAACGTTTAAAACTGCTTATTTCTAGTTTTTATCAAATTTCAGTTACGGTGCCTTGCCAGAAAACGTTTTATTAGCCAGTTCGTCTCTAGGCTTGGCCAACGTAGCAGTTTAACTCGAAAATCAAAACAGATATAGATAAGTAATCATTGATGAAATATTGCTCGAGTAACGCAAGTAGGTAAAACAGCAACGGTGTAGTAGGTAAAACGTAAAAGTGTACCTCTAATACATTTTTACATAATAATATGTGACTCGTATTTTTCTACAGTTATTATTTGAACATTTTCTATGGTGAGTTTATTATTTTTGTTATCAAACAGTATACATAATGTGAGTTTGTTTGTGTGGTTTTGCACAACTGCGCAACTAATATACGTGTATATACCACGTAAAAACAACACATCAACAAGACTTGCTGTCCTCTGAGATCATGTGTTTGACAAGATCCAACACCCTGCAGGCGTAACCCACCTCGTTGTCATACCACGCACCGATACTGATAAATTTGTCGATTGTGATGATCTGGTTGAAGTCGACCACCGACGAAAACTGCGTGCCGATAAAGTCCGAACTCACGCACTTGTCCTCGTGGTAGTACACCACGTCCTTCATGCACGCCATGGCCTGTTTTTTTATCTCTTCTTTAATGCTGTCCACGCACACGGTTTCTTTGACGCTATAACAACGAAAGTTTGTATCTTATTTCTGATTGTAATAAAAACACTAGATGGGACGGTGGGAATCGCAATAATCCAAGCCAAGGCATGGCCGAGGTGCCCTGGTGATATTTTAAGGTACTTCTCCGCCGATAATTATTGATCTGATTTAATCAGAACCGCTACTGAAGGACCCGAACTGGCTATCTCCACTTTTTATCAAAAATTAATTTTATATAAGTATACAAAAGTGAATACTTGACGAATAGCTTTGCTAGCGACACATCCAACGTCGGTACTCTGGCAGCATCTCCGTTTATTTTGCCTTTGAGTTCCGGCAAGACGAGCGTTACGGCTTTTGCGGCTCCAGTCGTGCCGGATATTATGTTGAACGGACCGGATCGCTATTCACCAACATAGGTAAAGGTTTAGTGGTTTTTTTTTTTACACTATTTCCCGGCATCACTATTACCTTTGTCAAACCGTCGTGAACGGCCTGCGTAGCAGTCATGGAGTGTATAGATGTGAGCAAACAGTTCTCCACACCAAACGCGCTGTGCAAGATCTTGATGACAGGGGCAGCGCAATTGGTAGTACACGAGGCGTTCGACACGACTTCCATACACTTTTTGTACTCGTTGAAATTCACTCCTTTGACGAACGTCGGAGCATCCTTGCTGGGTGCACTGATCACTACCTTTTTGGCTCCTCCTGCAATGTGTTTCTAAGTATCGAAAAAAAGGGGTATACGTCATAATAGTGAAATTATAACCGAATGGACAATTTATTGACGAGCATAAAGTAGCCAGCTCGAATTTTCTGTCGACAACTTTATCAAGGCGCAATCTAAAATATTGTATGTTGTAGTCAAATAATTATAGAACAGAACACTAATATCTAACTGATGTCTTATGGGCTATGGCTCATCATAATGCAATTGCATTTTACAACAACTATAATGATGGTAAACACAGCGGTAGGTTGTTTAACTTGTTAATGTGTTCTAACCTAATTAATTATTTTTTTATTTATTATAATTAATTATTCATCTAAAGCGGGGTAACGTGTTTGGGCTATTATCCTAGAAAATGCTAAACTCCCGTTGTAATATTCGTTTTTATAGATCTCAATTTTACCTAATTATTTTGGCTCAGTCTATTCGGTTACACTCTCTTAAAACATTTTGCACAGTACCTATACAGCACCATGCTTATTTAAGATTTAAGCTTTATTTCCTAATCAATTCTTTCATTACATCGTTTAAATTTTAGTAGGAAATGAAGAGGGAGGGAATGAAAATATTTAGTTTTTGAGTTTTCACTGACGGTTAACAAACAAATATTCTGCACAAAAAACACAACACTTCACCTTCAGGCTATAATAAATGACCCAAAAATATAGAATCAATGACAACAGTTAGAATTAAAACTGCGAGGGCTGACAAACATCCAATTTTCAACAATCTCAAAACTCAAGCGACGATTGGTGGCAGGGGTGGATACAATGGGAAGTGGACTATGGGGGCTAAAACTCTTTCCTAATGTACTTGTATGTAATTGTATGCATTAAAAATATATTTTTTACAATATCACATATTCAAGTATTGTAGAATTGTTTTACTATGTAAACTATTAAATGAAAATTATTTTTGCGGGTTTGATTATGCATATTATTGTGTTGATTTATGTTCATCCCAAGATATTTGAAATCGTCCACTTATTGAAAGGTCTATACCTAGTTCTCTACTATCAGGTCCGAGTTGTCTCTTTTTTCCCTAGTCATGACTAAATATTTGGTTTTATCCTGGTTTACTTCCAGGCCCATGGACTTCGCTGCCTTTATTAAATCATTTATTCTTGTCGCTACTTCTTGCTGCGTATTGCCTATTATAACTATATCATCTTATTAGACAAAATCTCCATGTGTTGACGTATTGGCATTTGCCTGACTACTTTCTCAAGTGCTAGGTTAAAAAGAACAGGTGACAGCGCATCACATCCTGTTTAAGGCCAGTTTTAACTTCAAAACTCACTACTTTTAAACGTAGTACTAAAATTTGAAAGCATATCTTAGGGAAATTAAAGGCCCCGTCATTCGATAGGGCCCCGCAATTATTATAGCACCGACAATGGTCGCTTAAAAATGCATGTCAGTAGAAAATACCAGTTTAAATAGCTGCTGTTTCTTAATGAAAACAGTAGGTAACAGTACGTTCTACACTAATACCTTTGCCGCTTCCACCGTTGTGAATACACCGGAAGCTTCGAGTACATAATCCACCGAGGCGTCTTTCCATTTGATGTCCTCTGGCTTTTTTTCGTGGAAAATTTTTATAGGTTTTCCTGAACAAAAACGCCGAAATAAAAAAACGTCCATCGCGGAGAGCAGTCAAGCCAACTGGAGAAAAAAAAAACCCAAACTAGAGAATTACCGTTTATGATAATGAAATCCTCTTTGACTTCTACTAGTCCGTCAAACGCCCCGTGAACGGTGTCGTACTTCAGCGAGTGCGCAACCTGTTTGACGTCGACGAAAGGCTGATTTACAGCTACCACCTTCAAAATATGATTTAACACTGAGTTTATTCAATACTTATAGCCATATAACCCAACCGGCAACGACTTAATGTTATGTACTTACGTTTACGTCCTTTGTGTCGGCTAAACGAAGTAAGCATTTGCCTATGCGGCCAAACCCGTTTATAGCCACTCGCGGACACGAGGCATACCTTACGGGCATGGTCATCGTTAACCTTCTTGGCGCTAACACAGAGCATTTCAATAGATTAAGCATTATGATAACGTCGTTTAACAGTTTATAAAAATTAGAAACAGAACAATGTTTATTTTCGTTATGTCACATAAACGAGTAGTAACACTGTTTTAAATTATTTCAAATTCGTGTTACTAGGCAATGTTGCAAAACGAATAATCTTTTAAGCTAGACGTATTAACTGTCCAAAACGGTAATAAATAAAAATTATTTTAGAATAGACAATCGCTACCTAATTTATCCGAATAATCGAACCAACGTTTTTTTCTTTACTTTCATATACATAATAACCACATGACGTGTATTAGCACACTTACTCGTGGATTTCTATACATAATTTATAACGATATAGGTTATACATATGTAGGGCTTTCAATTAAGGTGGAATCGGACAAACCGAAAACCCCAAATTTTTTTTTAAAAAATTAGAATAATAACACCCCCTTCTTTATTATACATATAAATATATCAAGTATAAATACAAAACGATCTATGGCTAACCAGATCCCTCTAGAATAATGGTTTGTTATAAATCAAAATACCTACTTGATTTTTATCATAATCTTTTATGCAATGCAAATAAATATTCACATTATACCTAAAATACTTAATACTTTTTACATGTCTATGCAACCAGGCAATGAGCACGTCTCACAAATTTCTTTAATTAATAGCCTTGATAGCCTTGCGATAAAAAATTTCAATTCAATTGCTAACATTTTTTTTTGAAAAAACGTGATATGTAAGACCTAATAACCCATGGGTAAATAATAGGTGGTTATAATTATGGAAAGAAACTAAAACACTTAAAACTTAGTCAACAATGAGGCTGCAATTAAGTGAAGGTGTAGTTTGAACGCTATGAATAAGTAAGTACTTAAGTATAATTTGCATTTACTCTTATCCATAGTAAACCTGTAATGCACTTCTATCTTCTGAAATAACATTGATAGTTTGATAAATGATAATAATTATTTTCAATACTAAAAAGTCAATTTATTTTTTAATCACAATAATTAATTATTAAGTGTTGTAAAATTAAAAAATACACATAAATACACTATACAATGATACATATGTACATAAATTAAAATTACTTGGGATAAAACTAAAAACATAAATTCCACAATAAATGAGTAAAACAAAAAATTGTTTTGTGAAAGAAAAATATCAAAGCGACATTTTTCTTGGTCTTTTTTTAAATGTAAGGGATTTTACTTCCATGTCATTATTTTCAGATCTATTCATTAGAGATTCTGATTTGTCTGGATAGTTAATCTTGATTTTATCTTTTACCGAAATCCTAGGTTTACTAGTTGTGCCTATACCACTGTAGTTTGTAGTTTCGGGGTTGAAGAGATTAATATTAATGTTTAGTTTCTGCTGGTCAAATTCAGGCAAAGCAGTACTGTTTGGTCGAGCTGTAGTACAAACATCACAGGACTGTTTAAAGGTATTATTGCCAGCATTCATGTTCCTACTTTCAGAACCAACAGACATATCGCCCATTCCAAACATGGATTTCATGCTTAAACCTCGGCCAACTAACAGTGCACAAGACAAGAACAACATTTTGATCACAATGATAATAATTATTGGTATCATAATGACTTGTGTCCACCAAGGAAGATCCTCTGGAAAAAAATATAATTTATTACAATAACTTAACTGTAACTGCAAGTAAAGAATACACTATGTACTTACTTAATGCTGCATTGTTGAAAATGTATATCGAACTTCCTAAACACTCTAATGGTTTCATGATGATTTTGCTTGCCATTTCTGCAAATACTTCAGTGATTGCTATTGAATACAGAGGGTCTAGATGAATTGCTTCGTTGAATTTTTTGCATTCCTCTGAAAATACACATAAGTCATTATTTTTACAACTTACTAGAAATGACAGCATTATCTCAAAGTAAAAATAAATACCTATGTCGTTTTTACGAAACCACGAAAATCCTAACCAGTTCTTAGTGTTGGAATAACAATAGTCGGGCATTTTGTCCATGTGTATTTTTCTACTTATTTCAGCTTTCTGATAACACAAAAATATTTTGTATTGAGTGATTTCAGACAAGGTTATATAGTTTTCGAAAGAAGTTTAGAATTAATTTACAAATGTAGTACTTTAAAGGCTATAAAATCATCTTAAGTCATCCCAATTTATGACAATGCAAGTATGTACATTTTGCATTGGAATAAACAGAAAAAAAAATATAAGTGAAAAAAAAATGTTTGGAACTATGACCTTAGTACTACATCAATCAAAGATTCAACATTTATAGCCCTATATTTTGTAGTGTATTATAAATGAATAATGATATTATATTTATCAATAACAATTACCTTGTACATTGTATACCAAGTAGAGAAAAATGCAAGCACAATGATAACCAAAATTATTGATTTCATGGTGATAATTTTTTTTAAGTACTTTAAACTCATAAAAAATAGAATAGTCACAGTAAGGATTATTGTAAGCAAATATAGTAAATCAATAATCTGAAAAAGAAAAAAAAAGTAAAATTTTAAATATAATTGAAACAGATGATAAGTATACCCTGCCCGCCAAGAGAACATGCCTGTTTTGCACATGTAGACTGGTGACCAAGCGGCCGCCAAGAGTCAGTAGGCAGGGTGGTCTCGAGGGAAACACTTATCACACTAGAAGCCGCAGGGATGTACAGAACGGCCAATTTCCGTTGGGTCGCGACATGTTCCGTAGGCAGACAAGGTAGAGGTATGGATAGTTTTACAAGTGCCAAATATTAATAGTGGTGTTATGAGTAAATTCATCAACCAATTAAAAAAATTAATTTAATTTGTTATGGGCAGACGTTGTAACGCCTTACCATTGATTAAACATACATAATATGTATGAATGTATGTATAATCGATAGCCTTATATATCCACGGCTGTGTAGGCAATGGTAACCGGAAAAAATAACCACATGGATATGTTAGGGTAGATAAAATTAACCAATAAAAAAAACCATCCATAATATTATTAACTATTGGATAATATCTACTATCAATAAAAAAATTTATTAATTATTGTGTTTTCTGTAATTTTGTTATTTTAAATATTAAAAATGGAGTTTATATCGTTGAATAAAGGAAAGGAGAAATCATTGTACAATGGTTACATGTACATTATGCACCATGAATTAAAAACATGCATAAGGTTGTGGTTTACAAATATTTAGCTAGAAAAGTTTTGGCTGTGGAGGTGTGTTAAATACTTCTATATGCAAAACTGACCCCATCATTGTAAATGATCACAACCATCCAAGTGATAGATGTAAACAGGCAGTGGATAGTGTTAAATTGGCAAGATATTATGAACACGACGAGCAGTGCATTAAAAAAAAAGAAAGCCAATAACATACAAATTCAAATCAAATTAAAAAGATTATGTGACGAGTATAAAAATAATAAAAGAAATATTGCAAAACTTTTTAAAGGCTGCAAGATATTCGCTGAATTAGTATTAAATAGAAATATATTTTAATTAAAATTTTGTTATAAATTGTAATTTTTTTTATTGTTATAATTTTGTTATTATGAAGATTGCTGACAATGACGTTACTATTGTTGAAATAAGTTATTGTTATAATTTTTTTTTTTGTAATAATATAATAAATACAATTTTTCTTAGTTATTTTTACTTAACCAAACGTATCCATCGGGTTATTTTTTCTAAGTCATTTTTTCCTAGACTCGTAGGCGACATAGTTTATCTTAGTAGTTTATAGCATAAATCAACCTGTAGTGAAATTATTATTGATTTAATAAAATTACTCAATATGTTGTACATAAATATAATAAAATGTATCTTATACCTGTCTATATAATTCATTATTACTATCCAAAGCTCTAAAAGAAAATGATGATGTTTCATTTTTTATCTGCCGAAACATACTACTAAGTATTCGGTCGATTTCGTTGAAATTAATATTCTTGTTATCGCTCATTGTTTCTAATGTTTTCAAATCTTTAACGTTTATCGTTATTGCAGCGTAAGTTTTAAGTTGTACATTGTCACTCAATGTTTTATCATTTGAATCCTAAAACAAATTGTTATGTAATACTACAAAAGACTTATAAGCGAACGTATTATACACTTACAGAGATTCCTGTGTTTCTTAATACTATGTTAACAAAACGTGTAACAAACGTTATGCAGCGGTCATTTGTACTGCAACTTGCTTGTGGGGTGTCTACATAATTTGTTTTCCTCATTGATTTCGTTGCACGATCATAGTTGCCCATATCCAACGGATCAATTAATTCACCTATAGTTACACCTACAACAAACGTGTAGCATAGAAAAACGCTAAAATTTAGATTCCGCATGTTGTATGATCGCCAAATTATATGAACTAGAATCTAGGGTAAAAATGTTGCTTAAAATACAAACTACAAAGACAGCTACTACATTTTGAATAACTCATTAAAATAATCGTTTGTTTACTATGCATCGCGATTAAAGATATACCTGTTTTTCAGGTTTGTTATCAATACCTGTATCTCTTGTGATAAGACGTATGCCGTATGCACCACAGATTACATGATAATCTGATTCAGGTGTTGGATTTTGTCCCCAGTCCCATTACTTGTATTTTTTTCTTAGGTATTTAACTTGACTGATAAATTATAAAAAAAACGAAGTACGAATTAAGACATAGTTGAAATATACTTGATACTATATATATTAATTATTGGTGTATTATATTTCGATCATTAACTAAAATATTAATCTATTATCTATTATCTATCAGCTATCTTAGTTCATGATTTATATTTTATATAAAGGTAGATTATTTTGATAACCGGCAAACTTGGCAAAAATATCATTGTTTTCGTAGAAAAAAAAAATTAAACCACCGCATCCTCTCTGTTTGGATTTCCGTAATAAGTTTTCAAATTCGAATTACCAATAATTAGCAATTACTGATTTTTGTGTTGGAATATTTTACCACATCGTGGGCTACCTTATGTAATCAACGAAAATTACTCTGGACAAATCGAGCCATAATTATACACACGTTCATAAAACCAATTTTTCAGCGTTGAACATACCTACGCAGAATGTGTTTTAATCACTCCGTAATGATTTTAGAGCAAAAATACTAGTAACAAAATCGAAAGATGACAAGATTTTGGAGACAATGTCATAGGTATTCTCTATTATTTAAAAATCGGATATGAAGTTGTCTTCAAACTGTTGTTATCTTTCGAATTCATAATAGGTGCTTTCGCTCTTAATCTAATACAACTACGGACCTAGTAAAAACGCATTCTACTTAGCTGTGCTTGGATGAAAAAAATATTCAAAACACTGTCAATGTTTTATGTTATGATAGTCCGCAAAAAAATTAACTATTAAAAAATCTTAATTCTCTTGAGTCCTAATTTCTTAACTAATAATTATACATTATAGTTTAAGCTTTAAATTAATAGTTAAAAAAAATGCTTATACTTAACTCCTGGAACAATTATAATGCAGTAATTTCCCAGTTGCCTTTTTCAAATTTTGTTTTTATGTATATATGTATTTTTTACCCTAAAGAAAACGATAGTGAAGTCAGATTTTGGAGGTCGGGCTTACTTTTGAAGTTATAGACAAAAACTTTATTATCGAAAATGTTTTTTTATTTCAATGTAATAGACATGTCAAAATTTTCAATTTTTCAAAAACATATTTTGTTACGTTTTATAAAATGGCGAAAGATGGTAATCGAATGATTTCTTTACTTTTAAAGTTATAACTTATAAGCATAATAAAAGTAACATGTTTAGATGGTTTATTGTATGAAGAACGAAGGTAAAAACAAAAAATCGTCTAAATTTAATCTATTTTGTGGTAAAAAAAAACAACTATGGAAAAATCATCGCTCATTACTTTCTGTGTCTGAATTGTTTGAGTGTAAAAAAAGTCGACGAAGGGTGGGGCAAGCGGGCAAAATACTAATTTACCTCCAGCCTGTGGTCTTAGGACCTCCATGGTATTGCTCAATGTTATCTTATCGTAGTTGTTATCAATCGAGAACGATAGCGACCCATTTCGTGGCTACGATTCGCCGGCGAGTTTTCAGCTGATTGTCTCAATAAACGCGGTCTTAATAGCACAGGCCACAGAGCACTTCTATATATCTAGTGGTACACCGAAAAAGCTGCCCTTGCTATCGCTAGAGCTGTAGGTCGAACTGACTATCACGTTTAATCAAATTTTTCATTTCTTGTTGTTTTCGCGAATACAGGGCACAGCTCAAAAAATGTCGAGTACGTTTTCGTTCTTCAAGGCTGCCTCTAGGTTTGCGAAAAATCACAAGTTTGTAAGTACCACACCTTATATTAATACCGCGAGAAGGGCAACTGGACAATTAACGCGTTAATACCAATTTGCTATAGTGCTAAAATGTCTACTTACTGTATGCTCTACGGCTCGTGAGCTATAAAACGGGATAGTCGATAGTGTGTACGGACTTATTCTTGAGCCTAACTGAAACGTTTTTTTTTAATCTTTATCAGCTCGTGTTACCCTGTGACTGTACACGAAAATTCTTCTTAACGATCTCAATTACGCTTGATATATAGTTATAGCACATAACGTACCAATTAAATTACCCATCAAATTTCTCTGCTCTGAAGGAAAATGACATTGTCATTTATTAAAGACCAAATAGTTTCATAGTTGGCAAATATTAGTCTAGAACTTTGCTTGAATACTACAATTGAGTTATAATATTTTAAATAAATACCTACTGCATAATTATAACAAAACTACTAATTTTAAATGTTTCTTAGTCTTTGTTTTTAAATTCATCTTCACCTCATAATTTTTGATCTATTATTCATTTTATTTGTACAAGGTACTTGAGAAATTCATAAAAAAAAAATATTAGCGCAAAATAGAAATATTTAAGGTTTTTTAAATAATAACAGTATATTACTTTAGAATTTAGGTATCATAAATAATAAGCCCATTTAACGTTAATAATATTATTTATATTAAGTACTTTAATTACAAAAAAAATAATTTAACAAAATATTATACTATTTGTTTATTACTACTACTTTTTTTCACGCCTGATAAGCTATATTTGTAGTAATTATTTTGTTCAAGATATGTTAATACACTGGCTTATTTCATGACTTTTGTTATTGCATATTATATTCTTCAACATTATTAAACAATAAAAAAAATGGTACTTTTGTAATGGCTCTGGGCGGTGGTTCCCAACTGGTGGTCCGAGGGCACATCACATTTCAACAAGGTACAGGGCGCTAAACAATTTTTATTTGTGTTTATCAATTTTGTTAAAATAATTAGAAAATAAGAGGTATTGGGATGGGGGATTAAGTGATGGTCTGTGGTAAAATTGGAAAATTGTCTAAAGCGGTTCGTGCCTTGAGTTAAGTTGGGAACCACTGCTTTGGGCTGATATTCTTTACTGAGCTCATAGAAAAGTGGTATAATACTTTAATTAACTTTATTATACTTAATACTAAAAATACATTATTATTAATTAGGTTAACAAATTATTTTTTCTACAATATATAGTATGACATATTAACAGTGGCGTAACTAGAGACTAAAACGCCCAGGAGCAAGATATTTTGTTTGCGTCCTATAGATTGGGCCCCAGGGCAACCACTCCCCCGCACCCACTATAGCTAAGCCACTGCGTATTAGTTACTATACACCCAACATTGCTTTAAAACTGTTAAAAGACCAACGATAATACAAGAATAAGTTCTTTACAGATAATATTATAGATTATAAAAATATTGAATTTTGATATTGTGAGAATTTTCCCTTAAAGTTTTTTTGTTATGAAAAATCACTATAGCTTATATAAAAATAGGTTTCTTATAAAATGTATTTAAATAAATTCATATCTATTTACCTATAAAAAAATTCACATGACTGAAATGTTGTCATTTAATCATTTTTAATTATATTTTCTCTCAAACAAACATACACCTTATGCTTGTATTTATAACTACACTACTCCATATAAACAGTATGTTTGATGTATGTCCGATTATGCAACTTAAAGCCTACGTAATAAATAATTATATATTTAAAATACATTATTTTATTTAAAAAAAAAAAAACATTTATATTTATATTACTTTTTTATTATTTGTTAGAAATCTTATACAGATAAAATATAACATAATATTTTTTTTTTTAACAGTTTTTTACTAGTTTTGGTGTTTTGGCTGGTGGTGGAAGTTCTCTAATTTATGCCTTGGAGCAATCAATACATGCCTCACACGATGCAGCTCATGCTGCCTCACAACCATGGAACCATAATGGTTGGTTCAGTACCCTAGATCATGCAAGGTATCAGTTTCGGTTATAACCTTTAAAAATATTTTATGTTTACAACCAATAATCTCGAAAAAAATAAAATGTTGTGAACTACAGTGTTCGTCGTGGTTGGGAAGTCTACAAGAATGTATGTGCAGCTTGTCACAGTGTTGAATATTTGGCCTACCGGGAAATGGTAGATGTTTGTATGACTGAAGCTGAAGCTAAGGCGGAGGCTGCCGAACAAATGGTAATGTTTTATAAGTATGTATGTTTTGTACTAAATTTGATTTTTTTCAAATGTAATGTTTAGATTGAAGATGGTCCTGACGAAACAGGCGCCATGTACAAGAGACCTGGTAAACTTTCGGATTTACTTCCTAAACCATACCCTAATGAAGAAGCAGCTCGGTATGCCAACAATGGTGCTTATCCTCCAGATTTGACTTACATTACTCAGGCTAGAATTGACGGAGAAGTGGGTTAAAAATATTTTATTATAAAAATTAGTTTTAAATAAATTTGAAATCAACTTGTCGTTAGACGTGTGTATGTTTGTATCATGGTTAACATGTTACATGTTTACTATTAAATATAATTTATTGAACTACACTTTCTTAATAATTATTAAATTTGAGTATAATAATAATTTTTAATCTATAAAAATCAGCCCATCATTATTCACTTATTACATGCCGCGTTCACTCAATTTCTGTTTTAGCTACCACTTGTTCAATTATATTTTTAAATCTTCATGAATAACTTACCCCAACACATCAGGGAATTAAAAAAAAAAAAAAATGTATAAATATATATACGGAAAAAAATATCTACATGAATAGTTGTGTATGAGCGGTGCTCACTTAAACGGAACTGGCATTAGACCACCTCATTTTTCTTCATCTAACTGTTACATGTCACTTTATTATGTATTATTATTGCTGTACTAATGACATGATGTATCTCAATTTAGACACTTGTGAGAATTGATGTCACTCATCAGTCATTAGTCGTATTTAAATGTCACATATGTTTTACATTTTTTAGAATTACATCTTTGCATTACTGACTGGTTATATGGATCCACCAGCAGGTGTTCAAATACAAGAAGGTCAACATTATAATCCCTATTTTCCGGGTGGAGCAATTGGAATGGCTCAAGCTTTATATGATGAGGTAATATTTGCATAAAATAATTAACAATAAATATGATTATAACACCATTTAAAATTATGCTATTGTTTTCTATTGTTGTAATAACCTAGAAATTTAGTACAACACAATTGTCACACGATAGTATTTCCCTTTTTTTCCCCCTTGATAATAAAAAAAGTTGACTACAGATTTTTAAACAATTATACAATATAAATATTATAAATTACATGGTATAGCCCACTACAAATCTAAATTCAGTCAGTTTTTCAGAGTTATACTCCTATAACTACATCCTAAAAATCAAAACTTAAGAAAACTTTCTACCCTTTCTGAGGAAAGGAATTAATGAAATGTTTTTGGTTTTTCACTGTATTTGATAGTACTATAAAGACTACGCCACAAGTATGGAAGTAATTAGACTATTTTTTAAAAGTTATATAATAGTGTGCCGTAATTTTCAAGATTAAAATTGTGTACATTTTAAGGTGCTTTTCTCGGATTTTAAGGGGAAGCAGTAAGTTTTTTTAAGTACCTAATTCGCGTACCTTATATATAATCACGTACCTTTCCCGTAATTTCATATCAATAGAAATGCTACTTGAGTAAATTGGTCGACAGATAAAAAAGTTATAATTTCTTACAGGCACATAAAAGAAAACATTAAACCAATACCTTCTCAGCTACTCATTAATGCTAAAATTATTACATTGTATATGTCTGATTGAACTAATGTAAAACTAAATTATTAATTAATTATTTTATAACTAATTGTTACTTGATGGTATTGACAGTAAAATATGTATAATAATTGCTTTATAATTTTTTTTTTTTTTACAAATAATTTTTATTTTTTTATTTTTAATTATATTTTAATACTGCATTAGATTATTGAGTACGGTGATGGAACACCAGCTACACAAAGTCAGTGTGCTAAGGATGTGGTAACTTTCTTGAAATGGTGCGCAGAGCCAGAACACGACACTAGGAAACTATTTGCAATGAAAGTAAGTTAGGAGTTTGTTTTTAAAATATTTAAAAAGAAAATTATTTAACATCATATTATTGTTTCATAGGCATTTTCAATATTGGGAGTGCTCAATTTGGTTGCCTGGTATTTGCACAGACATTATTGGTCTGTCATGAAGACACGTAAAATATTAAGTAGAAAATAATACTTTCACTTGGTTTAGCAAATTACAAAAGTGATGTGTATTTATCAGTCATTCATTCTAAGTAATTGGTATCCAACTAATTTCATAAAAAATGTAATTTAGCGTGAAAAAACAAACTAGCCACGTTATTTGTAACATATTGTCGGTTAAATTTAATTTATACTATATACATGTTGTCAAATCCCAAAAATATCATATTTTTAAATTTATCAATTAAATTATTTTGCCTGTTTTAAATGTATATATTATTTTATATGTCAAATGTATGCAAATTATAATCACTTTTATATAAGAATCCTTTTAAAAAAAAAAACTGTAAACTGACAATTCATAATAAATTAATTACATGTACTTATAAAGAAGAAAAACCATTAAGCGTAAAATATTTAAAACGATATATTATGTAAAAGTGATAATTTCTTCTATCAAAAATCTTGATTTTCGTGAACTTTCTTATTTTAAACTGTCAAATTATGCTTCATAAAATAAAAATTTACAAATTAATGAAAATGTATAAGATGCGTTTTAATCTGTCGATAATTGATAAATGTGTGCGATAATCACCAGTGACAAAACACAATAGGTATTAAAATTTGGTAGATAATTTATTTATAAAGTTATACTGTCTAAGCAAAATACTTAACATATGGGATGTGATGTAATTTACATGAAGGTATAAAACAGTAGAATAACAAAATATACTTAATTAAACAACTAACCGAATATTTTAGTACAAATTATGTATTTTAAAAATACTTTTTTTTAACTTTTGACAATACTCATAATTACTCATAATGTAATATAAACATGTTACGCATAATTAAAATGTGTCTCAATTTTCCATTATTAATTTATATGTATATATATATTAGGTAATTTTTACTATTCTTGTGAATTTTTTTTTTTTGCTACCCATAACTCAATTATTGTAGTAAATCATAAATTATAAATTGCAGTATAACTTAAAGATAAAACTAATTAAATTTCTATGCTCTATGGACACACATTAAAACATGGATATGTTTTTGAGCTGTAACAAGGTGCAAACATATACCTTGGGCATACTTGGGGACAACTAACGCGTTGGTAACCAATTGCTTATATAAAATTATTTTTGACGTTGACTTTGTGTATATAACCTAAAAAAAATTTAACATATTTTTGTCAAAATAAAATTTAAATGTATGACATTTTATACACAACATGACGGTTACATTTTCAAATATTATAACTAATTTAATCACTTTTACTTTAAAATTATAAATTGCCTTTTGCCACTATTTCTAAAAACTTTAAAACTATATATCAACGATATACAGTTTTCAACCCAAATATTTAATACAGGTACATAATATGTTATAACCCTGTGGGTTAACTAATGATAGCATCAACACTTTGGCTAACATAAACTTTTTTCATAAATAATTTAAAAAACAAGTATTTATTTATAAATAAATTATTTGTTTTTTTATTTCGAGATAATGTTTATGAGTGAAGACAAAACAAATTTGAATTATAAATATAAATTACCCAAAATAATACTTACTAATTAGTAAAATGAATTTTGAATATTTGAAAACATTTAAAAAGAGATTTAAATAAAAATAATTATATGGAACACATTATATATTATGCATAATAAATTTGAAATACGATATAATTTAAAATTTAATTGTACCTATACAGATTTTATTATTAGAATTTATCCTATATCATATCATAATTCAGAAAAAAAAAGTTTCAACTTCACAAAGCAATCAGCCCAGTGGTTAAAAAGTTACATAGGTCCAGACACAAAGTAAACACATTTTATTGTAAAACCTTAAAAATAAATAACCTTCCTAGCTCTGCAAATAAATGTTTAAAATTATTGAAACAATGTAATAAAAAAGTTTACATTTTACAATTAATTATGTTATTTTATTAGTTCTCACCAACATTTTAAGAATCTATAATCAAACAAACTGGTTAGGTTTACAACCTAGCGATGATAATTATTTATACAATAACTAGACTACATAGGCTATTAGTAAATTTGCGTTGGCTACTTAAGTCCAATTGGCGTAACCGTTTGTTTATTTTTGTTGCTACTCAAATTTTGCTTTTTCACTTAACAAACTTTTATTTCAAAATAGTTAACTCAATTGTTGTTTAATTACGGATAAATTCCGACTTAAATTACGTGAAATACTAGTTTTAAATATATTAATAGATTACAGTTAAACAGTTCTTATGAGGTATCATTTTATCAATGACTTTGCTGCCGAGCCTTTTGAACATATTATTATAAGCACACCGTCAGCTGACCAGCCAGTCAAAATAACGGCCAATCAACAACATTACAATAAAAACGACCAATCAGCTTCACCAATTTTTCAACCTAGACAGCAAAGCTATAACACATTTTTCAAGTACTTGGACCACTGTGAAACGAGACCATCTTCTGAGTATTTTAACAACAAAGAAATGTCATCTACACCCGAGTATATTCTACAGCCGAATAACGATACATACATCAAACCCAAGACCTCAAAAGTTTTCAATGTAAACAAATTAATTTTTTACAATCCATTTAGAGCGTTTGGGACGTAACTGTAATTATTCCTAAGGTAGGCAGAAGCTAATTAAGTAAAATGGCTCAAGAACCGGAAAATATACTTATTTCTCTATTAATTTCTCATTTGTCTATATTATTAGTAATTTTGGGTGACCATATGCAATCTAGAGAAAAAAAGCTAATATATATATATATATATATATATATATAATAGGTATAATTTAATAGTTATAACTAAATTCTAAATAATTTATTTAATGTAATCTTGTATTATAGGATACCGTTTTAAAAAAAATTGATGTCTCTTACCTTATTTACATATTTATTTAATGTTTTTTTTAAATATTTGTTCATTTCTTTTTAGCTGAATTCTGCCTACTGATCATTGAATCAATTTTGTTTTGTCTACGGCTTCTACATAATACATTTTGTAAATTATGGCTCAAATTGACAGATAATCATAACTTATTAAGATAAAAAATGTATAATAAAAAACTTCTATTATTTATGCGTTCACAATATGCTAGGTTCGGATCTTGTACATTCTATATACATTTCATGGACAAATATCATGGAGGTACTTGCGTTAAGCGAATTTCGATTTCACCTATTTTTCTAAATAACAAGTTCACATACGACAGATTATTATGGAGGTTTATATATTAATAAAAATATATTTCTGCCTTTTTTGACATTGTGATGCTTAACCACTAACCAGTGGCATTTGAGGGGGGGGGGAGGTGGCTGGGTTTTAGAGAAAGAGAATAGTTACCACTTGGCTTAAGAAATATTAGTTAAACTCAATTCAATGAAGTTTTTGTCGAGTTCTTAAATTAATGCATTCAGAAGCTAAGATTAAACTTGATAAAAAATGCAAGTGAAGACTTTTTATAGAATAAAATAGACACTGACCAATTTTATAGATTGTAACCTATCTGCTGGCCAGTAGCTAATATAAGGTACAATATTTGCACCTCCTACCTCCCTATAAGTTTTTTTATAAATCGGGTATAATTTAAAAAAAAAAGTACCTATAACGAACCAGTGCTAATTTGACAATGTATATAGGTAACAGTCATACACATACCGCATGTGTAAATACTATTTTTTAAAACTTTTAAATAGCTTTATTATAGTTGGATAATTTTTCATTTAGTTCATAGAAACCATATTTATGCCGGACTGTCGAACATCGCTGATGTCACATTTTACGGACGTCAACGCAAATAAAACGGATATAATAAACGAAAAGTGCGCTACCAAAAAAGTTAGACTTAGCGAATTGCCGATCTATCCGACAGAGGATCAATGCAATAAAACGTAAGCATTTATACTTTAAACATTGTACGAATTTTACTCAACTCTCAAGCATTAAAAAAACAACAGCAGCATATATATATTAAGAAAAGAAATACTTTATTAACGATGAACATAAACAGAGATTTAAATAAAATAATTTCCCATGGTAAAACAAATTAATACAATAATTGTTTCTGAAATTGTCAAAAAACAGTATTTAATGTATACTTTAAAAAATGTCTAATTAAAATATTAAAGATTTTATTTTACTAAAATTCAAAATTGGTCTAAGAATTATTTTGTGATTTTCAATAATATTTTTTTATTTTTAAAGGGCGCATCATTTAATGATAATATTAAATATTGAATAAATTACTCATATGTATAATAAAGTATATTGAGATTATAATAAAAAAACTTCTCAGTCACACCTAAATAACAGCATATAATGTATACTATCTCTTTATGACAACAATTTATTCCTGAAATTCGTTACTAATGACGCATGTTCGGCTGCGTGTGTGTGTGTGTGTGTGTTAAGATAGGAAAAAAAAGATAGAAAATAAGCCGGTAGAAGTACTTGAACTTGAACCTGAAGGAATGATGAAAACGATTTTAGAAGCATGGAATAAAGTTGTTATGTTTACAGACAATTTACACTCGGCTGTGGACAAAACTAGTCACAGACTAAACGGATTTTGGAACGGTAATACTTGCCTAACTTGTTTTTTGACTTAGTATAGCGTATCTGTTCTTTGTTTGTCAGAGCTAATCGAAAAACTAAGAGAAGAAGATAACGTTCATCTGAGGTACGCCACCGTTGTGACTGGCGGCATTGTTGGTGGAATATTAGCAAGGCGCGGAGGAAAGTTCAAAAAAACCCTTTACGGCTCCTTAGGTGCTTTGTCTGCATCTGCCGTGTGTTATCCAGAAAAAGCTAAAACTACTTTCAAATTTGTCAGACACAATGTCATTGTGGCTTACCATCTAATTAACGGGTGTATGTATATTGTTCATAATTTATGTGTCCTGAAATTAAAATATAAGACCGTACAAACAGGTCCCCACCAACCTTTTTTCAACATTGCCTTATTCGTATAAGAATAACAACCAAGCTCTGTCTTATAGAAAAGAGGGCATAAAAATTCAAAATTAAATCCAAAAAGGAAAGATCCATTAAGTTACATTGAAAAATTACATTTTATTAGATAACAAAAAAATTGTCTTCTCCAAAATTAAACGTTTTTCAGAATCGGACCATCATTTTACACTTTAAAAAAAATGTTTAAATACATTTTTTTGACTTAGTTGTTTTCTACGGATCTCTTCCTGGATATATATTCTGGGTTGAACAACTTAAACCAACAAACGTTTGTTTAATACTTTTTAATCATATTATAGATAAGGGGAAAATGAGTGTGAACTGTTGACTGTGCATATATAGGTACCATTGATTTTAAAATATAAAAGTAATTTTTAAATAATTTGTAAAAGTCTAATTTTTAATTATATTATAAAATCAATACACATACCTACAAATGGATAACAATATTAAAGTATTTTATTTTTAACTCATTTTTTATATTATCATGTAATATTTATGATAATATGAATTTGAGCTTTTTCTGGGCGTTAATTTATTAAATAAATACAAATAAATAAATAGATAGAAATATGAAAGGTATTATTGGCCAACAATAATTGAAACCATTAAATGAAATGATCCACAAAGTTTTTTATTAAAAGACATGTACCACAGTACCAAGCTTCTAGTTTTTTGAATCTAATTAATCTTTAACTATTATTATTTGATGATTTTAGATAGTTTAGATGAATACTATGAAAAGAAAAGAATGAAAGAAATGGGTATCGATTATGATGATATGGCAATTACAGATGTAGAGCTCAATAATCTAGCTCAAAAACTAAATAAAGACTCATACTTCGAAGAATGCATTAATTCGGTTGCCAGCAAAGAAGTATTAAACAAAAGAAAAAATATAGGAATTATATACGAGAAGAAGTAGAGTATTATCTACAATTTATTATATATGTAGTTGTGGGACTTCGGGACAAGAAAATCTAGTATATTAACTTAAACTAAATAATATCATATTATCATCACTGATCACCCGATTTAAAAAAAAAAACAAAACAAAAATTATTAACAGCAGATTAAAAATCATAAGACTTTTTAGGTACGAACAATTAAATACTTCTTTGCAACAACTCTTTTTAGCTTCGATGCGGAACAAAAGAGGTATTTTTATTTTAATGAGGTTTTTTTCCTTAAAATGTAATTATTTGTTAATTGTTTCAAGAAATGAGCCACGATGGCAGAGTTTCGTGTAGTTTTAGAGTTTAAGGTCTGAAAATAAAACCAAAATCTACCCCATATACTATTTCCTAAAAATTTGTTGTTAGATTTTTTTTTTATTAAGAAAAAAGCAATGTTTCATTATATTATCGATTACGATTTATGGTTAACAACGCCAACAAATTATTATAGACTGACATAATTACTTAGACGATCAACCCTAATCGTATTTACCCTAATACTAAACTAATAATTTTTTACTATAAGTATCTACAGATTCGCATCGAAGCGTTTATTTAAAGAGATTTTATCACTCAGTTATAATAATTCCTATAAACTTCCCGGCTCTTCTTCCCTGCCCAATATGCTCCGTACACACTATGACCCGACCCAACTGCCTGGGTTTTTTAAACAACTTTTTAAAAGCTAAAAGTAAATTATAAAATTTTCTTTCTTATTAGTCTCTGTACCAACTACCGTCTACCAGTCGTTTTAAATCAACAGAATACTGGAAGGTACATTAATGTGTTATTATAGTTATTACCCTGTCTTAACAGAAAGTGACCACAACACTTCTTGGCCGAAGTCACAGAGTATTTAAATGCTGTTATAATTTGTAAAATGTATGTTATTCTATGTATATTATAGAACTGTGTCACGAGATGCCAAAAACCAATAGAAACACAATCAAATACAAGTATATCAAATTTAAGTATACTAACGTCTTTCTTATTTGATAAATTAAGATTTCTAACAAAATATACCTATGGCATAGATCTTTTAACATACTATGAATATTTCAAAATTATTTTATACAAACACAAATAGTACAATGTAAGGTCTTTTTAACACAAAACGACGTGTTAACATATTATAATAAATAGGTAATTTACCATTTACTATTTTGATAAAATATGTAACTTAGGTCTCTTTTAAAAAATACCTATTCGTGTATCATATTGTATAATATGTTATATGTATAAACTATAAAATGCTATTAATATGCATTCATAATAGGTATATCAATTAAGTAATAAATGTAATTTAATATTTTTTAAATAATAGGTCATAATAAAATTAATTATTTTAATAATATTTAATGAGTAGATTTTGAAAATTCAAATAAATATAATAGACTAAAATCATTCAAACATCTTAGGACCTTATTATTATTGTACATACGCGGTGTCATATTTTTATTTGGTTTTTTCAAATTTTTCTAGTACTTATTATAAAACTAGATTAAATAATTACATATAGTTAATAATATATTTATATTAACATCGTAATTTGAAAATGTATTTGTAAGTTACTGAGAAATCACATTTTGCTATCCAGATTTATTACTTGTTGGAAATCGAACATATATTTTAAACCCGATTATTAAAACTGAACATATTAAACGGTAAACAGTTAATACAAATTATTAGGAGCTGATTATGCTATGTATTTTTAAAATTACCTAATTTATAAATTTTTATTTTAAATTATATTAACAATATAGTTAATATAAATTGTAAGTCTACATTAAAAAATAATATCAAAATATAATTAAGTAAAATTATTAACTATTTATTTATTTAATACAACAAGAAATAAGAGGGAAGAATTTCATCAAACACAGACTAACCCAATTTAGTTCATTTTTTCAAAAACCTTTTACATCGTAAATACATCATGCTGTACAAGTAGCAAGATATATGCAACTTTTTTTACTGGGTAATGGTTTTTCGTAATAAAACTTGATATAAAGTTAGAATGTTATTGTTTAGTCATAACCATACAAAAAAAACATGTCTCGAGAGACTATACCGAAGAATTGAGCAGTTCTGGCGTAAGTCTTTACGAAGTCAGAAATTGCAACTAACTAGATTTTGACACGGGTAATTTTCAATAAATCTTGTTTAAATCAAGTTAGTAAATTTTTGAGTTTTTTAATTTTTTAAACGTATTTAACTTTGTCATATCAAATTTTATTTAAAATCGCCAGTGGAAATATCTAGAAAATGTTTGACCTTTAGTTTTGTATGACATATAATATTATAAAATTATATATTGTACTGTTACGCTAATGGCCAAACCAAAACGTCGGCAGTACATAGATCAGATTTGATCTGATAAGAGCACTAAACTGTAAACAGCACGGTCGTATGTAAGACCATGCTAAACAGGGACGAAGGAGGTATTATGGAGGTAACTACAGTTAACCGTGACCTGGGTAGTGGTGTTAACACAGCGGGTCTCTCCGAGTCGTGATAAGGTTTGTTGCTTGCTTGGCCACTAGTGGCGACGAGGGCAACACTCGACTTGGGCTGCGGGCTGACGTCAATCGTTAATTTAATGGCCGAAATCCTTAGCACCGGTTGGAGTTTTATTGTAACGTTCAAACCGATCAACATGAATCGTCAAACACAAAAACCGTTTTAAAACAGGTAAAAAAGCATGTTATTTCTAATAGGTGTATTTTACATAGTCTTCATTGCGTTTTTTTTTTACTATTTTGCGTTAATAAAACTTATCTAACATGCGGCTAATCTAAATGAAAACCTTTTTCGCGACAATTCGTACGATTGGCGTTTAATGCGTTTTCCTTGCATATTAACCTCAACAATTGGCAGGTTAAATTTTCAATGTTCAATTACATTTTAGGATTCGCCTAAACTTTTTTTTTTTGTACATATTCTATCTTAATTTGCAATATTTCGATTGATTATATTATACTAAAAGCTATACAAATAACACTCAATGTTGCTATGGTACACGGCTTATGTTTTGTATACATAACCTCAAAATTTTATAACGACACTCGAGTGACAATTATTTTTCGTTGGTGCCGTATTTCTTATTTATATTTTTCATCAATGCTCCATACCTACATAGTCTATACTACAACAGTCTAGGTATTTATACATAATTAAGTAATACATTTTTTAGAAAGGTTATATATTAATTATTCATTTGGGAGTCTCAAAGTTAACATATATCTTGTTAAGGCTTGATAGGTATAGTTCACTGGTTCATTCAATTTTATTTTTGATGTCTCATTTTTATTTTGTTCAGTCGTTGAATTATTTTCATAAAATATTGTTTTTAAAGTGATCTGTAGACAATTGATATGCTGTCACCAATTATATTTTCGCTCTGAATAAATTACTTGAATTGTCTTAAAATTAACTGGCTTTAGTGAGCGTCATATTTTAAATTGTATTGTAAGTATTATAAACAATAATTATAGCGAGGTTGCATGATGTAATCTGCACAACCTATTTTCTTAACCTGTCATAACGCACATTGTGTCTGTTTACACATATAGGGTATTTTTTTTCTGTGTTTTTTCAATATCAATACATTTTAACTAACATGAGTGTAAACAATTATTTTTCAATTTTCTTAATATTTACTTTACTTTTTGATAAATATAAAATTACAATAACAGATAAAACAATAAAAAAGAAAAAAATATTAAAAATTTTAGCTTATCTTTTTCTCTATAAATTTCTGATAGAACAATATGCAGATCAATATAAATATTAGTATATTAATCTGTATGTTGTCATTTCCTATGGGTAAAATAAATTCTATGCTTCTAGAGTCTAGAATAGGATTTGCACTTGTAGCCATTTCCCTAATTCCATGTTTAGTTATCTGATTTACTGATGCAATTCTTATTGTTTAATTCGGTGGCCTACGTGATTATTTGATTTCATCTTATCCTATGAAGTATTTATTTGCTCTTGTCCAGGTAGTCAAGTTAGAATTTTTAATAATGTTATCCCAATCTGATAGCTTTGTAAGAGTATTATGATCACCAATATTTTTAATAGGTTGTATTTTAGCATCTTCATCTTCTGACATACCATCTCTAAACTTCTTCATCAATGAACTCATTGAGAAGGTATTCTACACATTAACTTTCAAGTTCATCCATTTCAAATATTAAAAATCAATTAATAAAAGATTCATTATTTACCCCTTTCACGTTATGACAGATTAACGCGGTTGCAGTATAATTGCTAAATTTTCTTACTCAAATAATATGTATTTATTAGCATCAGTGCGATAGCCGAGAAGGTATTGTATCTACAATGATGTATTTTTTATTTTTTTATTTTTGTGTCTCCCCCCCAATATCTTTTAAGCCGCTGAAACTATTTCTTTGTGTAGCAGCTCTTAAAATCAGAAATTGGACCTGTAATTGGTACTTTATTAGACCAAAAATTTAATAAGTTCATCCGTTCCCCTTTTAAATCGAGAAAAACACCCCAAAAATTGTTATTTTTTTCAACTTAAAATTACGGTGCTTCATATATTTTTTCACAATAGTCCAATTAGTTCCAAATTTGTATAGAATATTCTTAAGACAAAGTACTACCGATAAATGTTGACAACCTAAACAATTATCGTACACCCATTTTCCTAAAAGGGGTAGAATTTTTTCATGCAAAGTTTTAGGGGTTTATGTATGAAAATTAGACCAAAGGTAGGGTAAAATTACCCTTTGACCATAGTCAGTTTTTAGGTTGCTATGTGTGGTTTATACATACTCCCACAGATTCGCATCGAAGCGTTTATATAAAAGTGATGTTCCACTTTCAGTTTTAAAAATTTCTGTAGACCTGTGACCTTTCTATCCCCACTATGCCCCAACCCCACTGTACTAGCTTTTTATTATTTAAACTTTGATGAACCTTTTTTTATACATTCCTCAAGACCAAACTTAGTAAAACTGGAACAATAAAAAGTTTGTCTGAAGGGAGCATATTTTCTTAAATGTACTAGTAAAAAAAGATAATGATTAAATATATTATTGCTTGTTTTAAGATAAAAAGAAAGTTCCTTTATAAATTGTATAATATTGTGTTATAGAAAAATTGTCACTAAATTTTCTCATTTAAATATAACTAAACTTCTAATAAAAAATGTATAGCTTATAACTAATGAAAACAATGTAATTAGACATTAGTTAAAGCGTAAGTTGAATAAATATTAATTCAAAGACTTTTTATTACTGTTATAATAAATGTTCCTACATTAAATATAGTTAGTTTGAAAGTAAGACAAACAATGTTTGCTATGTTCATTCTCTTAAGCTATTATTAAGGGGCAACATATAGGTAAAATTTGATAAAAATAATTCTGTGGCATTGCAATAAAATTTAATTTTGAGGTAGCGATCATTAGAAGAAGCTTTTTTATTTACTAATATATATATATATATAGTTGTATATATATATATTTATAGAGATAAAGATGTAGTTTGTTAAATAATAGTAGTGTTACAATTTGTTTTATCTCACTATTAACAAAAGCTAAACATCTATAAATTTGTTATATATATATATATATAACAATATATTAATATATACAACTATATTTATAGATGTTTAGTTTTTGTTAATGGTGATGTAAAACAAATTGTAACACTACTTTTATTTAACAAACTACATCTTTTATTACGTGTTTTATAATGCTCAGCATGAGTTGTTTTTGTCATAATAACATATTATATAATTTGTTCATGTAATTTTAGTTAACAACCTAATCGGAAGTCAACATGTATTTGTATAACATGACGCTGCAACGTGGTAGTGGCATTACGCATGCTATCCATGGAAATTTCAGTGGAGGAAAAGCCCAAGAGATTTTAGTATCCCGTGGTAAATCCTTGGAGCTCTTAAAACCAGATACAAATACTGGCAAAGTTCATACTCTACTTACAGTTGAAGTTTTTGGAGTTATAAGATCATTAATGAGTTTCAGACAATCTGGAGGCACAAAAGGTATTTTTTTATTTAAATAAATTGATTTAATTTTTTAATTGTTACATTTATTTTCTACAGTATTACATTTTAACATTTATGTTTAAATCATGTCGTCCATTTTCTATTTTACATATAACTTAATTTTATTTGTAAAATTTGTTGATAGGACATTCATATACTTACGATATGTCCATATATTACAACTAAATAGATGTCTTAATCTTATCACCAATACTGTGAAATTTTGTGCTATGTGAAAAGGAGGCATTGTTGTTTATACTAATATATTATTCTGATTAAGTAAATTTTGTTTTAAAACTTAATGTGATAAATGTAAACATTGCCTTCTTACCACAAGGCATCAACTTATTCTCAAATATAAACAATTCTACAATATTAGTATTGTAGTTGTAATGTCTAGCTGACTCAAATTTTGTGGTTCTAACATTGCTGACATTAATAACACTGTAGAATAGGTTATTTTTTAGAAGGGGCAATGAAAACCAAAATAGATTGATAAATATTGAATCTTATTCAATTCAGTCTTTTATTTTGTGTACAGTGTTTAGTTTTTTGTTAATCACTTCTCAATATGTTTCTATTTTTAATTTGTCTTTGTATTTTTCTAACAGAGCTATTTATTTAACCTTAACTTATAAATCATTTTGAAATTATATTTTTTATTAATTATAATTATTATTATTTTTCTAATGTACATATAAATAATTTTTCAAATACACAACATTTACTTGCAAATTTAGGTTTAGTAAGCGCTATCAAAAATTTAATGTAATCTATGTGTTGAGATTTCTTGGTGGAAAAAAAAAATAAAGATATTTTAACTTGCTGTTTTAATTTAGATTACATAGTGGTTGGTTCCGACTCTGGGCGAATTGTTATATTGGAGTATTTACCTTCAAAAAATGTACTAGATAAAGTTCATCAAGAAACTTTTGGTAAAAGCGGATGTAGACGTATTGTACCTGGACAGTATTTGGCAATTGATCCAAAGGGAAGAGCAATAATGATAGGTATAAGATTGTTTTACAAATATTATTTATGAAATTATTATATCAAAATTGCATTTTTATTAATGTTAGTTATATTGAATAGGCGCTGTTGAAAAACAAAAGTTAGTATATATTCCTAACAGGGACTCTGAAGCTCGTTTAACTATATCATCACCATTAGAAGCAAATAAAAGTAACACTCTGGTTTACCATATGGTTGGAATTGATGTAGCTTTCGATAATCCAATTTTTGCATGTCTTGAAATTGACTATGAAGTATGTAACTAAGAATCTAAATCCTTTTTTATTATTTTATTTATACATTAGATGTAAATATGTTATTTTAAATACGTTTCAAGGAATCTGACTCTGATCCTACTGGTGAAGCAGTCCAAAATACTAGACAAACTCTCACTTTTTACGAAGTCGATTTTGGATTAAATCATGTAGTTCGTAAATACAGTGAGCCTTTGGAAGAACACGCAAATTCTCTTATTTCCGTTCCTGGTGACAAAGATGGTCCTGGCGGAGTACTAATTTGTTCGGAAAATTACATCACATATAAAAATCAAGGCGAGCAGCCAGATATTCGTTGCCCAATACCTCGTAGACGTGTAAGTATCTTTTGTAAAATGTCTAATTAAAACATATTTTTATGCACTAATGGTATCTCTTGTGTGCGAGTACTTTTCCCACACCGGTCGTAATTTAGTGCTATAGAATTAAATTATACTTTTGTTTCTGAATTATATCTTACAATTAATATAATTCTAGCTAAGTATTATTTAACAGTTAAAAATTGTAAGTAGCTTAGAAATAATAGTTTAACGTTTCTGATTATTCTTTAAAAAAGATGGTTAACTTTTATTGAAGGAATTAATTATTAGTTATTATTGTTGTTCTTTTTTGTCTTTTGCCCTTACAAATGGGTTTATCTAGCTAAAACCTTTCTCCAAATCTGCAATAAATGCTATTAATAATATTTAAATTTTTGTACTGACTTCAAATACTTAACATTGTTGTACCTGTTTATTTCTATATTTCTGACCTAATATAAGCGAATTAAATTTAATATTTGATTTTTAAATTATATTAATATTACTACTTAAATGGTGAATTAGACATTTTCATGTCTTAGCTCTGGCACATAACCGAAAAAAGCGTAACGAAAATATCGTTATCAAAAAAGCGTTACCAAAAAAAGAAATGGGGTTGAAGATGACGTTGGGGGTGGGAATGGGAATGGGGTTGGGGGTGAGAATTAGCCGGTACTTAACCAAAAAAAAGCGTAATGAAAAAAGCGTTATCAAAAAAGCTAAAGATATGTTGTACGTTCAACGTTCAAATTAGAACTAAATAATAAATTCAAAATAGCTTAATTCTCTATGTTCTCTATAATCTAAATTTATTCGGTACTTCAACGAGACATACAAATGGTCTTTCGTGGTTGCAGACTCGGCTGAAAAATGGCTGATTTTTTATAGAAATATGTGCCAAAAAATTATTTTCTATTTTATTGATTATTGTTTTTAAATTTAATGGTATATTTAACTATGTTAGTTAAATAGTTACATGTTAATTGATTTTACAAAATTAAGTTTTCATGTTTTAATCAAATTTATAATAATATTAACAATATTTTTCAGAACGACTTGGATGATCCAGATCGAGGGATGATTTTAGTTTGTAGTGCAACTCACAAAACTAAATCCATGTTTTTTTTCTTAGTACAGACTGAACAAGGAGATGTTTTTAAAGTTACACTAGAGTCGGGCGAAGATTATGTTACAGAAATTAGACTTAAATACTTTGATACTGTCCCAGTAGCTTCAGCTATGTGTGTTCTAAAAACTGGTTTTTTGTTTGTTGCATCAGAGTTTGGAAATCAGTAAGCTTAATTTACTACTCGTTTGTTCTACCTAACATATTAATTTCCAATTTTGTATGTTATAGCTATCTTTACCAAATAGCTAATTTAGGGGATGACGATGACGAACCAGAATTCAGTTCGGCTATGCCTCTAGAAGAAGGAGACACATTTTTTTTCGCCCCTAGACAAATTAGAAACTTAGTGTTGGTCGATGAAATGGACTCTTTATCTCCAATAATGGCTTGCCAAGTTGCCGATTTAGGTAAGTTTAAAAAACACAGTCTTGTAGTTGAATATATTTTGTTCTTCTATTTATTACATCAAACGTATTTGATACCATTTTATTTACTCTACACATATCTCTATTTTCGTTAAAAAAAGTATATAAAATTTGTGATTGGGAGACATGTTATAGCAAAAATAAAATATATCTATTACTTACTTTATTTTATTAAAAAAAATACAAATTAAATGAAATAAAATCAGGTTGTAAAATAATTAAAATGCTTAACAACAATTTAAAATAACCAAATGTCACTGCTGTAATCTACTATTTTTAACATTTTTTTATTAGTTCCAACCTTCTTACCAGTTACATTTAGTAATGTACTATGATAACTCAATATGGGTTGGTAAATTAATTCGTTTAACTATCCTACAATCAGTGTAAAATACCTGTGTTGTGTGGAAACACTCGAAACATAAGAAATATATAAATATATATATTTTTATGAAAATCTATGTTATACAACTTTATTTTAGGATTTTCAATTTTGCATAAATATTTTTATAATAGTACAAAATGATGAGAAAAATGCACTTACAGGCTGACAAAAAATGATGCTTGTGATAACCTGCGGAACTGATTTTTTTAAAATTTTAATGAAATTTCCAACCAAAAATAGGTTGTACAATAATTAAATCGTTAACTGCAAAATGGGATATATCCATTTTTATAAATTTTGATTTTATTATAATTTTGTTCTAAACACATGTAAATACTGTTTACTGCAAAAAGTAATCGACCGACTGTGCAAAAATCAAATATATGGCTAGGAAATAATAGTTTACAATAGAATATCTATATTAAGTTTTTTGTCTCTGATAAACAATTATAAAAAGTAGACTTGTCATCTTTGTGCAGTTGCATTCAATTACAAACGCAGTAACGCAATTTAAAAACTATCGATTGTCATTGCTATCATGTGTGATCTACTATCCATAATTATTTGCACCCACTTCATCATCACTACTCAAAATTTCTTTACACTAATATCTCATACGCGTTCTGTTCTGTTTTGTTCCTGCTATTGTAACACTAAAACTATCTATTTCTGTTTGTGTTTAACCTCAACACATCCATCTAACATTCTTATTAGGGCTTAGGCTATTTTCTTTTTCATGTTTTATTCAGTGCTAAGCACTCTAAACAGAACAGTATCACTAAGCTAAACATCTTTATAAAAAAATCCAAACAATTAGGTTAGAGCAAAATATTAGTTAGTGCAACTTAATCTGCAGAGCTATTATAATAGATCTCATAGTATGTAAATTACTTATTTAACTTTAAAAGTTTTATTACATTGATTTTTTATTCGGTTATTGAACCAAAACACACAAATGAGTAGTAGATGTGTCTTAGAGATCATATTGGCTATTGGCATATTGGCTTATATAATTTTCAAGGAATACTTATATAATGAGTTGTACTAATTACTATAATCACTGTATACAAATAACAATAAAGAAATGTTGCGCATTGATTTCCAACTACAATTCCACTTTCAAATAGTATTTGTTTGAAAGATCTTGATAAGATGGAAAATTAATTTTTTTCTGTAGTCTCTGTTACCATAATTAAATAATAATTATATTGTGGTGTAGAAAGTAATAAAAAAAACAAAAAACACTTTCGGAAGTAATATAATATTTCAGTTTTTTAATTTGGTTTGGTTTCAATGTTCATGTACAATTTATTTATGAAGACTACATACTCAAGCGTGTGTAGCAATTCTCTTGAAAATGTCTAATGGCGCAACCCTCATTGAGATTTAGTAGGAGAATTTCATATTAATTATTGTTTTGAACCCAAATCTAATGACTTTTAATCATAGCTCCAACCATCTTACCAGTTTCAAAAAGTGCTGTACTATGATAACTCAGTATTGGTTGGTAAATTAATTCGTTTAACTATCCTACAATCGGTGTAAAATAGCCTGTGTTGTGTGGAAACACTCGAAACATAAGAAATATATATTTTTAATTTAAAATCCATGTTATATAACTTTTTTGAGATATTTAATTTTGCAAGTGATAAAATAAACAGTTTTAACTATTATTGACATTAGCTCCAACCTTCTTACCAGTTACATATGGTAATGCACTATGATAACTCAATATGGGTTGGTAAATTAATTCGTTTAACTATCCTACAACCGGTGTAAAAGTACCTGTGTTGTGTGGAAACACTCGAAACATAAGAAATATATATATTTATATTTTTTTAAATCCATGTTATATAACTTTATTTTGAGGTGTTCAATTTTGTAAGTGATAAAATAAACAGTCAACTATTATTGACACTTCGTTCCAACCTTCTTACCAGTTACATATGGTAATGCACTATGATAACTCAATATGGGTTGGTAAATTAATTCGTTTAACTATCCTACAACCGGTGTAAAAGTAGCTTGTGTTGTGTGGAAACACTCGAAACATAAGAAATACCTTTTTTTTTATTTTTCTTAAAATCCATGTTATATAACTTTATTTTGGGATATTCAATTTTGCATAAATATTTTTATAATAATACAAAATGATGAGAAAAATGCACATACAGGCTGACAAAAATATGATGCTTGTGATAACCTGCGGAACTGATTTTTTTAAATGTAAATGAAATTTCCACTTAATTTATTGCTTACATTATATTATAATTTAATAAATTGGAAGTTGTGTGTTGAATTGAAAGAGCAATTATATATAGCAATCTTCTTCAAGTTGGTTTTAATATAAGAACTGGTAGTGTAAAATGTTTAATTTTATCATTGTTTGGTATATTATGGAATTATCCACGTAATCCATTTTATTTTATTTGAGTAGTGTGTTAATTATCTGAATGTGATGTCAAAAATACACATTTGAAGTCTGAGTTATTGTGATGTCAGTGTTAACCTGCGGAGCTGATTCAGATATTTAAAAAAAAAATGAGACATCAACTCGGTACTAAGCACTAGTAGAGTTGACTAATGTTAATTTTAGTGTAATAGTTTTATGAACAAAAAATTTGTTACTATAAGTAATAGATAATGTATATTTAATTTTTATAGAAAACATTTTATCTTAGTAAATTTTAAATTATTTAAAATAAATTTTCATAAATTAAAATAATAAATAATTTTTTTTATTGAAAAATAAGAAAAATATAAAATTTGAAATAAAATAACAGTAATAAAATTTTGTTACATGTTTTTGTTATAAATAATCAAATAATAAATGATTTAGTAAAAGATACATTTTTATGTTTTGCTCTAAATTATAATTGTGTAATGCCCAACTCTGGTCTGGAGTGGATAATCCTGAGTTTTGTAGAGTGCTGAAAATCAACTTTCCTCTGTATTTTATATATGTTTATACATATATTTTTTATTCAATATTGTTGTATCCTACTACTTTTTATACTATTTAAATTAATTGAGTAAAAATAAATGATACAGTATAATATTGAGTACAAAATGTACACTCAGACTATTTAATTAAAACTAATTAAATACAATTTATTTTAAGCTGCGGAAGACACTCCTCAGTTATACATGGCATGTGGAAGAGGTTCTAGGTCAACTCTTAGAGTATTAAGGCACGGTCTTGAAGTATCTGAAATGGCTGTGTCCGAGTTGCCGGGAAATCCAATTGCTGTATGGACCGTAAAACGTAGAGCGGATGGTAAGCATATAACTGTTTTTCTGAACTGGTAGTCTTAGTTTTTCAAAACCTTGTTCTACATGAAAATAGTATTATCAGATCCTCCCGAAACATCCACTCGGATACAATAGAAATGATTTCTATTTTTGCAATATCCTATCATATATTAATGTGCTGATGAATAGGTTATAAAATCTATCAAACATCAGTTCGTTTATTTTTCAGGTTTTGAATCATCGTTTTGGTCCCGAATTCTTCAGGTAAGTTAGAGTTGGATGGGAGTGATCACAGAAAAACCGAGTATAATTTATTACAGTTCCTCAGCAGAAATATATATGTTAAATTAAATCAAGTTTTGTAAGATGAACCCATACTAATAATTAATATTTACAATATAAATAAAAAAAACAAATTCATTAGTGTTTAATATTTTCATTGTTTCAGCAACTATTGGATGAATCTAATTACATTTTAATACTATAAACATTAGACTTTTTGCAATCATACCAATCATTAGCCTCCCACATATTTTTTGTTTAATGATGCTAAAACTAAAGTTAAAAAAAGTTGAGCTAAAGTTAATAATTACTTTTTGTAACTTTATAAAACATAAAAATTCTAAAAAATAGTTCTCATTTATAGTGGTAATTAATAAATTATATTGTTAAGGTTAGGTTTATTAACATTTATCCAAGTCATTCAACAACTAATCGAGCAAATATAAATTATTTTTAGCAAGATATTATTTAAGCAAGATGAATGTAATAGTAAAATACTACTTAAATAAATTTAAAAAATGAAAATCTAAATATTTTGATAGGTCTATTAATATTTTTTTTTGATCTATTTTACTGTCGGGAATTTCATTTATTACATATGAAACCGTTTTTCTTAATTTTTTAATTCAGCATCAAGTAAAACCCATTTTCTGAAATTTTATCTATATTATTTAATCAATAATATTGTATTTTTTGTTTCGTTTTCGTTTTTCCAGAATTGTATGATTCATATATCATTGTATCTTTCTCAAATGCTACCTTAGTGTTGTCTATTGGAGAAACTGTGGAAGAAGTTTCAGATTCCGGATTTTTGGGAACAACTCCAACACTTTCTTGTTCACCGTTAGGTGATGACGCTGTGGTTCAAATCTATCCCAGTGGTGTTCGTCACATACGTTATGACAAACGCATGCATGACTGGAAAGCTCCAGAAAAAAGAAAAATAATGAAATGTGCAGTGAATCAACGTCAAGTAGTAATCGCCTTGGGCGGAGGAGAACTGGTGTATTTTGAAATGGATCCAGTAAGTAAATATTAATGTCCATTTTTTCTATTTTTAAGAAAGTTGTACTGAATTGTAAAAGGTTAACATTTTCTCTTGCACTTTTTATTTTGAATTATACCTTAACAATTAAATAGTTCAAAAAAAAAAAAAAAAAAATGTACTAGTGCTACATAAAACTAACAGACATGTCGCCTTCTAAAAGCCGATACATGCTCATTGAAGTGAACCATGTCTGTACAATTATTAACACCTTTAAATAGGATAAAATCTATCGATTGAATAGTTCAAAAAGTACAATTTTCTCTTGCACTTTTTATTTTGAATTATACCTTAACGATTGAATAGTTCAAAAAAAAAAATTTACTAGTGCTACATAAAATTAACAGACATGTCGCCTTCTAAAAGCCGATACATGCTCATTGAAGTGAACCATGTCTGTACAATTATTAACGCCTTTAAATAGGATAAAATCTTATGTTAATGTTTTCAATGAAAATTGTATTACTGGGTATTAAGTAAAACTATAATAACTGTAGTATTGTTAAATATTTGAGTATAGGTACTTAAATACTTTTTATGTATTAAATACTCTTTTCAAATGAGATAAATACAAATACTTTTGAAAATTATGACATTTTTTTACTGACATGAAATGCCTAGTAGATTTTAGATTAAAACTTAATTTTATTAAATAAAAAACAAATAACCTATTAACATGATTATAAACATTGCATATATTTTGATGTATATTTTCTATTTTTTTTTCACAACCTATACTCTCACATCAAAGAATGTTTTTTTTTAATGGAGTTTATCATTTTCACTTTTAATTATTTCTTAAGAATTGCTGATTTTCCTTACTATTTCACAACCCCTTCTGTTGATTTGTTTTGGATTTTACAAGCATTAGGTTAAATATAGTATTATGGTACCATTATTACCATATTTATTTAGTATTAGTATTTACATAGTATTCAGTATCAAAATTACGAATATTGTATACATTTCTATTTATATATATATATTTAAATAGATATATTTTATTTTATATTATTAGTTATAATACCTTTTTTTTAGACTGGTCATTTAAATGAACATAAAGATCGTAAGGAGATGCACTCTGATGTACTATGTATGGCATTGGCCAATGCACCTTCTGGAGAACAGATGTCTCGATTTTTGGCAGTTGGACTATCAGATGAAACAGTCCGAATCATATCGTTAGATACAACAGTAAGATTTCAAAGTAAATTTTATCTACCTAGTTCAATATTTAATTTTTTATTATGTTCCTTGTTTTAGGATTGCCTGGTACAGTTGAAAATGCAAGCGATACCCGCCATGCCTGAATCCTTGTGTATTGTAGAAATGGGTGCTGGCGATGGTGGCTCAGCAGATGAACCTGGAATGAACTCATTATCAATATTATATTTAAACATAGGCTTACAGAACGGAGTGTTGCTACGTACGGTCTTAGACTCTGTCACTGGTGAAATGGCTGATACCCGAGCTCGTTATTTGGGTGGAAAACCAGTCAAGCTATTCAAAATAAAAATGCGAGGAAACGATGCTGTACTCGCTATGTCTAGTAGATCTTGGTTAAGTTATTACTACCAAAATCGTTTTCATCTTACACCCTTATCGTATGAAAATTTAGAATACGCTTCTGGGTTTTCTTCGGAACAGTGCCCTGAAGGTATTGTTGCAATATCCAGTAATACTCTACGTATATTGGCCCTAGAAAAGCTTGGTGCCGTTTTCAATCAAATATCGTTTCCGGTTGAGTACACACCAAGAAAATTTGTCATACATCGAGATTCTGCTCATATGATAGTGGTAGAAACTGAGCACAATGCGTACACAGAGCAAACTAAAAAACAGAGACGAACACAAATGGCAGATGAAATGCAAGAAGCTGCTGGAGAAGATGAACAAGAATTAGCCAAGGAAATGGCTGAAGCGTTTTTAAATGAAGATCTACCTGAACAGATTTTTGGAGCTCCAAAAGCAGGTTCTGGGATGTGGGCTTCGCTTGTACGATTATTCAATCCGGTACAAGGGGTGACCGAAGCTGTTTATAGATTTCCCCAAAATGAAGCTGTGATGAGGTTCGAATATTTTATTACAAACTATTAACTAATAATAATAGTATTCCTTATTTTGTAACTCAATTTTTTTGCAGTGTTGCCTTAGTAAAGTTTTCAAGTTACCCTGATTCACAATTTGTTCTATTTGGTGTGGCTAATGAACTCCATTTAAACCCCAGGCACGTGACTTGTGGCTATATATACACTTACAAGTATGTACAAAATGAACCTAACTGTTTAATTTTTTTACTACTAAATTATTATATAAATTAAAATGTAATTTTTAATTTTTAGAATAAATTTAGCTTGTACATCTTTAGAGTTGATGCATAAAACTACCGTTGATAATGTTCCAACAGCTATTTGCGGTTTCCAAGGGCGTGTATTAATTGGCGTTGGTCGTATACTACGTCTCTACGACATTGGCAAGAAAAAATTATTGCGAAAATGTGAAAACAGAGTAATACATTTTTTTCCACTGTTAATTAATGTCTAGTATTGGAAGAAATTAATTTAAGGAAAAATTAAATAAAATAACAATGGTGAATATAAAGAAGTGTGATTAAATGAGAATGTAGGCAACTAAAATAAAACTAATTTACAAAGGTAGGGTTGACTGAAGAAATCTGTGTATCAGCATGTTATTAAAGATACAATGAAGAGTGCAGTGAAGTAGAGATTTGTGGGGCCGAGGTTAAAGGTGTAGAAGATGTATATAAAATATTATTTTCTAACTTTGTGCCTTATAATTATTACAGCAAATACCGTTATTAATTGTTGGAATTCGAGTAATGGGCTATAGAATATATGTCAGTGATGTTCAAGAGAGTGTTTATATGGTTCGATATAAGCGAGGTGAAAATCAACTGATAATCTTTGCAGATGATACACAACCTCGCTATGTTACTGCTATGGAAATACTGGATTACAATACTATAGCAACAGCTGATAAATTTGGAAATATATCGGTGGTGAGTAGATATAATTTTTATAAGTCAAGTTTTAACAAAAATCAAGCATTCTGTTTATTAATATTATTACATTATTATTTAGATAAGAATCGCCTCATCAATATCTGATGAGGTAGACGATGACCCAACAGGTAATAAAAGTCTGTGGGATCGTGGATTACTAAACGGTGCCTCTCAAAAAGCAGATTTTATTATCAATTTTCACATAGGAGAAATCTGTACTTCATTACAAGTAAATATTTGTGTTTTGTACCTAATTATTGAATAGTCTAAGCCGATTAATTTTTATGTCTGAAATGATGCTTATACTTGCACACGTTAGACTAATGAGTCAAGTGATTATAAATATATTAGACCTGATCAGACAATTAAAAATTATATTATTTAAAAAATATTATACTTTTAATTTAATCAAGTATCTTTTATCAGATATAGTTATGAAACAATGCAAATTCTTTGTACCTGTCTAGTGTTTATAAACTGTGTTCTGAATGATGATAAAAATGCACACGTTAGACTTATGAATTGAATTCATAATGAATAAAAATTAAATTATCTGACTGAACTTATTAGCGGCCTGATCTAGATTTTATAGATCTTTGAATTAATATCTTATTTGTGCAGTCGTTGAATATAAGATTGAAAGGCTTATTTTTAATTTATAAAATTTATCTTATTTTCAGAAAGCAACACTTATACCAGGTGGTTCAGAATCTCTGGTGTATGCTACAATCACCGGTACAATAGGCGTATTAGTTCCATTCACCGCCCACGAAGAACAAGACTTTTTCCAACATCTTGAAATGCACATGCGTTCAGAAAACCCTCCTCTATGTGGACGTGATCACTTATCATACAGATCTTCCTGTTTTCCAGTCAAAGTAAGAAAGCTGTCATTTTTAATATGACTAGTTCGTCTAATTATTTTACACATTTTGTTTTGTGAAGCAGTTTAAATGTGGACGATTTGTTTATCAGAGAATTGTATATATTAGGTATAAGCGCACTTTTAAAGAATTATGCTTATTTTAGAGTAGAAAAACCATTTATAAAAGAAGTTATATTCTTCAGGTTTTCAGTCTTTTGTTTTTATAGATTTAATTTGTTAAAAAGCATTTTTTTTTTTTAGATTTTTCTATTATTAACTTAAGAGTTATTCATTAAGTATTATGTTGTTTCATATTACATTAGGTAAAAATGTCTTCTTCGACTTATTAAATTATTTAAAGGGAAACTTGATTTAACCTATGAAGATATTATACTTAAATAATTAAAGATTTGGTCCAAATATCGTGCTATTGATCACTTTTCAGGTTATTTTTTTTGGGTGGAATATTGTGTTATTAAACCGATCTAAAAGCTATTTGAATAATTGTAAAACTTACCAGACTTTTCTTATGCATATAATCATTATGCAATTTAGCATGGAACCCTATCAAATCCATTGACAAACATTTTATTTGTTTTTTATTGAATCGAACTAAAATATATTATGAGTTTTTTAAAAAAGGCATTTTGACTTGAATATAGAATATTTGAATGAAAAAAAAGTTGTATTTAATGCGTAATTTATGGTTTTGAGTGGATACAAATTCGATTTTAAATAACATCTAAGTTTAATATTTTAAAGGATAATATTGTTATACTCAATGTCAATATTTTTATTCTAATTTTATTTAAATAATTTTCAGAATGTATGTGATGGAGATTTGTGTGAACAGTATAATTCTATTGATGTTAATAAACAGAAAAGCATCGCTGCCGATCTTGACAAAACACCAGCTGAAGTATCCAAAAGACTTGAAGACATCAGGACGAGATACGCATTTTAAATTGTAAATTCTTTTGTATTATATTTCTACTGTTGTTTATATATTTTTTTATACCTCAACATAAATTAAATAGTTTATAAAAATGAAAATAATTTTACTCAAATTATATATGATAATTTTCTTATAAGTTCCTTTTTTTAAATTTATTGATTAGAAATTGCTTATTCAATTTAACGATAAAAATTACGAAATTAGCATATTTAATGTTTATATATTGAAATAGCTAACTAATTACTGACATAGTGACTTTCACTATTATGTTTTTATATTTATTTATTATATATGTAATAGTAAGTAGTAATCGCACTAATAAAATGATTTACATTCAGAATTTTTGTGTAGCTAAGTTTATCAACTAATTTATCATGGTTTTTTCTGAAAAACCTAACCAAATGATAAAAACAATTTTAACACTATTCAATTGGAAAATAGTTTGTTTCATTGAATTTGTGTGATTAAGATCATATCAATAAATCCTGGTACTGCCATCATATATTAGGAAACGGAGACTCGAGATTAATTGTTTAGTATTTGTCTGCTTCAATTGAAGTAAAAATAGAGACTTCTCATTAGTTTTGACAAGTCTTGTCATATTATTTTCATTACTATTGTGTAATTTTTATATTTTTTCTTTGTGTCCTTTTGACTTAAATGAGATGTGCGAGCTAACCAATTTTTGACATTAAACGATCAAGGTGTATGTTGACGATGTGACTTTATCTTTCGGAGGGTATAACCAAGTTTGATTTGATATGCGAAGAAGTTTAACATTTTACCTCCCCCTTCCTCGATTTATATATTGGTTTGTATGTAGTATGTTATAACTGAAGGGGTGAGTGGATAAAGGTGTTAACCGACATTAGTTTTAAAATCGTTTTTATTTTAAATAATAATAGTTTGAATGAATGAAAGTGTCTTGAGGTATATTACACAATTTAGCAAAATATGATAAAAGTTGAATATGTGTTGTCTAAAATGTTGCATCCTGAACAATTTTGGAATTGTCGGTCGACACCTTTATCCCCTTTAATTGTTAATTATATGACATGAAAAATACAAAATTGCATTTGTTAAACGTTATGGTGTTTTTACAATGGAGTGTAATTATACAGCAATCCAAATTATGTAAAATCAATTAAAAAATTCTCACAAAATGGCTTCCAGTTTTCTCAGCGGCCATTTTTGCTGTTATCACGAGTCGTTTTATTTTGTTTCAAGCATCGATTTGCATACGTCAGCTGCTATTAAATAGGCTCGCCAACGCTGTCTGGTGAGTATTTATTTAAACGTCGGAATTCGCTGTTATGATAACATCTTCAACTTCATTTACAGTCGAAGATGTAATAAGAATTATTGGGTCTATGGTTACAGACACATGGCAAAAATTTAACAGGTACCGCATATCCCCACTATTAAATTATCAATTTACCAAATGGAATATCAATTTTTTTAGTAAATATAAACATATGCGTTTATAAAATAAATTAATTAATTCAATTGGCTCCCTTTACGCAGCCATTTTGTTAATATTTTCGAAAATGTCGACGGAATGGTGTAGGAACGAAATTATCTGGCATTTTTAAGCTAGGGTTACATGTTACATAATATTATTACCAATAACTTATTATATCTTTAATATTAATATAAAAAAAGTTACCTATATCGGGTAGACAAAAACCACGTTTTTGCTATAAAATAAGTTGGTAGTTCCCCAAAATGGAGTTTATGCGCATGCGCACAACTGCGGCTTGTTTGCAGCCTGGCCAAATTGATTAATGATTATTAAAATATCACGAAACAATCAACAGACAACATTAATCTCTATTTACGTCTCGTCAACAGCAAATTGGCAAGTTGTAATTTTCGAACGCTGACAACAATCAACACGTGACAACTTGAATAACTTATGACTTATTGTTGCTGGCCATAAATAATAATTGATTGCTGTTGTCAAGGTGAGTTTAATTAGGATTGTTAATAGTCATGTTATAGCAATTTTACTACATATTTATAATTCATTTTTTTTTTTATAAATATTGGTATAGGTTTTCGTTTGTGAGACAAATGGCGGCCATGGCTCGCACCGTCGGACAAAAATCAGTTGTTACAACCGGAAATGTTAAGGTACAGATTCCTAATTAAATAATTTGTATACTAAAATTGTGTAATATATACATACATACATTATACACATAAATACACATGTACTAGCCGGTTAGGGATTTAGTAGTCTTAAACCTGTGCTGGATAATCATTCAACATTGACAAAGCAACAAATAGTGCCAGACTGACAATATGTAACTATATGATGCAGCACTTTTAGCCGTGACCGTAAAATAGGTATAACATTCTAAAAATGCCAACAAATTTTATATAGCTTAAGAACATAATATTTCAGAGTGCATGCTGACTTAGATCTGAAATCTGAATAGTGGACTGCAACCTTCCCAATTAGTGTGGTTTTTAGAAGTGAATTATGGTGTCAATCCCATTTTTTAAATTTGTGCTCGATCGATAAAATATATTTTAGAATCCTACTAATAAACACCTTGTTTTAGAAAGCTACTATTGTAAAAACTGTCATATAGTATTCTATGAAATCTTGACAGCATCGTTAAATTTACATATATATTTTGTTTTAATTGAAGGTGTAGGTATTGTCTTAATTATAAAACATTAATTCAATTTTTAAAATGTTTTAATTAGGTTAGACTTGTTATCAATGATAAGTATCAAAATAAACTACGTGAAATGTGTAATAGTATATAAATAAATGAGTATCCATCAATAGGTATGTAAAATCTATAAAATATATAAAATCTGTAGATTAGAAATTAATTTTTAAAATATTATTTTATGTTTTAATGCCAATATCCCTTTATAATTATTCAACTATGCTAATAAACTATCATGAAATATAAATGTTTGTATACCCAACTTAAAAAATAAATGTACTTGTGAATTATTTAACTTATGTTAGTTTAGTAGAGTACAACTAGTTGAGTAAATTTGGTATAAATTGTATATTATATGAATAGAACTAAAATTTTAGTTGCTTAAAATATATTATCTTTGCACATTGTTATAACTAAAGATTGTAAATAGGATGACCATAATAATGTATCTATTAGAAAACCTGCCCATCGCTTGTATATGAAGTTTTTATGCAATGATAATGACAAACTTATTTTTTTGTTCTAAGTATTGTAATTAATATTGATTGTAATTTTTTTTTTTATAGTCAATAAGTAGTCAAAAGCAATCTATGGTAGTGAAATTATACCTGAAAAAGAAGAATGATAATCCAAAAAAACATTATCGTAAGATTTTTTCTGAAATTGCAACTGAATTAGGTATTGAAATAACTAGAGTTCAGAAAATTGTATCGAAGTATAAATTTACCATCCAAAATGTGAACAATTATCAGAAAATGAATAATGAATTAAATGAATTTACTAAAATAACAATAAGACAAACAGTTCATTCGTTTTACATTAACCGTAATCTACCAACAGTTGGAAAAGTGTATGATACTGTTAAAAATATGAGGAACTTGCCGTTTTCTAATAAAATTTCTTTTAATAAATATCTTAAAAGTTTGCATTTTAAAGAAAATAAAATGAAAACAAACAGTCTTGCAGTAACTGAAAGAAGCAAGATAATCCTTTGTCGCAGAAATTATTTAAAAAGCATAATGCAATACCGCCAAGAAAAACGCACTATTTACTATTTAGATGAGACTCAGATTGATTTAGAAGAGAAGAAATATATTTTTAGTACTTCCTTTAAGATTCCAAATAAAATGTTAACATTGCTACACATTTGCAGCAGTAGTGGATTTGTTTCTGATGGCCTACTGTGTATTGAATCAACCAAAGATAGCCCAAGCATATCCCAAGATATGTTTGCAAAGTGGTTTGAAAATATATTAAGGTCTTTAGATCACAACGCTGTCATAGTAATGGATCAAAATCATTGTCATTCAATTAAACTCGAACAAATACCTGACATACATTGGAACAAGCCAGACATTATCAATTGGCTGGAAGATAAACAATTACTAAACCAACGAGACAATATGGTAAAAGCTGAACTTTTAGACATTGTAAAAAAGCACAAGGAAAAGTATAGCAAGTATTTAGTCGACGAAATGGCCAGGAGGCATTCGAGAAGAGTGCTGAGACTTCCTTTATACCATGGTGAAATGAATCTTATGAAATTTGTTTGGAGTTTAGTAGAAAATCACATTGGTAATAATACTACCTCGAGAGATATTTATGAGCTAGTGTCTGAAGCGTTAAATTTTATGACTGATGATAAATGGAAATGTTGTATGGATGAAGTGCTTCAAAAGGAAAATTCATTCTGGGAATTAGATAATGTCATGGATGAAGTATTGGACAATACGGGGTTTTTGACAGACAATTGTTCAGATACCTCTTCAGACTTTGAAGACCTTTAAGATTGCTTCCCTGGGTAATGCATTAATTGTTTTATAGGTCCCAGATACTTAATAGTGAAATAAGTCTATTTGGATTTACTTAAATGTGTTCGGAAAACACAATTTGACAAGTAATAGATTTACAATTTATCATTCCTATCTGTACATGGTTTATAATTGGCCTGGCCAATACGATACTACTTAAATCTTAACTGTGTATAATTTTTTTGTTGATACATTGTGTTATTAAAATGTTTTAATAGACAACATTTGTAAATATATACGTTTAATAAGTAGTATAACTAAATAATTATTTTCTGGATCTGTTTTTTACCTTACTAAATATTAAAACTATATTATTATTGTTTATCTATATGTGATCTCTAGTTTCGTTAATATTATATTCTGTCAAATTATATATAATATTGTTTAACAGTTTTATGAATAAAACAGAATTGTAAACGCATTGATTAAACGTTTCTTAAAATACTTTTTATGTAGACAACACGGTTGAATAAAAATTGTTAACACTCACTTAGTTAAATAATTACTATATTCAATTCAACATAATAAGTACACTTAATTAAAAATATTATTTCATGAAAATATATTAGATTTTTTACATAAAACTACACAGAGTATTGAAAATACTGCTGATTTTATAAATTATCTTAATCTAAACTATTATTTATTAGTCAATAATGGTTACTCGTACCGTACAGTTTATACATAAGCAAAAAACGGGGGTATTATGTTTTGATTTTAAACATTTTATTGTTCTATTAGATAAATATATAAAAAGTAAACAAATTCATAGGTTTATATTGGTATCGTTTGTTGACTTGTAACATTGCTACTTAGAATGGCAGTAGATGAAGTATAATTTTGTGGAGAAGATTATGGAGGCTATTTCCGCTTAAATATTTTATAAGTTATAGCCTAATATATATATATATATATATCTGTATATAATGTATTATAAAAATAAATGAGATTTAGTAAAATTAAATTTAAAACAAACATTGAAGATAAGAAAAGATAGATTGTGGTCTTTAATTATATTTTAACATTCTTCATTTAAATTAATACGCATCTAGTATACAAAAATCATCTCATCAAAGTTTATTGAGAAGTTGATGGCTTGTCTAAATCATATATTTTGTTATATTTATCACCATCCTCTTTATGTTCGTCGTGTTGTCTCTTCAAGCTGTCCAGGTATTCTTGTTGCGATGTTGCCAAAACTTGAGTTAAAATTCCAATGTCTTCCCATTTTGACATACCTAGAAATGACAATAAGTGATTATTAAAAAAAATAAAAGTATAGTGGAATTCAGTAAATAATGCGAAACCATTTAAGAAATTACCAAAGACATGAGGAGGTAATCCCATTAATGACGCATTTTCAGACGTTGAGCAATGATGAGCGGGTGATGTAGGAGGCGTTTTGGGTCCAACGGTAAACCTTGGAGGTGAAGTTCGAGGTTGATAGGCTTCAACTAACGATGCAGATGTTGCAGTTGACGTTGCTGATTTTTCTTTATCACTCTATAATGTAAATAGGTGTATCATTTATATTTAGCCATTAAAATGGAGTTATTATGATTTTTATTAAATACTTTATTTCTTTTTTCGTTGTCTTTTAACCATTGTAAATAACTTTCCCGGGCAATTTGTTCTTCGATTGTATCATTTGTAGCTTCCCAATCTGTTGCTCTGAGTTTATCTTCCAACATGGTCTATAATAAAGAAATATTACGTAGGCTACAATTTATACTAAGCCGAACTATTCAAGTGAAAATTGTTAACATACTTGTTCTAGCATATAATCTTCACTTTGGCGTACAGCATCGGTCAACAATTTCTTATCGGCCGAGCCTGGTGAAAAATTAGGTAAGCCTAGTCCTACTCCGATAGTCGCTTTAAAAGGATCTACAATACTATTATAGTGACTGCCTCTCTGATAAGACAATCTTATAGGAGGGTTTGAGGATTCGGATGTATTAGTTCCGTGGAATATATTTATTGGTTCTGTAATTACACAGTAACACCGAGTTGTAGTTGTTTTTAAGTTTTGTGACTACGATAGGGTTGCCATTCGTACGGATTTAGTCAGGACACTACCGGTTTTCTGCACACGGTCCCAGTATCTTTTAAATCCTGGCCGAGTGTGGAGAAGTACCGGTTTCTACCAATGAAGAATTCCCCAATTTTATTAAATGTGTAGTTCAAATTAAATATTTGTCTACCAAACATATTGCTATCAAAGTCTATTAAGATACCTTTACTCCAATCAGAATAAGTGTTATATAATCATATTTTTCAGGGGTTATTTTTTTTTAACTAGTGATTGAGACATTACTTCTTAATCTAGCAGCAAACAGTGAAATAATTGAAAGCGAGTTCATAGAAAACTCTTGTATAATCAGTTTTATTAACAGACAAGACTGTTTCAAATCAACATGTACCAGGATTAAATCCTTTAATACAGGTGTATTCATCAAATTTAAAAACTGGACAAATATAAAACTGGTCATAAAGTTTGTAGCATCAAATATTACAATTGATATCAACAAAGAAGAATCGTTTGAGCAATTTAAAATGTTTGACAATTTTCTAAAGGATAAAAACAATGATGATGTAACAAAAATCCAAAGAACATCGAGATCACTTTTTAAATAATTTTCAGAAAATAACATTTAAAGTTTGTAGATATTTTATTCCCACTGCCTGGATCCAATGCTGCCGCGGAGAGAATATTTGTATAAATGAATAGTTGTTGGACAAAATTACGAAGTAGTTTAGCGCTCAATACTGTAGTAGCGACTTCGGCTATCAAAAATAATTTGGAAAATAAACGCTGCCAATGATTTTATGAAGAAGTGTTAAAAAGAAAAACATATTCGTGTTTATAAAACTGCTAAAATCGAAAATGACAGCGTCTGGATATTAATAATTACCAACAGAATCAGAAAAAGACGTCGAAAATGATGAATTATAAAGTTATAAGTATCAAATGAAAACAGAGAAATTTTAACTATATTTTGACATAATATACATAATTAGTTATGTATTGTAGTGTAAAAGAACATTATAAAAATAATGTTACTTAATTTACTTTTATTATAGTTAAGTACACCCATTTAATATTTGTTATTTGAAAATTAAAATAGAGGGAAGGGGAGGGGGTGATATAATTGGTAATGTCCCGAGTTATAATTTTGAATAAATAGCAACCCTAGACTACAATAATATTTTAATATTTATATATTTTTTTACCAATGCCGTAACAGTAAACTTCAATTGGACGATTATACAACTCTGACATTGCGTGTATTTCCACGTGGTTACCGTGTGTACAATCTAGCCGTTTGCGAGCTATATACGTGTTAAAGTCCTCAGTAACATATTGTGTATAATAATCTCGATTGCTCGCCTGTAAAACACATTTTATTTAAACCACATGTTTAATTACGAAAAGCTGTTTCAAATTTGTATATTATTACAACCAAACCTAAGCATTACTTCAGTCATTTTGTATTTAAATAAAAATTCAAATTACTACTAGAAATACAAACTGATTTAAATAAAAACTAATAATGTTTTAACATTATTTGAAAAAATTTAAATGATTTAAATTGTAATTCTAAAAAAGGAAAATATACATGTATTGAAATAAAATATTATTAGAAATTATTAACTGAATAAATCATTTTAATAATATGAAATGATTTATTTTTGAAACAATATACACAAATTTATTTAAAATAAATATGTATTTTAATTATTTTTTTTTTTGGTTTGGCAACTCTGGCAATTAGCTTTTTGTAGGTTGATTTGGATTTATATAAACATGTGTTGGGTAGGGACATGGGGAATGGGGCTAAAAACCGAGGTGGCCTTTGGTGTCAAGTAACAACGGACATAGCTTAATCTCGCATGCCGAGTAACAAAAATAAAAAATTATTTGATGTGCTAAATACAATTATTGTACTTCAAATAATCAATTTTTAAAATAACTATTTATTTAAATAAAAAATGCCCAGGTTTGAATTTAACTAATATACTGGATCAAGTGTAGTAGTATACTAACCACATAATCCATGCATTGTTTTCGTACTATGTCATGCATGTCTTGATCGCCAAATAATTGATCAGAAACAGCTCTAAACAAACATGCTCCGTCTTCTTTCATTTGTTTTAAAATCAAACCGCGTTTTTTCAATTTCTTTTCAAATAAACGGTCTTGCTGCAATATAAAAAAAAAATTAGAAACTACTTCAGCCATTTAATAAAGAATAGTTCTTCAGAAGGATGAAATTTTTATCAATTTAACCTTTTAAATAATATTTACCTCGACCCACTCTATATCATTACTGTTCTTCGACACTTCTCCATATTCATCTTCACTATTGTATCCACAAACATTTATATCACATTGACCACTGGCATCTGAAGTCCCACAATGACAGTTTCCCTGGTTTGGGGTTGATCTGTTTTCTCTTTCCCGTCCTTTATTATTATTCCTTGTACTTCTTCGCAAGAAATAATATAAAAATTAAAATTTCAAGAATTAACATGTAAAGCAGTCAAAATATTTAAAAACAAACAATAACAAACCTATGAGGACTTCGATGTATTCTGCGTTTTGATTGTTTGTTTGTACTCAAAACATTTTCAATATTATCAACTGGCCATCTTTGAGGAGAATTGATTCTTTCTTCTAATGTATTAATCTACAAAAATCAAACCTATAATTACTTACTACACATATTAACTTAATTAGTGTATTTTTAAATACATTAAACTTAGAATTTAATGCCTTAATAATTTGTATGGATAGTCTTTTAATATTTAACATTTAAGACAATTTTTTTACTTCTTAACCATACCTCTCTCAAATAAGCAGTGCTTGAATGAAGTAGGGGTAGATGATAAAGGCTGTTATACAGTGTACGGGGTATATTTGCTGTAGTGGTGGGTGCCAGGGGTGGGCCCAGGCCAAACCTTAAAAGTCTTGGCCCCCCCATTAAAATTAAAAAAAATTTGATCCAGATTAACAACCATGATAAAAATTCACATAGTAAAAAAAAAAAAGACCTAATTATATCTTCTATAATAACAAAAAATAAAGAAAATTGAGGTATTTTACAAACACTCCGATTAACCGCCGTTAGTATAATATACAAAAATAATAAATGTATAATAGCAACAAGATAAAAATACAAATATGGCTAAAGCAATTGTACTAATTAATTCTGTTGAAGAATATGTTTGTGAAATAAGAAATAATCAAGGTTATGTTACAAAATTATACAATGAATCCAAACTGTTGGCAAATAAATTGAATAAAACACCTTTCTATGCTAAATAAAGACAAGTGTAAATTGTAAAATAATTACAGATTTACAGAAATATTTAGTTGAAGGTAAACTTAGTATTAACAATTATAAATAAAATTAACGTTGAACTAAATAAAAGATTTTCTGACAATAAGATTTGTTGATGGGTATAATTAGTGCATTGTAACCAGAAAAAAGTAATTTTTTTGACAAGACTTATTCATCTATTTACTTAGGCATACGTGTGTGATACTTTAAATTCAGAATTAAATATTGATATTATTGAAAATTCATAAAAAAAAATTATAGATCTATAGAGAAATCTGAAGCAAAATTATTAAATATTGATATTATAAATATTTTTGCTGATTGTCATAACAATAGACGAATATATTAAAATAAATTATATGTATTAATTTTTTTTTTTTTGACTGTTCTTAAAGTAAAAGACATTTGGGTTATTATTATCCTATCGTTCATATAATTATTTCCAATTAAAATATTTATTATGAGATACAAATGAATACTTTAATAATATAATGTAAAAGTACATTATTGATATTATTATAAAACTATGTAAATTAAAACTTTTTTTGTGTTGCACTATTTTTAAACTTTAAGTTTACTTTGTTATAATGCTATCCTACTATTTTAATATTATATTTTTCTATTAATTTGTAATATAAAATATAAATTAATATAAGTATTTATACTTTTTAATATAAAAATATATTGTTGGTGATCTTGGGGGGTGTAAGGGGCGTAGACGGAGGCTCGCTATCAAGTAAAAATGTTGGCCTTTCCTAAAATTGTTTGGCCTAAGGTTGGCCCACTCATTGAATGATAAAAAATTAATTAAAATATATCCTAATAATCAAATAGAATATTTTTGACATTGCCAGTGACGGTTTTAGTAAACTAAAACTGGTAACATTTTTTTTTGAGATCAACTATGAGACAATTGATGCTTTAAACTAATCTTGCTAAACTACCAATTAAAAAAAAAATTGTAAAAACAGACAACTTTGATTACATTATAGATGAGTTTAAAAGCGTCAATGTTAGTTAACAAAGGTTTTTGTGACTTCCAGATACTTTTTTCTGCACTCCTGTTTTTCACCGACAATATTTATTAAATATTCATTCATCACAAGACACAAATGTATGACTCAAATTTTATACTTTGATGCAATGAAAAAATAAAGGTTTTTTTCAAATAAAAAAAAACTGTAAGTAGTTATATTGATAACATACATATTTTTATTGGGGGGGAGGGTGCCAAATATTTCTGTGCCCGGGGAGTTAAAATTCCTTGTTACGCTGTAAAGTACCTATAAAAAAGAAACTTGGCAAATTTGTTCAGTTGAGCAGTTAAATAAACTAGTATGTTTTCTTAATGTCAATCATATTTAAGTATGCTTTATCATACATATGATTAGCGCAACCAAGATCTATTTTTGAGAATGGGTATGATAGAAAAATGTATTTTAATATAATTATTTTGCCTCTACCGCATCATATTCAATGTTCGACTCATGTCCTTTGACAAAGTATAGACGAGGTGAGCATTATAATTCCTTAACTTCCTCAATTAATAGTACCTTGGGACACATTAATGCATTTGTACACACAATTCACGTCACACGTTTGTAAATTCAATATTGGCTACGTATTTTCAAAGAATCCACACACGTTACTAGTAACGGCTAACATTTGATCCTAGAGCTCAAGGGAAATTTGCTTGAAAACCAATTGATTACCACAGAGCAATTGAATTCGCTTGATTGCATTTATGCTGCATCGGTGATCGTGCACGATGTATTGTGTAGTGCTTAAAAACAGTAACCGTGTACGGCATTGCTAAGTGCCATACGTACCTGCGGATGAGCTTGGATATTAGACAAAGGCAAATTGTGCACGTGGCTGCTGGAAGACTGTTCGCCTTCTTCGGAAATGGCCTGAGTTTTTTTCTTAGATAATACAGTCATGTCCTCAAGTGTTGCGATGTCGCCACCAGCGTTTACAACAGATAATAATATTATTTGGTAAGTGTGGAGAACGTGCGAATAAAAAATTATTATATTAATATATGGGACGAGCACGAAACGGTAGGAATCTTGGAAGATTTGAAAAAAACGCATTCAAGTCGACATCCAAACAGTGGTGACAATGAAAATATTAGAAAATTGCGACGGCACGACTCGATCAGAACAAAATGCAAACAAGAAAAGACATTAAAACCGTAAAACGTATAATGATTAATCCAATACGATGAATGATGATAAGTGTGTGTGTGTGTATATTGTATACACATATGTGTGGTGTGCAATGCGTGTGCCATGAATACACTATAGAGTCAAGGTCCTATTGTGTGCCTATAATATCATTAGGGCAAATTCACACTGGAAACGGTGTACATGAATACTATGATAGAATTAACCAATCAAAAAACACATGACAAATTTTTGATAACTGATAGAATATTAGAATATAGATAACGTTACTACTAAAAACACAATTATGAATTATAATTATATTTTTTATAAAAAATGTATAAGTAATTGATGTTAAATTAATTCACATACACCGACCAAATCCGACTAATTTGAAAATTCGACCTATGATACATATTTTTAAATTTGTATTAATTGTTAACCTCTATAAGAGTGTTGTCGCTTATCAAAGTATAAAGACAACAGCTGCATACATTTTAAGTCATTCCAACTTTGTTTTAGGTATTTTTTTTATTGGTAAATTTATTATTAATTCGATTGGTAACTTAATAGCTATCTATATATGTTTTGAGTTATTATTATTTTGTTTTTATAAAAAAAAAATGTTTAGAGCTGCATAGTTTCTTAAACAAAAATGTTCTGTACTGTTCGTATTAAATGAAGGTATTTTCTTAAACGGTCATTTTTAAACACTTCAGAATAAATACTTTTTGAATTCTTGCCTAAGATGGATGTATGGTTGAATATTGTGGGCTGTTAAAAATAACATTACAGTCTATGTCTCCTTCTATCTTGACAGCTAAGTTCCAAATTGCAATCAATTGTACAAAATGCAAATTCTACAATTTATACTACATCATTCAAATTATAATTTTAAAAGATCATACTCTTAAATATAACTAAATCACAAAGAAATCAATACATGGAAAATAATTATAATGAAACACAAGTACTTATTTTTGTATGACATTACATTTTTGTTGTCTCATTTTACATATTTTTTCTATACTATATATATATATATGGTATATGCCATATATATACTATATATATATATGTTTAAATTTTGCCAGTCTTTTTTTAAAATTTCTTTGTAATTTTTTCTTTTTCTTATGGTTTCTTACACTGTAAGTGTTTTTAAGTTCTTATAAAGCCAGAACCTTCTTATCATATATTATGGTAGTTCGACTTGGGAATATACAAAGCATTTTTCTATGAGTCCGGGATTATAGCATTGTATAAAAGTTTTATATTTCTCTTCCTTCATGTTTCCAACATACTATACTGTTGTTATTTAGAGTTACTGAATTTATATTTCTTGATGCCTTTAATCTTTACATTGTCAGACCAAACAGGCGAAATCTTCTTAAATAAGATTTGTAATTAATTTTGGTAACCTAGCCTTTCCAGTATAATATTACTAATTAAGTATTAGCCAATCAAATATTATCCAAATATTTCATCCTCAGTACACCAACTTGAAAATGATAGTGTGTTCAAGACACTGGCTGGGTGATTTCCGCATTTGAAGACAAATTCTCCCATAAGATTGTTATACCGATTCGTTTGCGATGGCTGGAAAGATGGAGATATTTCCTAGTTTCTTTGTTAGATCTCGCGATCGGTATGATATGGAAATTAGATCCATGCATCCGAATCTGCTCGTACTCAGCTGATATTACCATCATCTAAGTCTGCAGTACATATTTATTTCTGCATTTGTTCTCGTTTCAAAACTGTTCAGTTGAAACATTATAATTAATATTAGTCCAGAATATAGGCTAAACTTAGAAGTCTAGTTAATTATTATTACTTAACTCACAAACTACATTTTTAGAATAAGGACTTTAATTTCTTAATAATTCACAAGGTATAGAAATTTTCATCAGAGGAATTTTGCCCATTTTATTATGTAGATGATTATTGAGTATTAAAGTCCCTTTTATAATTAATGAGATTTTAATATTGCTGTTAGACTATTGAAACTTACTTCTTCTCTGAATAAAATGTTGATTACTTGCATATTTACTGCTTTACTATTTTTTTCCTTTTCCACTTTTGTGTTTAAAACAACATACGTGCAAAAATGTTGAAATTCTAATTATAAATATGAAGTGAAGAATTTACTTGTTTTCTTTGATGTATTGGTGAGAAGGTATTATTTTTACAACCATGTTTTTAATTTTTAAATAAATTAAAAAAGACTGAATATGGCCAGGGCTCAAATGGACAGTCCATGTAGGAGGTCGGGGACGGGGTTCGAGGTTATTTAATATTTATAATATAACAATTAACAAAGTATTTGTATCAAAGTAACAAAGTATTGCAATTTAAAACCAGTTTAATCAAAACAAAAATATACTAATAATAAATAACAATACATATTGGAAAAATATAGAAATCTTTTAACAGCTGTAAGAAAAAACTTTTGGTACAAAAGTTTAAAAATAGCACAAATTGTATAATATTAAAAATATTTAAAAAGTGAACAAATACAATTCATTTTTTTTTTGTACAAAGAAAACTGTTTTTATAATAGAAGTATACTTGCACATTTAAAATAATGTGTATAGTTTGACATAGAAAATATTTAGATAACTATATTTTGTGGACTATTAAGAATAGCGTAGGAAAATCTTTATCTCACAAATATTTTTCCAAACTTTCTTCCAGTCCCTAAAAACAAATAACAAATATTATGTTTAATAAAACATTACATATTTATTATCGGGGATATGGGTATTCAAACTCGTAAACACTCAAATTTTAGCTAAATCATTTCCTTATTACAAATAAAATCATGTAAAGGAAATTGTGATTAGTCGATAGATAACAATTTATTTTTATCTGTTAGCATTTTCCTTTTGATCTGTAACTTGTTTAAGTAAAACAATACAGCACATTGCCTGATTTAATGGGTTGCCTAAAGACACAAGATACTAATGGTAAATTTTGATTTCAGTAAACAAGGAAGTTAAATAATATGTAATATACAAAAATAATAATAGTAAATATTATTTTAACTAAATTAGAATATATTATAATATCGAATAATATATTATATTACCAGTGGGCTAACATTAGCAGCATGTCTCTCTACAGGTTGTCCATTTTTGTCAACAATAAATTTTGTAAAGTTCCACTTAATAGCACTATTATAAAAAAAATATAATGATAAATAAAAATGTTTAAATTATACACATGCACTAATGTGAACATGAGATACACGGCTAGATTATAACAACGATTTGTATTGACTATCTTTACAAACAGAACCGACAAAACAATAAACTCACTTTTTCTGGTTTACTGGTTTTGCAAAATAATTATTATTAGTGTTACGTAAATTTTTAAAAACTTTAAATTAAATATGGACGAGATAAAATTACTAATATATTGTAATTTAATATAAAAACTAAAATTTATTAATCTACCATGGTTTAACTTAAAACACAATTAAGATAGTTGAGGTGAAATCTTATAAAATTATATTAAGAAACTTACTCTAATATTGCACCGCCTTGTTTTTCTTTTAAATACTTCCATAATGGATGTGCTTCATTGCCGTTAACGTTGACTTTTTCAAATAAATCAAATTTAACACTTTTCTTTTCAGCAAAACTACATATTTCTTCACTGTCGCCGGGTTCCTACAAATATTACGTTAAGTTTGTACTAAGAGAGTATAAATTGATAACAGCTAAATAACACAGAAAGACAAGTATTATTTATTCAATCATAATTAAGTCGATTCATAAATCATAAAAATTTAGCAAATAATTTAGTGTCAAAGGTACAGTGCAAGAGAAACGCAGTACATTTGAGATTAACAATTATGCACATTAGATAGTAAATAATTATTATAAAACCACTTGCTACTTACTAGTTTCTATACACGCTTACTCACTGCAAATATATTGTATTACCTGGCCCCCAAACTGGTTACATGGAAAAGCAAGAATTCTTAGTCCTCTTTCACGATACTTTTCATCCAACTCATTGAGTTCTTTATAATGTTTGGAAGCATAGTTACATTTGGATGCAACATTTACAATGATTAACACTAAACCCCTAAACATAACATAAAAAATAACTATGGACAACTTATAATAATAATAATAAAAACCCAGAAGCGTGGGGTTAAGGCATAAAGAGAACAGAGCGTAGTGAGGTCAGTATAGTCACAGGATTGTTAAAATTATTAAATAAAACTCTTTCTAATTTTTAGGCTTTAAGTACTAAAACTATAATGGAAAAAGTGAAATAATTATTTCACTTGTTATAATATTACATTATCATGTAAGGATTTCCATTTCTTTTAAGAGAAGGTTTTGCGATTTTTGTTGAGTTTTTAAACATAAAACAATCTATATCTAAGTTGAAAATAGGTATATTTCTGGGTGATTTTCTCGATTGTGAAGAGAAAGGAGTAAACATTTTAACATTTTTGGGCCAACAAAATACCTTTCAGATATAGAATTGCTACATGAAGAAATTCTATATCTGAAATGATTACATCAATGTAAAACTCCACAATGAATCATAAAGTTATCCAAGTACAGTGGTTTACTAGTTATCTAACTTACTTGTATTTTTCCATTAAAACTTCAGTTCCTTTGATGTCTCTGACTGTAAAGTCATACACTGAAGTAGCCTTTTTCCAATTCTCTTCCATGTTGGAATTGTAAAATACCTTGTTCTATAAAAAAAATTATAATTATAACTCCTAGTTACTAAAACTCTGTATAAAGTTATATTTATGTGCTTGCTTCTAGTAAGTCTACATTTATTGACTAACACATTGACAACACGTCACTCATAACAATTGAAAATCATTTTTAACATAAAACCACTTTATGTGTTATTATAGTCATTACACCACTTCAAGAAGGTGTCTTGTTGAAAAGTAACAGCCTTGATTTTAAATACTTGTTTTGTAATCTCGATATACATATACACCTACATATGTCTACATATAACATATTATACATCAAAACACTTCATTAGTAAAACATATATATGTTTTACCAATGAAGTGTTTTGAAGATAACACTTAAAACTATAAAAGATCCATTTTTTTATAACCTTGTACACAAGTATACTTACTAGATGTGTGGCTGAAGAAAGCTGTAAAGTCAAAGATGGTAAACGTTTCCAGACAGCAAATGTATACATTTTCACAAGCATAGTAATGAAATGGATTGAAAGAAAAATAACTATCAATGGACAATAGTTGCTAGGTTAAAACAAAACAAAACATTATCATAGGATAGTTCAAATCGTAGCGGACAAACATGAGGGAAAAATAGAAGTAATTATTGGCCGCAGTGTTAAGTTAACCCTTTCAATCCTCTTAACATCATCTAACCTGATTATACCATAATATGATTTATATTTAATTGCTTTTTTTGAAGTTTGAAATTTTAGAACGAAACAAATAATAATACAATGTTGATAATTCGTACATAGGTGATAAGAAAAATGTTATTTTTATTTCTTCCATGGTATTCCTGGAATGTGCCCAACTGTCGTCATGTCGATTAAACTTCTCAAGTTGTACACAACTCTTAACTCACAAGACATGAAAAATGGGTACATCTCGGCAAAAAGAAATGTCAAGTAAAAAAAAAAAATTTTTTTTGGCCAGTCGCAAAGGTATTATTAATTTTAAGATTTGTTCATTGAACCAAAGTACGTATAGATTCATTCGTTCAAATAACGTTACTGTAGACTAAACCTATGTATGAGATATGTTAAGACTGTTGTCTAGTGGAGCCCTAAACAGTACCTTACCATAACCTAACCTATACTCAAAGTATGTGTAATGTGCATTTTAAATTACTATAAAATATTATTCATGTATATTTACAGTTAGTCAAATAAAATCAGGCCTGATATATTACGTATATTTTATTTTTATCTTTTATATTCCTAAGTTAATTATTTGTTCTTTTTTACAACAATAATATTTTTAAATATTTATCCGTACATATTCTATGTCTTCGTACGAACCTAAGTTAAAAATACCATTATACTAATTGTTTATGATAGGTATATGTGATCGCTATAAGAATAGTTCAGATTAGAAATTAATTCAGTGTCAACCGATAAAAAAATACATCCTTATAAGAAATGTAAGTTTTCGTCTAAGCATCAAAAAAAAAAATAGGTATGTATAATATTATTAATTAAGGGGCTTCAACCACTAAACTCAATATATTTAGTACAGTGGCGTCAACACTACCATTTATTAAGGCGCATTGTATAGGAAATTTTTCACTAACACTTAAGTTAAACAACTCAATTAAATTTTAGCCGTACTCTGAAAAGCGTTATCCGACAGACGACTAGCAGATATCTTTAGTAGTAAGAATATTCCAGTTTTCACAGACAAAAATAAAAATATGGATAAAAGTATTGTACCAACCTTTGACAACGATGTGCTTAAAAATTAATTTTTAGTATTAAGGTAGATACGATTCGGGTTGATCGTTGTAATTAACAATATAATGAAAATATTTTCATTAATTGTTCACTGTTAAATTACTCACACAAAGCAACCTGTAAATTGACTACAGACTAAGTATAATTTTTCCCTTTTTTTAGGGGTTTTCTTTAATAAAATATTATTTGAATGAATGAATCAGTATGATATATTCTCCAATGTGCTTAATTGCATTATAAGATTGGTAAAGTGGTTTAATAATAGGGTGGTTGAATTAGGATCAAGTCTGGTATTCCTGATGAAGTAAAAAAGTGTAAAAAAAGAAAAAACTTAGATCACAATTATTAATTGACCAGAAATTGTAAAATATTAAACAAATCAATGGCAGGTAGTGGACAAACACCATCAGTGTAGGTAAGTTTATTCAGAACATATAGAAAGTCAAGAAAGTGGATTTAGGATGGGGTTGCTTGCAATATTGAATTATAATTTAAGTTCGAAATACGTACATTTTTCGATTAAATGCGACCATGTTGTGCTGCTTTCCTCTAGTCTGTCATTGGTGTTGTTACTTTCAAATATTGTGGCCTGAATGTTTTGTTTCTTGTGGCTATTGCACAAGACCGATTCGGCCACAGGAATCCATCTTGTTTATAAAATCTATTTTCTTTATCCCATTGTAAATATAAACTGTTCCCTTTCTTCAAAACCTGCGGGCTGCGTCTGTCCCGTGTCGTTATCTTATAAACTTCCTAGTTCCTACCACCGTTTCATTCGACCAGCTCTCACGATAGTGTGTGTGTGTGTTAGGTTGCCTACCCATAAATTATTAGGCGTAAAGAGCCATATCGGTTTCTCATCTCTCTCGTGCCGAACGATATCGGCTGGTCCTTCGATCAAGTGCTTCTTTTCGTAAACAATTGCAGAGTTTTGAAGCACTACCCCCCCCCCTCCCCACTTTTCCAATTGTTCCTCCATGTTAACATGTAAATTAAAAAAAAAAATGCATGTTAAAAGGGATTTATATTTTATTTGTGTTTTTGAACACCAATAACTTATAGATATACATATAATAATTTATAACTTATAATATATTTAATTATAAATAGTGTAATGAAATACATATTTTAATCTAACAGATATATAATACTATACTGGTTAAGCCGATAATCAAGTCGACGGTTAATTTTTAAAAAGTTTATAATCGTAGTGGCGCACACGAGGAAGTTCATGGGTAGCAACGGCTGCCTCTACATTTTTTACCTAAGCAGGGGTTGGGACCAAATGAAACACAATCTCTAAAAACTAAAAATAATTTATAAAAAACGGAAATACAATATTTTGAAAGACCTTAACAGAAACTAGGATTGAAAGTTTTATAAAACATTTAAGAAATCGGCTATGTTATGCGGTTCAAAATGTTTGGCAGTGAATTAGAAGTTATAATAGAAAATATAGCATGTAGTAGAAATGAGCATGTTGAGGTGGATGTGTGACTAAAAAGAACAAAACAAGTAGTTAGTACACAAGAGTAAGCTTGAGTATAAAATGAGGAGATGTGAGGAGAGGAGAGGAGAGATATGGTTTAGAGCGGTAATGGAGATGAATATAGAAGGAAACAGAAGTAGAGGAAAGTCAAAAAGAAATTGTTTTAAGTTAATGAGATTGATATTAGAATGTGGGTGTGAACATTAATGATATGACAGCAGGCAGTAAAATTGAGTGTAGTTGAGAGCTAGAGTAGGTGACCAGATATATTTGGAAGAAGAGGTCAGTGGGAAGAAGAAAACTTAAAAAAACTCTAATTCCTTACTATAAAAACATAACAAACATTTGGATTTTTTTATTAGAACCATGATTTATAACAATAACAGCATTAGAGAAAATTATACTAACTAATCCTATTATAGCGAGGAATATAACTTTTTAAAATTATCAAAACAGGTCTACATTTTTTTCGAAATATATATTGAAAGAAATGTTCATATGGTAACATTATTACATAATTTTTCGAGTTAGAAAAAAAATCCATCTAGGTGGGTCTTAGATCTATGCAAAGGTATTTGGAAGATGATGTTAGAGAAAAAGATAATAAGTTTAAAAACAATTATCACGGAAACAACAAAACGTAAATTTTACTATAATATACTACTAGTTTAGAATAATTAATTGCTAAAGCGTCCAAAAACATACTTTTAAATTACAATTACAATTAAAACTATAATTTGCTACTTATAATTAGAACAAAGTTTGTTCTTCTAGTGCTAATAGATTACATATTATTATGTAATTCAAATGGAACATTTAAACACCTTTAGTACTGAATAAAATGTATCAAACTGTTGCAAACTGTAGCAACTGTTGGAAACTGAATTTTATAATATTATATTTGTGAAAACTTAATTGGAACCAGCATTGAAATTATATAAAGGTTCCAACCCCTGTTCGTAAAAATTAAACGGATAAATGATTGGAGAGTGGCAGACACAAACATTTTCTTTGCCTCTCCAGTTTAGTTTTGAGTGTGAGCCACCGATTTAATTTTATAAATGTAAATTGTATATAGTAGGTAATAATTATATTTTTAAATTAGTCCGTAGTTGATAATCTAAGTTTTGTTTTTTTAACAAAACAATGATTTTTAAATAAATTAACATAAAATAACAGGAAATGTATATATTTTTTTTAAATTCAATAGCACCCTCTTTGAATGTAGGGCCGAATGTTGTTGGAGGAACACATGGGTTCTAAGTTTTCTTCATCGCTGACCACGTTTTGATCACGTCTATACATTTCGTGTTGGATTGGCATCGTGAAAGTTGTTTCGTGCAAGTTAGGGTTTCTGAAATCCCTCGAGCCCTGGCTTGTAATGCGTCTGGCACTGTAAGAGATCAATCATTTTTGTGTATTTACTGTAAATTATACCTATTTACGAGCAACTATCGCGTTCATTGATATTTTTTTATATAATAGAGATAAAAAACATAATGACGGTCAAAGGCGGAATTATTTGGATGTTTATACGGGTGCTTAGTATTTTATAAGTATATCGCGACTTCCGAAGAACAAGTAACCTAACTAACTATGAAGCTAAAAAGAAAACTGTAAAATGTGTTTACTTATAATCAGAGATGGGCAGAATTATTAATTCCGGATTACTGGATTATTTTTTAATCAATCCGTTATTCCAATACATCGAAATTATGGATTATAAATAATCGAATACGGATACAATTATACCATCATGGATTACAAATAATCCAATACGGATTACAAGGAATCCAGTAATCCCGGATTACTGGATTATTTTTAAATGAATCCAAGTAATCCGTTATTCAAAATGGCGGATTTATGGATTACAAATAATAATTAATTAGTATACTCTGCCTTAGTACGTACTTTAACAAAGCTCAAGTTTATCTAGCTTTCCCACATTTTATATAACAACACTTTTTTGTCAATTTGTTAAATTTTTTAAATCAATTATTTTGTTATTATTGTTTAATTTTATAATCTGAAAAATATGATATCATACCACAATCTAGTTAACATTTTACATTTAAAATTTTAAAATCTTTAGACTTTTGTATGCAGAAATCGGCTCAGTGGTTTAGTTTTACTCCTAGTAAAAATAAAACACATTATTGTAAAAACAATACCTCCCAGCTCCGCATAAAAGAAAAAAATGATTTAAATACATTTTAATTAAAAAAATATATTATTTAAGTACAATGTTTTGGAATTACTGGAATGAAAAAAAAACAGTAATCTTTAAATTTGGGTTATTGGAATAAAACAAAAATCCTAAATTAATAATGTAATCCGTATACTAGGGATTACTGGATTAATAATGTAATCCGTATATTAGGGATTACTGGATTAATAATGTAATCCGTATACTAAGGGTTACTGGATTAATAATGTAATCCGTAATCCATATACTAGGACATATACTGGATTAATAAAGTAATCCGTAATCCGAAACTCGGGATTACTGAAATAAAATAATCCAAACTTTTTTAATTCTGGATTAATAATGTAATCCGTAATCCGTTAACTACGGAATTACTGGATTAAATTTAATCCTTAATCCAAAAATGTAGGATTACTGAAATAAATGTAATCCAGTTTTTTTATTAATCGTGGATTACGAGTAATCCGTAATCCGTCTGTAATGGATTACGGATTGTAATCCATTTTGCCCATCTCTGCTTATAATGCACTTACTCGGGCAGTGGTAACAACCGACGTTTTGGTTTCTTGACCTGTTCGCAAGTGTTAGAGACTCTTTCCATATCGTCTATAGGTTATTAAATAAATGAAATTAAAATCGTTGTGTTGTCGTATGGTTTTATTTAGACTTACAAAATTCGTGCAGAGAACCGTTGTGGCTTTTGTAATCTTCAGCGCCGTCTGAAAAAGTATTACCTCGTTTGGACAGCGATCGCATTGTGTAGTTGGCATAATCCAATTGCGGGGTGTACTACAGTATAATAAAAACGTACGGTTATGGACGATAAAGTACAAGCAAAGTCCTTACTTACTATTCGACTGCAAGTACAGTGGTCCGCGTTATTAGCGCAGCTGGTACAGAAGTAATTTTTATTTATCGGATGTGATTTTTCCTGAGCAATTTGGAAAGTTGCATACGGTGAGATTTCATTATAATCTAAAAACAAAAATACAAAATATAGGTATCAGATAAGACTTGAGACTTAAGTAAGACTTTTTTTTTTTAATAAGTTTGTTGCCGTTTAAATAATCATTAAAGAAAGTAGATTCTTCAATATTGTACAGTTAGAATTAAACAAATTTGTGTACTTGATTCGACATTGTTGACCATGGTATTCTTTGGTTTGAAATGAGTGCTGGCGCAAGGTTCATACGCTTCAAGAGGCGACTGTGGTCTGGAGCAGTTTGTGTTCTTTAATGCCATGGTATTTGATTCCAAATGGCGTTCCGAATTGTTTTTATTGTACAAGTGTCCTGAATAGGTACAAAGTTCTATTAAATTATACTTAATTAACATGTAAGTACACCTAATGTACAAAAATAGTGAACGTGTTAACAGTATATTCCAAAAATATAAATCACAACATTATAATATTAGACTCACTGTATTTTATGCACATTAAGGCGGTGAGTCCGATTGTGATGAAACACAAAACAATTATTCCGTAATGCCACATCCCTGCGATATTGTAAATAACGTTCATTATTTTGTCGTTAACCGATAAAGCTCTTTTGTTAGTTTTCTCTGTTGAATAAAATATTGTGTATATATTAGTTTGCGTTCTCGACGCGTTTTGTTATACTGTATAATGACAAACCTCCGTATGGGGATATGGTGGAAACGGCGTATACGGTTGATGTCATTCCAGCCGAATTGAAGCTCTTCACCAAAATGTTATAATGGGTAGACGGTTTTAAGTTATCAATTGAATATATTTCTGTCGGAGCAACATTTTCGCCAACTGTTTGAAAAACAAAACCATAAACGCTTATAGTCCCAATTAAGATTTCATTTGAACAGTTACAATATTAGTTAAAATAAATGATAAAAAACGTACCGGCCGTCCAGTCTTTCTCGAACGGTTGTCTTTTGAAAATATTAAAGTGAGTGATTGGACAATGTTTGCCGTCCCATTTTTGCAGGTGGATCAGGATACCGGATACCATTTCTTCGATAGCCTAAAAATGTGTACGTGACCATAAATTTTCCGGTTACATGCGTGCCAATCTTATACTTACTTCTTCTTGAGATGGCGCCAAAGGCGTTTGTCCTTGGAGGGTTTTCACATGAAACGGTCTGCTCTGCATACCGTGGCCAACGCGGTTGCTTGCTGAAATGCTAAAAGCCACTGTGGTACCGCACTTGATGTTGGGCAAGGTGAACATGTTGGTACGTGACGATAAAGCTACCTCTGTGTACATGTTGTCCAGTTCCTATAGAGTAGGTAGGTACAAACAAATATTATGATAACCGACAATTTTGGGTTGACCGTTGTCACGGCTAAGATTGCTTACGTTGACGTATTTGTAAGATAGTAAGTATTGTTGAATGGCGTAGGTGTCCGGTGCTTTGGTCCATTTCACTGTGATGTTTGTCCACGACGTGCTCATAACCCCGAGTATTGGTGGTTTGGGAGGCTCTAAAAAAATAAAATAAATTAATTGTTAGTATAAATCGTTTGTGTCCATTTAGCTTAGGATAAACGATTGTGAAATCCAATCAATTTAAAGACAGCAAAGGCCAGTGTCCTCACAGATTTATAAATTTGGTTAGATAAGGAAAAACTCGGTAGGAATTAATATTGGTAAGAAGCTTGTTTAGTACGTTGAAAAAATGGAAGACGACTAAGTGGATTTGGGCTAAATCCTTTCGTACCAATTTTATTTATTGTAAAAATAAGAACATTTAAAATCTGTACTACTAGCACAATAAGTCAGTAGGATGGTAATTTAATATATTATATCATATGATATATTTTACATATATATAATTTATATGTATGTAACAAGAACAGTAAAATTATATGAGATGACGGGCCATCTAGCGATAGAACGTGATCTAACGTAGATCTTAGCGTGATTTATTCGATTACTGATTATGTTATATAATTAGTAATTATAGACAAATATATGTATATATTATTATAGTTTAATAGGCCTCTAGCAGTATTTTTTTTAGATAGTGGGGATGATTTGCAGGATGTGCATACTGGATTTCATAAGAGTTTTGTAAGTAGCAGATCTTTGTGATTTTGTTTGGTTGATTGTATCAATTGTAAAGTCGGCATGGACAGTGGAATTATATACATACTAGGGTGCGGAAATTACCATTCGGAGGGTGATTGACTAAAAGGTTTGAAGAGTTCGAATTTAGGGTGGTTTTGCACAGCGCCAAGTTTGAATTGCATAAGCCCAAATAATAGCCCTAATAGCGATTTGTACATAACGAGTTGTGAGTGGATTGAGAGATTTGATTTTAAAATTGGGCGAATTAAGTGTACCTAATCACTGACCCATGAGAATTTCTCTTTTCGACTCAAGATGGGGACCGCGAGTCGAGTGAGTGTAACGCAAAGATATTTGACCGTTAAATTTTATTTAACTGACTGATTTAGATGGCAAATATTTAAAAGTCGGTGTACTTGCCTACGACTAGTAAGTCGGTTGACACGACATCGGATCCGTAGACGTTCCATGCCGTACAAGTATAATTGCCAGTATCCGAGCTGGTCACCGACGCCAAATGCAGAGTAAAGTTCTCATAGACTTTTGACTGTGAATGTAATTCGATTGGCTGACCGTCTCGTGTCCATTTCACATTCGGTGTTGGGATGCCGCTGACGATGCAGGGCAGATCGACGTCGGTATGCCATTTGGTTTGTACGGTGTCGGAAAACGTACCGATCGATGCTGGGATTCCTGTAATAAATTATATCGATTCGCGATGACAGATATTATACAATATGCACAATAGTCATTATTAAAAATACATCACATATGTTTAGAAGCGGACTGGGAATCAACGGGCCTATAGAAATGAAAATTGTACCGGTCCCAGGTTACTATAGGCCATGGCCCTTTGTTTCTCTAACTTACCTTAACGTGTTGCATAGGGAAGAATATATATTTTATGTATCAATCTAAGAAGTTTGTTTTTGGGATAAAGTCTAATCGCAGAACAACATTTTTATTTGGATTGGAGTCCATTGGACAAACTATTTTGTTTCGGTGTAGTATGAAGACAATTATTATCAGCCTTTTTTTTTATTTCAGTTGTTAAAATTTATTAAATTACAGTTTGATTTTGTAGGAGAGGACCGACCCTGGTGTAGATATTTTATTATATACATCAATACTTTTTATCATTAGCGAGTTACCTAATAAATGTACACTACTGACTGTACCATTTATTTGTACTAAGAAATCGGATATCATCACTATCTAAAACATTGATTTTGTTAAATTTACAATTATAAATCATGATACAAACTTTATGTTATTTTGTTTCTTTTTTAATATTGATATTTTTTTAAATCATTTACATTAACACTCACGTTTGACGTTTTCAAAATGTCACGTCGATGCGAAAATGTGACTAGTATAAGACAGTTGACATATAGCAGTATGAGTATAAGTACACTCAAAGGTAAGAAATTTGTCCGATTGATTTGTTTTGGTCCAAACGGCTTGTGTTGTTATCGGTTAATGTTAAAAATTGATCCAAACGTACAAAAACTATGAGATGTATAGTATAAAACGATACGTTATGTTATACTATTAAAACATATTTTGAATTACTTAAGGCGATTCTCGATTCCACTCACAACTTAGTTGTTGCATTCGATGGCATTTAAGACACTTACCACTAGATTTGGCCGCCGACAGTGTGGCTGTATGTGATTTTACTCCTTCGCCTTCGTCGTTTGTAGCGGACACCCACCACAAATAGCTGACAGTGTCTCTAAACATAGACAGTTGCACCTGTCGGATGGTGTGATCGTATAGCTGAGACTTGAGTACGCCTTGCATGCCGTTGAGTATCTATATATGGACAAACAAAACGCAGCGTGAACTAGTGTAGAAGAGTTATTTTACTACCAGGACTTGGGTGGACAGATGATGACATCGTTTAGGGGGCTCCATACAGACCACTTTTAAGGAGTTTTGTATAGGCAATATTTAAGAAAAAATTGGCTTAAATAAATTTCGACCATGTCAATAAATTTACCGGTTAATTTGTAAAAGCTTCAAGGTATTGTTTTTAATTTGAATCATTTTGTCTATGAGTAAAAGCCATTTTAATCAACATAACATACATTTTTTGTTCCATTGCACAGGCTCAACCAGTGATCCGATAAGTGATATGAAAACAGATTTGAATTTGTCATGAAATTTACTTGAGATCGGTCGACGTACTTTTTTGATATCTTATTCCTACTATGTATAAAACACGTTTGAACATTTTATAAAATTTCAACATTTTAAAATAAAATTTAGAAAGGGTTAAAATTAAAAATTGAAAAAAGTACCTCGACCGATCCTAAGTAAACTTCATGAAAAATTCAAATCTGTTTTTAGATTGCTTATCGGATCACTGGTTAGGCCTGTACAATGGAATGAAAATGATGTGGTTTGGCTGAAAAAATTGTCTGTATGGAGCCCCCTTAACGACTCGGCTAACAGTAAAACTTACCTCGCGTTCGTATAAGGTGTAGCGTTTGATTTTGCCATTAGGATTCTTTGGCGGGATCCATGTGATGAGAGCTGTGGTAGGCGACATCCGCATGGCTTTTAAGGCAGCCGGTGGTCCTGGCACTGAAACGGTGAAAGTGCAACGTCGTCAGAAATGTCCAAATGTCGACTAGGTTTCAACTACTTACAGCTTTCGGATGTTTTGCATATCAGCGGCTTGCTTGATTTGCCCGGCCCTTGGATGGTGTTAACTCTAATTGTAAACTCGTACGCTGTGTCTGTGTCTAAGTCGGATATGATGACGTCGTCGCCGCTCTGGAATACTTCTATTTCGTCATATTCGTCTGTTTAACACGAAAACGCATTAGCTGTTAGTATTAAGCTATTCACACACACACAAACACACACACACACACACACACACACATAATATGAGAACTAAGTTATGGAAATTATAACTAGGTAAGTAAAGATATAATAAAAGTCATCTGTGTCACAGGCTGTTTAATTATTGTACTTCGGAGACGTACAACCTTCGAATTGGAAATTTGTACATTGAAAATGATTTCATCGGTTCGAGTTTTTTTTTACACAATTAAGATTTACACTCATTAAGCTTTTTTTGTTTGTGCCTCCTGGAAATAAATCTTTGTAACCGTCTCCCCGCCGAGAGAAAAACTTTTAAATGTTACAAAAAATAAACTTTCTCTCCTCGACAAAGGAAAACATGCTTTGTTCTCGATAATTTAATGACGGCATCTTTCTTTAAAAGTGATAAAAACTGAGTTGCAAGTAAACATTTTTTTTTTATTTAACCAATCACACTGAGTTATACTATATTATTATTAACGTTAGATGACATAATTATTTTAATGAACTTACAAACGAGCACTGGTCTTAATTATATTATATAAGGTGATGTTAACTTTTATTTAAACTTATTATACAGCGTATTTTTAATGAGGAGATTTATGCTGGCATTAAAAAAAATTATACTGTGCCAGTTTTTTAGTAAACGTTGAAATAATTATTCGTTGTGATGTGTAACCGTTGTTGTGTGCTAACTGCTAACTACTTTAGATTCTCATGAAACTAACGATTATGAAATACAAAAAATATAAAAAATAAACGAAAATAATTTTTTAATAATTATATTGTCATTTTCTAAGTATAACTATACAAAATAATAAAAAAGACTAAAAGTTGAGTAGATGTAACGGAAAACAGTAATTATATTTTTTTATTCCCTGCCAGGCACCCGTGGAAAAATACAAAAATTGGTAAAAAAAATCAAGTTTTTCATTCTAAAAAAAAAAACGACCTTTGTAACTTACTGATTAGAAATTATATAATCTACTAACTTTATTAAACTTTTGTTGAGTCCGTAATAATTAAAGGGTTTAACAAATTTCTATTAGAAAATACACGACTAAGTGATATTTATATTTTTTCAATTAAATATTCTTTGTTCATTGTTCGAGGTTTAATGTTATTTATGACTATTTATCAAAATAAATTTAAAAAATTGGCCCTAAAAATTTTTTTTTGAGATTTTGTTTGTAATAGGTGGGTAAATCCCATACAGTAATTAAAAAATATTAGTATTTTCTTAATATATATATATATATATATATATATATATATAATTTTATTGTAAAAACAACAGGAACAACTAGTAAGTAGTAACCTTGTAGTTAAGTTATTGTTTAGCAAACACCCCTTACTGTTAGAACGGTTGGCCAAGAATATCGTTACCATGATACTATACTATATATAGTATCATGGTATTTATTTTAAAACCAACAGATACGCACTGGGAGTCTGTGGCGTGGTTGTTTGATAAACATTTTGCGGCTTTAGTAATTATTAAATTTAATTTCATCCCCTTTGATTAGTCAACTCGTCGCCAAATAAGTTATCCATTTTTAACGGCACAACTTTTTTATCAGTCCTTTCCGAGCACGTTTATAATTCTCCACTAATGTAATTAAATATGCGAAAGTTGTTCGCGATAAAAAACATTCGTGGAAAAAATACGGGGCGCGACGATGTCATAATAGAATAATAAAGTACTTAGGCAAATGTTGCTTGCAATCGTTTTGGAATTATTAAATCAAACGGCAGGCACATAAAACGTACCCGCCGTTGAATTTTATAGTAAGTCCTGCTGCGATAAGGTGTAGAAAAGGCGGCATCGATGCCCTGAAGAGAAAACAATTTGCTCGTATTCCGTACAATATGGCTCAAACGACATATTATTTTGTGTGGCAGCTGTATACCGTGCAGCTGAAGGACGTGCGCTTGTACCATAATACTCGAATAAACATTGAATAAAAAAAAAATAAAAAAAATTACACAGTCAGCACACCCGAATGACACAGAATTGAATAAGAAAAAAATCTCAGGAGGTTTAAGCCTATATATACTATATTGTAGCTAACAACATATTGTTTGAAGTCAATATAATTTGTTATTTGTATAAAAATAAGTAGTAAATTATTTTATTTTATAATATTGTAAATACCACTAGAGCTCTATAATATGATGTAAATATAATTTAAAATGACATATTATGCCGTATTGCAGTTATAAATGTTTGCTCATGCAATAAATTATTATATACCTACTAGCATGATTAGTACCTGTCCCAAACTTCTGTGACAAAAATATATTTTATACTCGTCCACCCAAAAATAAATGAACAATTATCTTTTTATTTTTCCATAAATTGGCAATGGCCATACAATTCATAATGCGCCTGTCAGCTGTCACAACAATCACCCCCCTACCTACCCAACCACCTACTTATAAAGGTTGAAATTTTTGGTTTTCCCCACGTAATATACTTGTTTGGCGTCGCTGAACATACATTAGTACTATAATTAGTGGTTAGCTGGTTAGCAATAAAATGTAAAAGTATTCAATAGTGTCAAACTGACAGTAGTGACTTCAGTTTTTTACTAAGCTTTTATCAGTTAATTTTACAGTTTTTAAAATACATTTTTTAAAATACTTTTGGAATATTTATGAAAAATACATAGGGTCGTGACCCCATCTATGACTAGTCTAGTCCACTCTTCTTTTTTTAATTAAAAAACCAAAATTGTCTAGCCTACTTTGAACTTCTAAATCCGAAATGTTGTTTTTTTATTAGAATAGAATAGGACACTACCTTGGCGAACATATTATTATGTTATTTTCCCCCTCTAGAGGTCTAATTTTGAGTTTGAACTAATCATTAGTAGACTTATTGATAACTCTAAGATAATTATTACCTATTTTTATAATAAATGCTACTAAAATACAAATGTAATACTTATTTTAATAATTTAATTGAACATCGTCAAATGCATTTTCAATGACTTCCAAATTATTAATTTCTTGTAAATTTTTTAAAATAAATAAATCGGCCATTATTTTATACTGTGTACACAATATATTTTATACTTAATATTTATATATTTGTAATTTTTATATTTTAACAAAAAAATTATTTTAGACAATTTGTTAATTTATTAGAAAAACAACAATCTGTACAAACGTTATTATACACAATAAGTCATTGTGATAATAATTATAATATTGTGATGAAGTTAACACGAAGGCATTAATTTACATGAAAAGAAGTCTAATAACACTAATAATATTTTTTAGTACACTATATTTCGAAAGTACCATGTTTTTTGTTTCGCACCAATATTTCCTATTCTAGTGTACCAAAATGACTAATCTGAAATTCAAAAACAGACCCCCCTGATCCCGCGCAAGAGTATCGGTTAAACAGATACGTTTTTGTGGGGTTTTGCGTTTCAAATAATGCACGTCTGGGGACTGAGTTGCATAATGTAGGATTTGCATTTCGCGTACCGGTTAGGAATTGATCAAACGAAGCCGATAAAACGTCTGGCTCTCTTTTGACAAGAGTATTTTTGTTTTTTTCCCCCTCGTCCGAATAGAACCTATCCTATCTGGTGCTCACAGTCGTCGGCGGATTATTTGTATTGTATTATTCATTTTATTTATCCGTGAACGGAATTTTGTCGCCATCGCATTTCATGTCTTGACACCATCGGGCCCGGGAACACGGCTGTCGAGAGTGGCTTATCGGATTTAATTGAATTTCCTCATCAAACGCGCATTGTGTTGTCGGCTACGCCCGGGAATACAAATGGCGTTTCTTATTTTACCAGTCCCGTTAAATAATATTATTATTTAATTTTTTTTTAGTTAAAAAATCCATTGAAAAAACGGTGTGGCCCGAGATAATCAGCCATATAATTATAGTATAATAACAACAATATATAATAGGTGATCATTTTATCGTGAACCACTCGATATCTAATTTTTTTTTCATAGTGTTTTTATTTAATTTGATCTCAGTTTTCATGTTCCTATCCTGCTCCCAATTTTATATCGACTTTTGAAACTTAAATGGAAACGTAAACATTTCATTAACTTTTTAAATTGAGAATTCCTGATGTACAGAAAAAACAAAACATTTTGAAACGATATTGGTCGGTCGACAACGTACTTAGAATATTGAACAGTTGAAAAATGTTAACACGATACCGACCAGCTAATTTAATAAAATATTAAGCGTTGGGATACGTATGTTTAAAATTACAAGTTAATATATGGTAATACACTTGATGTAGACGATTTCTTCTCTCATTTAATGATTTTAAATTTAAATTATAAACTGCCAAATATCGTAGACGTTCACCTTAAATTTCAAAGACAGAAAACGATTTTGAATTGTTTCGACGTTGTTCATATTGTTTTATTAAATAGGCAGTTTATATTGTTTTATAAATTAATTAGCCAGTACGTCAAGATATTACACGAATTTCAGCCATTTACCTAAATTAAGTCATTCAGTTTAGGTTAGTTTATAAATTTTGTAAGTTTTAAAAATTCCTTATATTATTTATATCAAGTTGTTATACTGTAGTATATGCACGCGAGGGGAAGTAATCAGACCCCCTCCCCCTCCCCTTAAAAGTTTTAAGTGTTCCGCTAGGGTTTGGGGTTTTTTAAACAATAAGTTTTTAATGTGGATAACGCCCCGTTACGGTTTTGGATGCGATACGCAGGTCGGCTATTGGCCGCAGCACACAGGGGATAGCTGTTATCGTGTCGCTAATGATGGTATGAGCGCTTTACCGAAGCACCCGGAAACTATTAAAAGTTCATTAAGCTCAACAAATGCTAGGCGATGATAGTATTTGGCATTATTTAAAAGATTGATATAATACTTTGTTGTATCCTAGTGTACACACTATTGTTTCGACGGCGCTGCGTGTATGCAAAATAAGTACACTCCAGTGAAGCGTACCTGAACATTGTGTCCCATTCAGGAGCATTTCTTCTTTGCCTTTCTCGACAAACTTAGGTCAACCGTTCTTAATTTTCCTATATATTACATTAATATTGTTTATTCATCAACGTTTACTCTATTCACATCCATATTATCAATAATAACAATCAGCCACTTTTATTCGGTCTATTTATGACTATGACAATCTCTTCCTTGGTAAATAGTTAGGTGAAAACAGCACTGGTCAAAGGTGGGGATCGTTTCACGTAACTGTAGAATTTCATACCCAGCCAAATGGAAAATTAGGGTTATGGTTTTTCAATTTAATATGTTTAAAGCAATTACAAATCCAAATAGTATAAATCGTACCAATGCGGTATTGTCTTTATCTAAAACTAGTTCTGTTTAATTTGTCTTGCTAAAATGAATAAAACGACTCACTTATCAAATCGTCGGGTGGCACCACTCTGGAATAGGTCACCACGTATCCTTGTATGTGATCGCTCATGGGACTATTGGCGTTAAGGTCGGTCCATCGCAATCGAATACTCGTGGGTGTGGTCTCATTGCAGGTAAGGTCATCGGGTGGCGATCCCAAAACTATATATAAAAAGAATATATAAATATATACATATATAAATATATCACGCAGTTGACGACGGTACTTCCTTATTTAATAAATGCCGAGGGCATTTAATCTTGGCACACTAACCTTTGATTTCCAGTTCCATGGCAGCTTCGTGTTTCCCCAAGGAGTTTTCAGCGACGCAAACGTAACGACCAGAGTCAGTGGCGCTAACCTTTTTTATTGTGAGTTTGGATCTGACCGACATGTCTGTATACATCTCTTCCACTGTGTATCTGCAATATTAAAAGTTTACTTAGGTTATAGGGGATTGTTAATTAAAAAATAAAAATGATACAAATTATCACAAGACAAAAAAACACTTTATTGTGTAATTTTAATTGAGATAGAACATTAAGTCTATACGTTTATAGTAATCGGATTACCTCTGGTTTTGTATTTCCGTCAATAGGTCAGACTGGGTAAAGTGGTGAATTATTGATTAGGGAGGGAAAAATATATTAATATTATATCATAAATTATAAAGCGTTAAGAACATCAAAAGCTCGTTTCTAAACAATGTTTTATAGTTTGCTTTTATCTAATTTGTGTGTGTGTATGTTTTTGTTTTAAGGCAGATTTCATGTTTTAAGTATAGTAATTTGTTTTTTAATAAAAAAAAAATAGCTTACGTTTACCAAAGTCAATATGACTGTAGAATTGGTAACGGAATAAAATATTGTAAGTTAAATTATTTCGGACAGCTTTACGTCTCTAAAACGAATGTACTTGATTCACGTGGCCTTTTGTACATAAGTAGCTAACTAACAACACCTTGTTACGACACCGTTGGCAAGTTGCCAAATTGAAATAATGCCAGAAGAACATTTTACTCTTACAATGATACGGCTTACTGGGTAACCGTTTGGTCGTCGTGGCCATTCAATATATTATTTTACCTTACGGAAATGCCGACGGCTCGCGTTCACTAACCCCGGGACTTATGCAGAGGTAGGTATATTTATTGTTATTAACGAAGCCCGTCCATGTAGAAAAGCAGCCGTAAGTCTCGCACAACAAGGCAATAATTGGCAAATGCTTCTTTGAAGATAGTAAATTAACTGGTAACTAACGGTATAACCATATAAGCTTGTACATATTTTGATATACATAAATATTTTTCATATCCCTCCAATTGAGTTTGGAATAATAACAAGAGCGACGATTTACTAGAATTCAGTTCCTCGGGGAGTTTGGAAACACTGCGATAACCGATGAACGTGCTTTGAGCTCACTCGGGAATGAAATTCATAATATATTGATTCTTAAATAGTAGAAAACTACCAATGTACGGATACCACGAAATCACGTTATAAGTCATCATAAGTTTTTGTATTGTGTTTTTCAACAAACACGTCGATAGTTGTAAAATTATCCTGTCTACAAATCGTGGTACTAAAAAAAAACAATAGTATACAAACATTCCGCTTTATAAAAAAAACAAAAAAAAAGTTTATTTTTTTAATAAATATTGCGCAAGAATCGTTTAGTCGTATTTACATATTTTGTTTTTTTTTTTCATCATCATGTAGCTTAACGGGCCATGAAGGCCCAACGCTGCCATCATGAGATGGTTTCTTGACGAATTCGCTTCCGGGACGGGTCGTCAATCCGTCGCCGGAGAGGGGGATGGCGGTTCCTTTTTACCGGACGATTGCTCGCCCAGCAAACGGAGCGCCTGTGACCGAGTGTCGAACCGGTGACAGTGAGCGCTAACACACTGCCGCCTTACCCACTCGGCCACTCCTCCTCTAAGTTACTCTAGGCCACTAAGTTTTTTTTTTTTAGCTGGCAAAATTAGTTTTTTTCTAGTTTTAGCATTTTTGTAATAAAAATATTAAAATTATACAAATTTATTAGTAAAATAAAAAAAAACTAACGCAGTCTAAACGAACCAAGTATAGTTCAAACCAGCACAGTCTAACACCCAAGCATAATCTAAACTAGTACAAATCGATTCAGACTGTACTGAATCAAATACAAAAAAAAAAAAACATCATAAATAGACCAAAGTCATTTTGTTAAATCCGTATCCATAACTCTTTAGCGCGGCCGTTTTGTAAATCTATCAACATTAATAATTTGATGTCGGATTTAAGAAAAACCCTCCGGTCTTTAGATTCGTGCTGTTACTGTCACAAACAGAACGTGTTCTCCGTGGAGTACATTTCGGGTACGTGACCGGAATGGAAAAATACATTAGAAAAAGAAAAAAAAGAATTATGAAAATAAAATACAAAATCATAGGTACTTACTCGTTGTTTGACCGTTTTCCAGAATGGCGTGCGGTCACAGAGCATTATTGTTTAGTTGAATTGCGTTATGCGTATTAAAGATATATACAGTGCGTCATTCTTATAATATTTCTCTGAGAACTATTTCTCATGAATGTTTTATCGAACGCCAGTTGATTGCATTTGAACTATTTTTAATAATAAATCTCGTTTGAAATCTCGCGTATTTAGGTCAGTCAAGAAACTTAACGCTAATTCGATACACTTAACTACTTTTCTTGAAACTAATTGAAATTCTTTGGATTTATCCGTTTTTAAGACTGCCATACTCCTTATTTAATAAGAAGTTAGGTAGAGACATTTTTTTCCGCAAAATTCTGTTTATTTTACACGATTGAACCTTTAAATTTAAATATTAAACTGTGATGTGCAAGTATTAGTGCAATAATTAGGACTGTTTTATGATAATTAATTTCACATCATCCTTAACAGTGTTTCAAAAAAATGTTTTTCACCTAAACATGTTCTCACTAAACAGAAAAGGGTACCCTTGAAAAAGTGATTTTATAAATAAAACATCTATAATAACAAATATATATAGAGGACAAAATTTCCAAAGGAAACTTCGTATGCGTTTTGTATTATCTACAATCAAAGTTGTGTATATTCTTATTCGAATAATTATTTCACAATTTATTCGGATAACATATTATGCTTGAATGTTATCTAGATGGTTATTTAGATAACGTTTTATTCGACTGATGCACAACTCCGTCTACAATGCGTATGTCAATATGGTGGATGCGAAAATACATTTTTTAAATTATTATAAAATATTGTTTTAACTTTTTTTCTGATAGATATTTCAAAAATAGGTCCCCTTGAAAATCTTGTCCTCTATCTTTTTTTTTTTTATAATAGGTTTGTCTAAAATATCTTATTTTTATATCTAAAATAACTTTGAATGGTACTCTTAACTGTTTTGCATAAACATGTCGTCTTTGAACCATTGAAAATCATCGATTAGACGTTGTATTTTTTTTTTTATGCGCATTTTCTACTGTAATTACCTGCGATTATTAAATCGTCTTCCAGACGGTATTATTTTCAAACATATCAAAAGAACAACAACTCTTATTCTTCGTTTCTCTCCGTGTGCCAACGAGTAGCGCCATTCTAATATCATTAATTTATCCGTCCGGCTACGCCATAAAATGCGAGATTTATGTTCAATTTAAAGTCACCGGCGCGTTAATAACGCGGATAGAAAATGTTGTTTTAAAATAAATTTAATTGCAATACCCACTCGTAGTCGCTTTTGAATGAATTTAATTACATTATAATATTTACCTCTTCGCCGAGCACAGAAACCCTTTTATGCTTCTCTCGTATAGTGTTGTTAGGTGGTCAGGTGTAGAACACGGTACAATATAATATAATTATATATTTGTTCCAACCGGACTTACCGTTGTGTAGGTATCAGAGATTAAATACTTTTGTCGCTTAGCCCGCCCGAAGTTCTATCAAGTCAACCCATAAGTTAATCCAAGTATTTATATCTTACTGTTTAAATAAATTGTATTTGTGTTACCTATTGATACCGGCCCGTCAATATGTTTGCATGTCAGTATTTAATTATACTAATCTTCGAATCAAGCGTTAGTCATACGAATAATTATCTTATGTTAAACTTATAATAGTCTTACGATAGTATGCCTAAGTTAAGACTCACTGTATTACAGATCCTTAAACGGAAATACAAAGAAGAATATTTGGGTGGTAATGCGATTAATTCTTTAATTTTTAATTAACATTATAGTTCTAATACTTTAATTGGTTTTTAAACGTATTTCAAAATATCAAGAATCATATTTCAGACATGATTTTATTAATCGTTTAGGACTAGACAACAAAGCGCATGTGAAATCATACTTGGGCAGCCATAATAAAATGTTTTTGTGTTTTATTTCTTTATCGTATCATAAAGTAGTGTACTTTGTGTGGAAGTAGATAAATTTTGGGCGGGAAATAATTGTTGAACTACACGCTGGACAATGGGTTTGTTTTAAAATTGATAGAATTAAAATATTAGTCTTTCTTCAAGAGTTCTTATATTGTTTTGTTTTATTATGGTTTGGTCAGGTCATTTTTTTTTTATCTAAATCAGACCAAGTAGCAAGGGTTATTTTTTTACTGAGCATTAGTGATGCGCTGTAGTTTAATTATTTAATCGTTATGAATTAACTACAATATTTACTTACTGGGCTATCATATCAATAAGGGTTTGCAATGTAAAGTTGTATTATGGTATTGACGTATTGATTTCAGCTGGCCAAAATGCAAAAATACAAGAAAGGAAGCCAACCGGCAATGTACTCAGAACAAGGCCAGACGTGGTGTGTCATATAATATATTCATACTATCAGGATACATTTTATTTTTCGCTCTACTGCAACTTGGGTATCGATTAAAATGTAAATTATTTTAATATTATAAATAAGTGTGTATTTAAAAAAATATTTGGTAACATAGAATCCTGTTATAATCGCATGGCGAATATCCGAACACAAGGAGACAAATATTATCTCCCGTTCATGTCAAAGTGACAACACTTTGTGTGATGTCTCGCACTACATTCCATTAAAATGTAAAATAAAAAAAATATATTTTTATGCTAAGCGCGTCGCCGATTGGTCTGTGTATGTGCATTCGGTAAAATAATATATACTGAACCCGACATTCCTTCCAATATGTGTATGGCGTGCAATTAATTAACATATAACTAGATTTTTGTTGATTTATTTGATTATTTGTAAACATGAATTCGCAACAAACCGGTAATGCTTACACTACAGACATGTTTTAGATGACAGAACCTAAATGAATAAATTAATAAGAACTCTGTAATGGCCTGAAATAGAATTCAATGTCTTTCTATTCAACTATTCTCTTAGTGTATATGCTTCCGACAACTCTAATTGTAAGTACTATTTTGTATAAATAACTCAATGACAGATAATTTCGTAGAGACAATAATATTCTCATAGTTTCAGGTGTCGCTAAAAGTTTCTAATTTGTGTCCAACCATCAAAATCGTATTGTCTTTAAGTCGATATTCCCGGAAACCGTAACGCATCCAGTGTCAGGACAAACCTAATACTAGACAATGGTAAATGTATATCAAACTAAATTACTACTCGAAGTACCATAAAGAAATAGGTATTCTCCTATACACGTGCTGTTGTACATTATAAAATATATATAAATGTATTATTCGAAAATTATTGTAATAGAATAATTATATCGAACCTACATTTGTTTTATAAGAGATACTTTGTTTTCTGATTTGTATTTATGCGGAGTACTGAAAAAATAATTTTTAAGATTGAATCCTACAAATATATTTCCAAAGATTATTAAGTTTAGTGGTTGTTCACACATTTCAACATTATTGATCGACGGCTATAAAATAACTAGATGCCTTTTGTTTACCCAAAATGATAATAATTATTTTTAAAATATATTTTTTAAATTGAGGATGGGAGTTGGGAACCGGAAAAATTATACTTCTGTCCTAAATTTTAAACTTCAAAAATAATTGTATTTTATTATTTAACAATATTTTAAGTTCAATATAAATTAAATGATATATTTTATCCTACTATAACACATTGGATTATTCTTGAGGGATCATTGATGTCCTATGAATTTGTCAGCTATTGATCTTATTACACGATAGCAATAATAGTATTAAAAAAATATAAAGAGAAAAATTAGAAACAAAAATTGACATTATTACTCAAAATATTTTTCCACCAGAATGAAACAAACATGAGCAAACTGTTATCAGTCGCATGCGAATTGGCCATTTTCAAATTACCCTATTGTCAAGTATGCAACGTTACCCTAAGCATCCACCACAGCATCATAGACTGTTCTGGGTACTTCCCAATCAGGGTACAATACGGTAAACCAAGTAAACTCAAATACGCACTTAATGAAAACAAAGTAAATAAAATAATTAAGTTTATAAAATGCATTAAATTATACTCACTAATATAAGATAAGACCAAAATACAAAATTATATGGTTTTAATTTTAGAATTATTTTAATAATGATATAAAAAAAAGAATCAGCAAGTTATAATTTCTTTTGAGTTGTAATTTTTCAAATGAGGTACGAATTTAGATCTACGATATCCCTTTTACATGGAAATCGGCAGCGTTTTTGATTGCACAGTATTTTTTTTAACATATATTTTTTCCCAACTAATTTGCATTTCTCAAAGCTGTGTTTGAAAATCAGACTCGTTGCTGCAATAGCACGAAAACAAATCAGAAAGTAAACAGTTTTTTTTGTAGATATGTGTAATCGCTAGAACACTACGCGTGAATGAACGAGAAAATTAAGTTAGTCCTTTTTTCTTTCATCGTTTGATCTGCGTTCCATCCATCCGAACATTGTTTATATATATTTTTTTTTTCATTAAAGCTCGTGATATTCTATACCAATATTATATACTTATATTTATACTGGCGGAGGAACGCGATTTGTTTCTTACCTCGGAATGTTACTCTTGTAGTTCAATTGAGTTGATCCTTTGATCCACGATATGTGTATCGGTTGGTCTCCAGTGGCCTCACAAGACATAGTCACTTCCCCGCCATTGACCGAGGTGTACTTGGTGTTCGGTAGTATTATGTGTGGCAGATCTGAATCGTCACATAATGCACAACATGGTTAAGTAACTATAAATGGTTATTAGGGTGTTTAATGACAGTATCCGATGAAAAACAAGAAAATGTCGAACGAACAGAGTGTGTTACTGTGAACATTTCAGTAGAAATTGAACTTAATAATAAAGGTATCACCTGTGATAACGTTACTCATGATTATGGGTATCGATGGCACTTTAAATAAAATATAGTTAAAACCAAAGCGAGGAAGGGACACTTCAAGAGTTAATATGCAATTGAGTGTAATTCGAGTAGAACGAATGAGCGTCTTGAACGAATGTTTTTTATAGATTTTAAACATGTAGGTATATGTCTATTGTCTAAGTACGTACTACCGAATAATTATAGCTGTTTACTTGCAATATAATATATTATTACAACTGCTGCTTGATGGAATTTAAATTTCTAGAGAAACACTGTTATTGGTATGAGAGTCTTTTTGAGATTATTTGATGAAAACAATTTTATAACTTTAGATACTCTAAGCGTCCGAATATCGTTTATGTCTAATAAAATTTCAGAAGTATAGCAAACGAATTTGTCTATTGGTTTAGTGAACAGGTATAGCCGCTGACCTTGTACGCTCAAACGGATAACTGCGCTGATCGGTTGACCTACGTCGTTGTTTGCCTCACACATGTAAAACCCCTCGTGCTTCTTAGTCACTCTGTTTATGATCAGAGTGCCTTCAGATGTCACATTGTCGGTGACTTCGGTAAACTGATCAGAATCTTTGCCTGTAACGGTTTCAAAGATAAAACTTTAATGTAATATCAGTCGTTTGAGTTACGGTATTTCAGCTGTTGTATTTACTTGTTCCCTTTCTCCACTTGATATTAGGTTTGGGGTGTCCTGATGCTGAACAGTTAATTTCCGCTTCGTCATCTCGTATCACGTTCATATCCTTGGGTTCAGAGATCCATTCCGGAGGCACTACAATTACAGTACGATTGGAATTAGTTCAGGTAACCACCGCGGTGTGACGTCAAGAGTGCACCTAACGACGTGCCGTGTAGTGCGGTGAAGTTTGCATGCAAAAAAGAATAAGACTTGGTGCAACGAGAAAATTATGTTTACTCCGGTTAAAAAGTTTCGATGGATATTTATCACTATATAAACGTTTTCGGGTATGCGTTCACAGTGTAAAATCCCTTGAGTAGGTCGATCGCTCGAGCTGAATTTAATTTAATTTATATATATTATAGTATAGAATTATATGGATTTTCATATGTTTACTCTTTACAGACGACGTTAAAATTATTTTTGATATTATTTTAGTGGAAAAGTTTTTTTTTTTAATAAATTAGTTTTTCGCTAGAAGAAAAATTATTGGATCATGATTATGTCTTGTGGTATCCTCCCTTTTCTCTATCTACCATTCCCCTGCTCCTCTCCTCTCTCCTCCCTCTATCTTCAATTCACTCTCTCTTATCACTAATCCTTTATCATCTGTCTATCAGTAATCAGCTGTTTCTTATCATGTTAGGTGGACTATCGGTAAATTGATGTGGCAAATTTTTGACAGACCCCCCAGCCATAAGACACATTATATAATATAAGCTGATGTATTATACAAGGGTGGAGACAGCGTATCTGGTCCACCGTCCCGGTTACTAGTGTACGTGTAACACAGTGTAACCCGAGGTGGACTTTGCTATACCGTTGACGTTGAGGTGGGCCGTGTAAGAGGCGCTGTGAACCGGATTGGCGGCCACGCAAGTATAATCGCCTGTATCCGATCGGGACACGTTGTTCACAGTCAGTATGGTGGAGTATTCGTTGAACGGCGTTATGTCAGCACCGCTGGACCCGTGGTGCATCCGACCATCCTTGAGCCAGGTAAGGTTCATCGGCAAGTCACCTTGGTGAACCGTACACGCCACCTGTACCCTAGACCCTTCGGTGAGCTTGGAAAAATAAAACGGTGTGATTTCCGGAGGTGCTGGAAACAAAAACAAAGCGGTGCAACAACAAAAAAACCATTACTGTGCGAGTGAGTTCATCGTTATGTTACCATACACGTATAATCGTATATAATAATAATATATTGGCGTAGAACATAATAAAGTGTCTATATTATAAGTGTGTTGTTCAGAGAACGTGACTACTAAGAAGATAATGGTGCAAATTGTGCGAAACACTGTAGTGTTTTAATAGTGAAAAGAGTGACGGTGTTATAATACTAAGTATCATAGGTATATCTGTGTTCGAAACCCATCCAATTCACTGCAAATACTTACCGGGGCCTCGGCAGGTACCTCTAAAGTATATGGAATGGAGGCTCCGCTAACGTATTGCACATGTGTTTGAGTACATTAAACAATAGGTACGCATTTGAACTATGTGCATATTTGTTTGGACGGTGTATTCTGTTACTGAGTCGTGCGAGTGCTTATAATTTGCGAATGCGTGAATATATTAAAAAGTAGGTGCGGTACATAATATTATAGTGCTGATTTATGATATATATATATTGTTAGTGCGACGAACAACAACGTTTGTCGGCGTTATGTGCTTAATAGTGAAAAACATAATACCGCAATAAAAAAGTGATAAATTTGTTAAAAAACAAAAAAAAAATGTACCGAGTACGGTCAGCGTGACCGTATGCTCGACGGTAGCCACCGGGTTTGTGGCCCGGCAAGTGTAATTTCCTTCGTGCGATAATCTTATGCTTTCAATGAGCAAAGAGCTGCTGTACTCGTTCTGATAGGTGACCGATAACGGTGGTACCGAGGCCGCAGAGTCCAGGGTTTGGTTGTTTTTTAACCACTGGATGCTCAACGGCCCGTCCCCCTTGGTTATAAAACACTGACATCCTACTCGACCGCCTTCGTGATAACCGTCTTCTATTGTGAACGGATGAATGTGTGGAGGTTCTGCAACATAGGCAACGCTCAGCCGGGTTGACAGAGCAGAGTGAAAAAAAAATGAAAAAAATACCGCCCAGGGCCAAGGAATAACATTGTTTTAGAACTACCAAAATTACCCTTAAAGTCTTTAACACCTATGCCACTATGTGTTAGAACTGATGTTGAAAGATGCCGAGCTACTATAGCCCGGCGAATGAATCGTAGTGAACAAATTTGTTAATATAATATAATAATTGGCATAATGTTGCTATACGATTTATGATGTATGCTTTATAAAATGTGCAATTATACTGTTCGACAAGAAATCTCGTATAGATATTGTTTTTCAACATTTATTCAAATTTACCTAAAATTGTAGTCTTCGTATCTATAACTAGACGTATAACATAGCCTGACGATAAACTGTTATTGATATTAAAAAAACATTTGTCAGGCATTTTGAACATAATATGGCCAACCAAAAATGCATGTGCTTCAATTAAAGAGTAGTGGATTGGCCTAAAGTGAAAAGTTGTTCTTAAAACTGAAGTTAACATCATATTTTGTAACTCTGTTCAGTTTAGAAATAAATACCAATTTTAAATTTCAAAGTAAATGTTAAATTATAGATTTTTTCAACTATGAAAAATTGTATTACTGCAAAAAAAAAGTGAGTTTTCAAAAAAAGTTATTAAGTGTTTTAGCAGTTTGTATGTTATCCCGCTAGATTTACTCATGTAACTAAAGAATTAAAAATGTAATTGGTTTCCACACTAATGTATTGTACTTTGATATTGTGCTTTTTATATAGTTTTTTAATTAAAAACAAAAATATGATGTATGATATATTAAAATTTTTGCAACACTCAAAATAGCTATTTGCTAGAGAATAGTCCACTAAAAATAATGACTCGTCTATAATATTTTCTTAATATTTATAATTGAAGTTATAGATAGATGATACAGTATCATATATACAGAATTTCGAATGAAATGGGAGATAGTCCCAAATTATCAATTTATTTTTAAAAACCCTGAACTCGTTAAGAACTCTTGTTCGGTCTAAGAATTGCTTAGTTATTTCGTACTTTGACTAGTATGGTCAATTATTATTTTAAAAATGACGACGTTATTTGAATGCAGTTATAAGTCGTAAATAAATATAAATATAAATATTAATAGTCAAATGCTAGAACTGCAAACAATTGTTAATAGTTGTTCCTATTGGAAAACGCGGTTAGATAATATGAAAATCGGATATATTTTTAATAAAGGGTAGTGTGTGCGTTTCACTTACCGATAACTACCACCTCTACCGATGCTTTGGCCACATGGTTGTCGTTGCTGGCTTCGCAGTAGTACGTTCCCTGGTCAGTTTTCTTCTGCACGTTGTCAATGATTATCGAACCGTTATTGAACACCTTGTACCTTTTGTTTGTCAATTTCAATCCGGGCAACTTCTTATTATCTAGATGAAAAAGAAAAAGGGATAAGAACAAAAAAAAAAAACCATTGAACAAAAGGGGTAAAGGGAAAAATAAAGGTACGCATTATCATGATATACCACCGAGGACCGAGGTGCATGTTTCTAGTGGAGGTGTCAGAGGTATATATTATTATTACATTATTGCGGTATGCAGTACAGGGCGAGTATAATGCAACGTTTCCTATTGTTACACCAATATAGGCCGATATTGGCGTAAAATAAAAACAAAAAAACCATTAGGAAATAAAAAAAACCGAACAATGGAAAGGGTTGGAAAAAAAACTAATCCACATCAACCCGGACATTATGTATAGGCACACCGCGGAGACGACGGTATACAATGGCTATGGCAGTAACATCATTTGGCGTTCACGTCAAAAAAAAAATCTTCATTTTGCTTGGGAGGAAAAAAAAGGTGTAAGTCTGCTGGACGTTTATTCATGAAATATTTAAAAACAAAAGCCCACTGACGTTTTTCCCGCACGCCTATTAGCTGTTTGTGTGCGGCTTAAGTACTCTCAGCGTGCCGGCCGGGACATAATGGCGTTGATAGACCCCAGGGCTATAATAATTGCTACTCGAGCCGAGCAAGCATCTCGCAAGGGAAGGGTTTGACGTCGTTTGTGTCCGGTTATTGCAATAGTAATAATATATTATACACGAGTATCGCAACCTGCACATACATTGGCCTTTGACGCTGAACGTCACCATCGTGGCAAATGTAGAATATACATCATCATCGTAACCCTCAGAGTTTTCGAAAGACAAACAAATTTTTTTGTGTATGCGTTTGAAACCGACTGACTTGGATGAGAATTGGTGAGTTACGCACATTTTGAAGAATTTGACTTTGTTGTGCAACAAATATTAAAATGATTTTTTCATGTTGATGTGGCAAAAAACAAGTATAACGTGACCAGTATTACTCGGTTGGACGAAGCAGCTGGTGAATAAAATATGGAAATGTGTCTTTAACGTTCACAGTGACTGAAAATCTGAGTGCAAAGGTTTGTTTTAAAGGTTGTTAAATTTTACTATTTATGCAATGATCGAACAGTGATTGTACAGTAAAAAATATTACTGAAAGCTTGTGCTTCAATGTCATTTGACATTTATATTAATATTTGTTAACAAACGAGTATGGGTTTACCTGCAGACAGATTACAGGGTGATACACTAACTACAAACCAGCCAATATATCATACGATTCAACCATATATTAAAAAAAAACTATGTTATAGTTTTGCATACTTGTAACGCATTTATGTATAATATCAAGTATTTATTTTTTTCACTTTTATGCCTTTAACGAATATCTTTTTTTTTATTTTAAAATGGTCACATATGATTTTCATGTTAAATCCATAAATTATTATTATATTAAATTAGTTCCAAAATATTTTTCATACCCATCAAGGATTTTAAAAGTTATAAACATTTATATTTTGTGTTATAAGAACGCTTTTTCCAAATTAATGTCTACACGGTATTCAATGGTGTTTGTTGTTGTTTAAATAATCACAAACCCGTAATTGGACTAGCTATACCAGTAGGTGGTAAAAATCTTAAACTTAAAAAAAACTGCAACTCTTTAAGTATTCACGGACATAAAAAGTATTTTATTTTCAACATAAATACCAAATAAAAATTAGGGGTCACCGTTTGAAAGTCAAATTTATACATTGGCTTAAGGCATAAAGGTGAAAAAATATGCTTAATATTATTTATAGATGCACTACAATTATAGAAAACTATCGGTTTTAATATATGATTGAATCTTATGAACTATTGACGGTTTGTAGTTAGTGAATCACTTTGTGTAATCTAAACGACTCCAATCGGATTTATTTAATTAGTCTATACCTTTACTCTGAAAATTCGGATCGTCATTTCCCATTTTATAAGCAGGATAGTCCTTTCAATCGTTCCGTCAAAGGTTCAGTCTAGAGTCTTGTGTTACTAATGACACTCAAAGAAAAAACAGAAACGTCCGACATCACGGGGAAAAAACGAGTTGATTAGTCTCAATATCCTTAACAGCGTTAAATCGATTTCAAATGGAAATAAATTGCAGTCCGCACTGAATTGGATATAAAACTTCAAAGTAAAAATTACCGGATAGAATTACAAGATGTAGTTTATATTAATGTGAACAAATTGTAAAATGTAAATGGAATATGGTTAAGCCGGTGAATCGATCAACTTTAATTGAAGTTGCTGAATAATAAGTATTTTAATATGTTTGACCAGTTTGAAACTTTAAGCTAACAAATCTAATTGTTTTGTGTATCTAACGGTTTCTATTAGCGGTCATTGCTTACACGCCGCGCAGACCTTAAGGTCTTAACCCATAAATTAAACAAACAACCTTATTTGACATTAGGCAAACATTTATACAAATAGAAATTGTCTTTTTAATATGTACAATGTACGTATTAATAGTTCCTATATGTAGTTTTAGCGTTTAATTTATCATAATCGCCATGTTAATTATAAACTTCTATGTGTTTTACATTACTATCGATTTTGTCATCGCTGTAAGTGTGGCAAAATTAAAGTCACGCAACTGCATATTTAATAATTGCATTAGTAATTATATTAACCATTATAGTACTTATTGACTGCCATTACATACCTTTTTCCCAATTGACATATAATATTGGATAGCCGGATACTGGACAGTTGATTTGAAGTTGTTGGCCAGCTCGTGCAATGATTTTAGGCGACTTTTTGGCTACCGGATTGCCTGTAAATTGAAATCAAAATCAAAAACCGACAATAAAATATTAAAGTGTTCCAATGCGTTGACATTCAATCAAGTCAACGACCGATGACGTCAATGCCTAGAAAACTCGTTTATAGTATATAATAAAGAATATTTAATTATTGTTACCAATCGTTTTATGATTTCTTTACTAAATTTAATGTTTTTAAATATTATAATATTTACTTCTCCTTGACTGGTTTTGGGTTGGTGTATTTTTATTAACTTATTTTTACCGTTACTCATAGATGATTTTTGTACCATTCTAGGAAATATATTTTAAAAGTTAGCTGGTATTCATTGGAAAAGTGACTGAGAGATATATTATAATATAGTCAACGGCGAAAACATTCGGATAACGTCTGAATAATTGATTTAGTTGCTTTCACAAAAGCAAACGCCATCATCTATATTTAATAATAAGCTGAACCTTGCCTCGTATTTAATTAATAATATGCCCAATGCGGTCTATTTTATTTAAAAATAAATAATTAAATAAAAAAAGTTTATTCGTGGGATTTGTATTATTTATTTCACGAACGGACTTTAGTGCTTAAAATAATCTCACTTAATGCCTAGTACACTAAGTTGTACGCGAATGATAAAAAAAAGAAAACCTAACCGATTAAGTCATTTGTTTTGGCGTAGAAGATTTTCGGTGTATATTTAATGGATTTGTGTGCGCGTACGACGTTGGTCGCGCCTAAGTTCCTAACTGCCATACTTAATAGGGTACTTCTCGGTGGTTAAGTGCTGTCCGTTTTTGTAGTCTCGGATGTTTTAAAATTATATAAGTACACCAGGTGTTCAAAAATACCACCGTTGACTTCAAAAACAAAAAAAAAAGGTAAAAAGTTTTGTAACATCCATTGGCATAACCGATTTCGTATAAAGTCGCTTAAGATACACTATCACATAACTCATTTTCCTCAACTTCACAGGAATTCTGTTTCAATTACCATTGAATAACATAGGTAATAACCATGCAACCGTTATTCGGTAATGTTATCTATTAACTTTATCATAAATCTGAGCTCGCCAGACAGTGTGGCCAACTTGATTTGACAAAAAAATTAAATACGAGGTGTTGAATCTTAAGCGACGAATTTTGACAATTAGCTCATTGTATATGTACAAGTTTTTGTAAAAATTCAATTATTGTTTTCCCCGTTTATTTTGTCACAATTTACACACACCAATTATTGTCTTTGGTAAAATAAGGTCACGTTCTACTTATACACGTCATAATCTCAAATGGAATTCTCACAAGATTTCATTGGGGTAGTTTGGAGTGTACGAACGATTGCCCGGTCATTGTCTTGAATTGGGACCGCTATTAATTACGTTTTCACTTCAGCAACAATCGTAACACAATAACGTTATAATATATCCTACCTCTGTGGTATAATAATTTCGAGAACTGCAACGATGCCTGACTCGCGCATTCGAGTAATAGTAATCACAAGTTTCCAGACGTTTCCGCGTCGTATAAGCGTTTGTAAAGCGAAAACCAAGACAAAAGTGTCCAATTATTATACGACTCGACCGCAAAATTATAATGCCTTTGTTACGAGCTATAAAACGAACGATCAAGAACAATCTCGTTCGGCTAAAGAGACAATGGTTAAATATGTCTAGTGCATCTCATTTCTAACGTGATTGGACAATTTCGCGGAAAATTGCAAAAGTTTGCTGTTACAATGGGATTGCGTGAGTACGGCCAATGTTGAGTGTTCGTCAGTTTTAAAGTTTCCATTTTCCATATGGATGCATTAGTACTTTGGCCACTATTTAATTGGCACAATTTCATTCACAGAGATGTCCTATCAGATAAGTCGTGGACAAGTTTAAAATTAGTAGACTATTAAAATTATATTATTATATCCCAAGTCTCGACATCATTGCACGTTCTTACACTAGGCCACAGGTTAGGTTCACACTCGATAAAGTAACCAAAAATATAAACTGGCTCTAAACATATACACTTTTTTCAAAAATCGTTTGTCAACATTTTTTTTTAATATTAAAAGTATTGCCATTCATACCATAATTTTAAAGTTTCATTATGTGTAAATGAATCAAAAGCCAATAAAAATATAAAAATTATGATTTGTATACTCTGTCATCACTATGCCACACACCCCCCCACCCGTGCTGGCTTTTTTAATAACTTTTTTTTTTATCGGTATCACTTACCGTGCACTTGTAATTTGGCTGAATGGGACACCATCCCTGCTCGGTTGGTCGCCACGCACTCGTACATACCTCCATCTTCGACTTGCACTTTGGTGATGTTGAAATGGCTAATAACTTCGCCTACTTCCGTAACGTACTGACTGACAGCCACGCGCCTGCAACAATTACAAAATGACGAAATTACATTTCTCTGGCACATATTTTTAATTTGTTTCACTACAGCAGTCAGCAACCATGTGATACAAAATATATTGCTTATCATTTATAATATTGTCACATTTCTTATAAAATTCGACATTTTCTATTGATCTGCGTAGTTGATAAGGTACATACTGTGCAGTGTTTTACAGCTTATAAGAAATAGTGTTTATTTTTATTTAAAATGATCACACTGTCGCTCGTCTTCTTGATTAATTCGTTGTTTAGTATTATACAGGGTAATTATATATATGTTATACATATTATGTAATATGATGTTATAGCTCTACATAGTTTTTTAATTTATGCGTTGAACTTACGTTTGAGACTGAGCAACGTCAAAACCGTCGACTTTCCATGAGATTTGAGGCGGTGGTGTGCCATAAGCGATGCATTTGAGAGTGACTTCTGCAGAGGGTTCCACGAGGTGACCGATGAACTTGTATTTGAACACCGGTTTGGTAGCTGTAACAATACAAAAATCCATTATCAAACCGTCTGACTATTTGAATTAGAAAGTTTTTTAGCCTTTGGTGTGCGACTCAAACGTGTTATTGTATTTTGTAAGTATGGAGATTTACTGCAAAAGTTAGGCGATAAGTTATCGTTTGGCCATTTGGTACTTATTGTTGAACAATAAACATTCGATTGTCATAGAATAATAATAAAATCAAATACCACTTGAAACCTATTCGATTTCAAATTATTATGTTTCATTAAAATTGTTTTCAAATATAGGTAGTTATTAAAGTTCCGACAATAAATATTTATTTAATATCTATATTTCAATTGTTTTTCTTAATATATATATATATATATATATATATATATATATATATATATAAATTAACATAGAAAATGAGAAAGAGAACAAATTATATTAGATCGTTCCGAAGAAAATTATATAGTTATGACGTTCGACGAAATTGTTTGATATTAATTGCAAATTATGAACAAGAGGGGAAAAACTATATAATGAAAGTTGCCAATTAATTTATGAACCTAACGTTTTTTTTTTAATTAAAAAATATGTTGTTAAAAAATGAGTGAGTTAGACCAAAGGCTTTTATAAGTCTATTTTTAATTTGTTTTCTTTCTATTTACCGTCCTTGTTTAAATTAATATTAAATCTTAAAAATGATATTTTGATAGAAATGAAAAAAAAAAAATGTATAAGCTCCATTAATAACGGTTGCATTACGGTACATTAATAAATTTGTTGTCCATTATACAAATCAAATCATTAGGTTCTTTAAACATAAATCAGTGGTCTATGATTGCCCCAGTAAATTTTTTTTAAATACTTAATCTGATATAATTACATTTTTTCCGTTTAAAGAGCGTTATTTCAAAATGTTTAATATTTGATGATCTTAAGTGCCAGAGTTGAAAAGGAAATAACCGTTGTATTAATTATAGCATTTTGTATGGTAATCAAAATGGGTATTTTGATACAGGTTGAAAAAACTCATAATAAAGGTAGATCAATATGTAACGTAGTACACACATTTTCACTGAACATAATAATTTCAAATTTTATTTTATGAAAACATTTGAGCTTATGTTTTTTTTAGTATTACACGATTCTCGATTACGGTTAATCGATTAGTTTATAAGTTTATTAGTATATAAGTTTATATGGGTCATAAAAACATAACTTGTACGTTATATAAGTAAAATATTTTGTTTATTTCTTGACCCCAAAAATTTTTTTAAAAAATTTCAAGAACATGAAGTGTTTTTGGATAATCTTTTTAAAAATCAGTCCATCTAGGTAAAAAAAAATTGTTTTAATTTTTTTGTCATTAAGGACATCTAAAAAATGTATGATTAGATGTTCAAATATTTTTGAACTATAGTTCCACACACATTAGGTTGTGTCACGTGGAATGACCCTATTGTAGTTTAGTGTAGAAACAATAATTACAACATGTGCATTTTATAAATAACATCCAATCACGTAGGATATTAATAACGTCCTGCTATTTAAATATTTTAATCATGACCCACGCTTGAAGCATCAAATGGTCCAAAACACTAAACCGGACAAGCGTAACGGCTATTCATATACTTCCAATAGATTTGATAAAATTGTTATAAATATATCAATTGAATAGAAATTAAATAGGCTATAAACAAATAAGTTTACTATCAAATAAAATACTTCATAATGGACGGTATCGGTTTAGAGTTACTAAAATAGGACACAGAGCTCATATTTTGCCAGAAACCCAAGGTATTAAATTGTATTTCTGAATATTTTCAAAGAAAGCTAATATTAATAGATATACGTATATATACGTCTATAAATTATTATAGATTATCAATTTATCTATTATCTATTTATAGATTATTATGATCTAAACTGCTAATATAATACTCATATAATACTAGATTTAGTATAGATAGCTCTATATTACACATATAACTAATGCCACTTTTTATCAGCGGTCTGCAGAGAAAAGCTTTAGATATTACATTTTTATAATTAAGCTACAGATTTCATTGGCTTATTACCAACTTTTTAAATCACTTGTTTTAAATATCAGTACAACGAAAAGTTTTTCGATTTATTTTTATGACCAGAAGTAGTTGTTATCTGCACAATTTTGTGACGTTTACTGAAAGATTCCTTCAATACGCTTTGACATAGAATAATTTCCAAAATAAAAAAAAGCAAACAAACTCGCAACTATGTTTTTTTTTGACACGCAATTCCATAAACAGTTTTCTGATTTTATTTTAAATCGTTATTCCACCCGCCGGATGTCCTCGCGGCATTAATAATTCGGACTTTAATCATAAACAAAAGAAATATTTTCTCAAATAAGTCTTGAACGTTTCCTTTGTGTGCCCAGTCCAATTGTTAAAACGGTTTGCTTAAAACAAGGCAAACTACATTTACATAAATATTATATTATTTTCGAGGCCGTTTTTTATTTTTAATGAATTTCATAAATTGTATAAGTTTATTCATTTTAGATTTTATTAACTAGTTGATTTATTCTCACGGAACACATTCGGACATTAAAGTAAATAGACGTTAATTTTTTATTTTACTTAATACAAATAAAAAAAACTATTAAAAATATAATTTCATGTTTAAACAATTAGTGTATCAACACTAACTAGTTAGAAGCTTACTTAAGTTGAAAACTAAAAATATTTTATCTTTTTTTGTGTACACTAATATGTACATTAAATTATGGTTTTCTATACACGATCGGCAAACAAGTCGGTTACCTTAGTCAGTAAACTGCATTTATTGCCAACTAGGTGACATTACAATATTGCTATTGTTAACATCTTTTTTTTAAACTGACTGCTTAGCTTGTTGGTATTGCTTTATCATAAAAAATACCTGTCCCCCTTGAACAGTTCACTATGTCTTTCTCGTGCAGCATAATATGCATGACAGCTCTATACCTGTTTTAAGCACTTTAATCAGTTTACTTTAATCAAAGTCTCATCTTCGGAATGTATGACAATAATAACAGAATTATAATATAAGATTAAGATATTTTTGCATACATTGCCGTCAGTTTTATGGTTGGACTAATACCCGTAGAGTATTTTGAATATAGTTATCAAAATGTTATCATTCGTTGACGATACAGCAATATAGTTTTGTGTTATATGTAAATACCGTCGGACAGTTCATTTGGACTTTATTAGCCGGCAAATTTCATAGGAGGTTTTTATTATTAAAGCGTCATAAACTATACGTTTTATGGGATATTGAAAAAGTTTTAGTTTGTAGTTAATATCCAACAGATATGTTATATGTAAAATGCAAATACATTAAGTATTATTATCATTCAGTACGGCTTTGACATGCGGTTAAACCGAAATGGGTTTGTACATAATATAAAACAAATGCCACGATATTGCTCTTTTACGCTGGTGGACATCATAACAAAATGCAAATTAAATTATTTTATTTACGGTGTTATAAAAAGTTTTGATTATTCTAACATTACAATACTGTGTTTTATTGATGCTTCCATGTTTCCAGTGGGTATAGCTCTAGTACGCTGTCTCTGATGATCGAATTCATAATGGATTTCACATTGGATCTTTTTGACTTTTCTTCGAGTACAGCTGCAGGAGTTTCTTCTCTTCTAATATGGTAATAGTTCAGGGATTTGTTTTGAAATTTCACCGTACACAATTTGTCCACCGCACACCTGTTGGATAATGCACATGGGACTTTTTAACGCGAGCTGTGTGTACATTGTAACTAACAAGCCAATTGCACGTTGGTTAAGAAACCCAACATTTTCTTGCAACTCTCGACCTACTCCTATTCGTGACAATTCGTTATACACTGATAATCCTGTAAATTTTGCTTAACAGTTGTAGTGGTATTATTTTTTTAGTGAGAACTATTATTAGTTTTATACATACAGCACCAATAAGGGGGAACTGTTGGTCAAATGACGGCAATCGCTTAGCAAGTGACCTGCCAGACAACTGGTGCCTGCCTATATTTTAACAGTAACCTACTTAACTAAATTTTTAGAATTAATACATGTTACTGAAAACGTTATATTTCCTCTTGCCTCTCAACAGAGATTCGTCTATTTCTAAAAGTTGATTTGATAGTTTTTTTCCTTACTAAAAAATGATTTAAAACCAACATCCCTGCATAAATTAAACAAGTCTACTACAATAGCGTTGACCGACAGTAAATTGCAAACCGAAGTAATTGGGAAATCATTATCTCAATAATAAAGTAATTCTAAAATTTGATAGAGACTTAATTAATGGAAATTTGAATCGACATAAGGGAATAATTAATTTGTTTCCCTTAAAAATTGGTTTGACAGCCCTTTTTTGAGCACCTCAAATATATACATATATTTACTGAAAACAGCAAATAGGTATATACTGCTTTTATTAATTTTTTATTTTCATACCGGAAATTAAACAAAAACCAGATAGGTCACATATTGAATCTTAGAAAATGTCGGTAGGTCACCTGCTTAACGAATGCCCAAATGACTTCAGCCTAATGAATATTAATGGTGTATACAAAGATCTGAACTATTTCCACTAGAGCATATTATTGTATACCATAGGAAATCGTATATCGCGTCCACGTTGCTTTTTACCAGCAAGGGTTTGCTGCAAGGACTTAAATCAGTGTGGACGTCCGCCAATCGTTTTGTCATGAACTCGTTGGTCGTTTTGACGTGAACGTGCAAAACCAAATTTTCTTCCGGAGGCTTGCACGGGACGTTCCGTATGAGTTTCTAGAATAGTTTATGATAAGCATGTTTTTAACTACTCGAGAATTTTCATCGATCGGGTGGCCTACTGGTATGTAATTGCCGCGTTCCGTTATGACGAAAACCCCGTTTAGTTTTTTCTGTTCTGCGTCGTATGCTTTCAGCGACAAATGGTATTTTTCCATCTGGTCCGTGTAGTTGTACGATAAGTTCAGCATTATAGTTATCTGAGCC